CTTTGGTGATGCTGTGCGTGGAGAAACGGCGTTGAGGCGTAAGCGGGTCTCGAGGACACCCACATCAACAGAGCTTGGCCGTGCCAAAATCGGTTATTTTGATGTGCATCTGGTCATCCATAAGCACGTTTTCGGGTTTGAGGTCGCGATGAATGACACCCCGTGAGTGCATGTATGCAATCGCGTCCAGGATCTGGGCGCCGTAGAACCTTGTGCATTCGACGTCAAAGGTCCCCGTTTTCTTCAAGACACCCAGGAGCTCTCCACCGTTACAGAGATCCAGAACATAGTAGAGTGAAGCTTCGTCTTGGAAAGTGTAGTAGAGCCGGACAATCCCCGGGTGATCGGTAAGTCGGTTCAGGGTGTTCTTCTCGATGTTGACGTATTTGATCTTTTTCTCCTTGATGATGTGCTTCTTCTCGAGCACCTTGACCGCGTACTCTCGTAAGGTCTGGCGGTCGGTGGCGAGGAAGACGGTGCTGTAGGAACCCTCCCCCAGAGTTCGCCCAAACGAAAAGTCCCGAACGCCCTTTTTGACGGACCTAACAACTGTCTTCCCTTCGGCATCAACCTCTCTTTTCAAGCTCACGGCCGCGCCTCGGTCTTTCCACTCCTCACTACTTGCGGGCAGTGGCATCTCCGGCCCATAACTCCCAGCCGGTGCTTGCGGGATGCCCGGGATTGTGGCAACTCCTCCTCCTCCTCCTCCTCCTCCTACTGGCTTGGAACTCCTCCTCGGTGGTGGCATGCCGTTGGGACCGACTCCTGGTTGTGATGGGCCTGGTCGGCCGACATGATGCGACCGGCTCCCCTCACGTGACGGGATTTGGGAGGGATTGGGTTGGTCAAACCGAGGGATCGCTCCTCATCCCGTAAACAGATGATCGAGCCTGTTCGTTCCTGGGGGCCCCATACGGATCCCCTTGCACCTCTTGTTCGGCTCCCCGACCCTGGCTAGGCAAGAGCGCAGAGGCCGGTGGCTGCCCTTCATTTGCGAGCTGATATGAGCCATATTGTGAAGGGAGATGAGGGTCGCTGGAGCCCGTTGAGCCTGGAATGCCACGTGTAGCATTCAAGTTGTTTTGTGCGTTCTTTAGGATAGCCGCGGCCGATTCGTATGTGTGGGGCTGTCGGGGAGGGGTATCTCGAGGCCCTGGTTGAGATTCGGCATTTTGGAGAGCGTTGGGACCGCTGGTCTCTTCGAATTCCGTCCTATTGCCCGCTTGAGTTGTGTGGTCATCGTCGTGACTCGTGGAGGTGTCCTGTGAGAGATTGGGGGAGTCGTCGGGATTGGCGATTCGTAGGCCGCCAAGCGCCTGTGAGAGACTAATATCGCCGTTCATAATGGGTAGGGTAGGTTCGGCAGGCCTCGCTAAGGGGCACGATGGCAGGAAACGGTCGGGACAGTGAATGACGCAGGATTTCAAGACTGGGCGTGCAGCCTGTGGCTGAACGCGCGGCCGGCGATCGAGCTGGGTGCCAGGAGGCGACGAATGGGAAGACAACGGAAGTCTGCGTGGGCCGTGGAAGTCGCGACACCGTGGGGTTCGAGAAATCGATTTCGTATTGAGGTGCAGCGGGTGGACGCCTCTTGCTCGTGGCCCGGCCCGTGAATTTACCGAGTGTCGGGCATCGAGTACCACAGCTCACCGTCTCCAACTCAAAAGCATCAGAGATGCAGGGATTCGTGGCCCGCTTGCCCCCCTAAACACGATCAAACGATTGGAAAATGGGGTGGTAGCCGGACAAGCACGAGCGGTGTTGATGACGAAGGGATGTTGGGGACTGGGAAGCGATCTCGACCGTACATTCGAGCGGTTGATAGGCGTAGTTAAGGTTGTGTTGCGTGGAAGAGCAGACCGGAGGGTCTCGAATACCGTGCACCTGTATTAATACACTGTGTTTGCACACGGTTCACCCCCATGATTGAAACAACCCGACAGCCTTTTCATCTCATTTTATTTGGGATGAGATGAGAACTGGGGTTCTCTAGCATGTACGCACTCCTTTTATGTGCAGTCATAACCTGAGTATAAATACAAAAATGTGGCATTCTTCCCTATTCAAGAGTTGGGGGGTGACTGCTTCTTTGAGGCGATCTTTTGATATCTTTCTACCGAGGAGAAACATTAGAAGGCCGCGGCACAGACAAACTTCCTCTCTTCAAACCTACAACTCGAAAATAAAATAAACAATTCCTGAGTCAAGATATGAGGCTTTTACCTTACCTTTGAGACTGGGAAAATTTCCACAAATATCCAGTGTCTAAACTAGGGAAACGGACACCTTGATAACGGAATCTTTTGGTGCCTCGCTGAATCATTGTACGAGCAGTGGAAGATAACTCCGGTGTTGATGTAAAGGTTTATGACATGGCGCAGCCTATGGCTTTCAACCTTATCCCTCGATACCATGAAGATAATTTCCAACACACTAACAAGTTGGAAGCTGGAGTGCATTTACTTCATTGACACTTGCTAAAACTGTTCGTCTTGCAATCGCAGCTTGAGGTTGCCATTCCAAAGAGGTCGTCACATCCTCGCCTAGCTTGACCTTGCTTCGTTCTTTCTTCAAAGCCAACAAGCAACATGCGAAACGCCCCATAGAGAGGTAGGTCTTTTTTTGCTGCCTCGACTGCGTCCGTTGGTGTTTCCACCCATCCAGTACCGGGATCAAGATCACAACATCAGCACCATCAAACCAACATCAAGGTGTTCGCAAAATGCTACGCCCTAGGCCGTCGGTGATCTCATTAACTCGTGCAGACGTCACGGACGTTGTACACCGCCGTCGGTTTCGCAGATACCTCGAATGCGATGAGGGCAATGTTTGTGTCGACTTCGCCCCTGTCGAAATAGATACGACATTCAAATTAGACCGGCATGCGACGCCCCCATCGCGTACCGCCCAGCGTAAAACGACGCCGACAACGTACGACAACACGCAAAACAGTTCCCCTATTATAAATGGCGGGGCCCACCACTGGGTAACGGATGTGCCACTACTGCTGCTCTCTGATAAGGAGACGGGGGAAGATGTGTCCCCGCCGCACGAAGTATCTGCTAGCCAGGTGCGTCGTTTAAGAACACGAGGCAAGTCGCAGCAAGGCTCGGAATGGACACTGCAATTATGCCTGCGGCCCAAACCTGGCTTGCCTAATGCTACGACTCCCGCTAAAGATGATGGCTCGACGGATTCACAAGACTCGCGCGAGAATCCGGTAGGGGGATCGCCCGATGAAAGGGAACAAAGCGGTGTTACGGCGATTCGCGAACCGGGACTATCACCATCGTGTTTGCCGAAGGTGGACTCGCCAAGTATGAGAGGGGGGGAGACAAACCAGGCAACGTTTACTCACCGGGTTTGTAGCCACCACGAACCCCAAGAATCGTTCGATCCCTAGTTAACCGCAGATACTAGGCTCCCTTCTTGGAAGATAGCACGGATTTTAGGTTGAAGAGTGATGCAGGCCCTTCCACTCCGCGGCGTGGGTTACCCCCAGGATCACCCGGCAACCCCCCGACTGCTCCTATTGCTTCCAGCCGAGTAGGTCTCAGCCATAAATGCCAGTCCTAGACGTGACGATTGCTGACCTGGTGGTAGGTTTCGCGGCGATCGTTTGACACCTCGGATATTCGTCGAGACGATGTAGGTTTTGAGATAGTGGCGTCGAATCGGCGTGACTGACTTCGGTACTCAGAGGAGCTCATCCGAAATATCATCGCCGTCCCCTACGTTTATGAATCGGGGGCGGCTCCGGATCTACAACGACTTCCTACCAGTTTCGTCCCAGCCACAAACACCACAGAATCTACCCCGGGCTCGCCGCCAGAATCGCCTACAGGGATCATACACGGCGCCGGCCCGGCGTATCTCGCCACAACCTGACCTAGCCACGGCGACGATCCGTCCCCGGCGAACCCGGCAGCGAAGAAGGGAACCAAGCCCCCTAGGGCTACGAACATCAAGACTTCCGGGCTCAGATGCTGATACGGAGAACATGGACGACGCGGCATTGCTTGAGGGGGTTGCGGGAGATATGGCGCGAAGCTGGGCAAGTCCATCCCGGTCTAGCGACTGAGCAGGAGCAGAATCGTGTTAAAGACCAGGCGGGAAGGGTCGACACAGTGTGGACGAGAAAATTGTAGGATTCGTCGACTTCAAAAAGGCTCCGAATATCGTTAATCGAACAGTTGGCCTGGTCATAACAAAGGTAGCAATATAAATCCGAGTTCAACCCCCTCGACCATCTTGCTGTTTCTGGGGGATGGAAGGGGGAAAAAACCCGCCCGGCGCGAGCGTGAGACTGGAGCAGACCCCAGGCGACCCTGTTTCGCAAGCGTCTCTTTGCGCACGTGAGGGAGGCGTCGTGGTGACGGAACCGAAGGCTGGATCCGCTGGGACCGATTGGACAGGAACAGATTCTCTTGCAGCCCCAGGTTGCACCAGGGCGGGCAGGGACGGATTGGAGGACTTTGCCGGCCGCCCGAGCGGCACGACACGGACCCCAGATCGGAGGAAGAAGCACGGAGCGGGGGCGGGCTGCTGCTGCTGACAACAAGGGGGAACAAGAAGGGCCGATCTAACCATTTACAGGCTCAACAGGGTCCTGGCATGTTCCGCCGCTCTGTGCGCCTCCCTCAAACTGCTGCAGGACCGGTTTGCCAGTCAGACAAGAGCTTGTGGGGACAGACCCCACCCTGCATCGCAGCCAATGGAGATGGCTGCAAGACACTTCCAGGTTCCCATGCCGGCACCCACAGTTCCAGCTCTCCGTCGCCTTTTTGTCTGCTTCGCCCAGATCTCGCAGGCCAGGTTCTCGAATGCCGGTCCTCCCTCAGCCTCTGCCTCACTGTTTCCCGCAGCCCTCCCTACTTTTCCCCCTTCTTCCACCTTTTCCTCCTTCACCTCGCTCTCTCACCCACCAAGCCACGAGCCTCTCCCTACCTACCTGAGCCCTTCGAATCAGACAATTGGTGTCATTCATAACCTCACCCACCCTCTTCGGCTTACACGACGACACACATTCTCGTTGCGCGCGCCAAGTCGTGATCTCACCAAACCAACGCGCCACCTTTCTCCTCCCAATACTCAGACCTTGCCGTCGTCAATTAACAAGCGTACCGAGTCGCGATACTCCCGCGACCACTCTCTCTTGGCCAACTCTTTACTCCCTTCCCGGCCACACCCCCCTCCTCAGCCTTATTTTCGCCGATCCTGCCCTCGACGCCTTCTGCACTCCACTGCACTTAACACACGCCCTTGGCACATTCTGAACTAACCTCCTGCACCTCTAACCACCCTTCTTTCCCCTCATCTAGTACTCAACAGGCCTTGAAGATGCCGTCGTTTGACCGTGTCTACGCCTCGTCGCCGGTTCTCGCCATGCCGCCACAGGCCGCTCATCAGGTCTCGCTCGGCAAGCCCTTCCCGCAACACCAAAGCCTCCCTTTCAGCCCTCCAGCCTCATGGCGATCCCAGTTGGCCCGTACCTGTACGGCCGCCGGCCGCAAACGGTCTAGAGATGAAGCCGCAGTCAATCTTGACGCCCCGGAAAAGCTGGTCGAGGCTCCTGTCAACAAGGAACCAGAAGATGAATGGATCTATGGCCCCGGTATGACGCTCATCAAGAAGTCTACTGGCTATATCACCGACGCCGGCAACCAGTCCGGGACGTGGGTTGAAGAACGCGCCGCTGTGGAGGACGCGCGCAAGCTGGAGGAGGCTCTTCGTGCGCGCGACCAATTGGCGCAGTCGCGGCCTTCTCTCAGGAGCCATAAATCACAACGGCTCGACATGACGCCGCCTACCCATTCAGAGGAGAGGTTCCCAAGCCGCCGTTCCAGCCCCACCCGCGAGGCAACCAACCCAATGACATCGTCTTCGGATTCACTTGCGCAGCCAATCGTGGATGACTTCACGCTTCATCTCGGCATCGGCTGGAGCCGAATCAGCGACGACGGCCACATCCAAGCCGCCGCGCGTGGTTGGGCCAGGTACATCGAGAACCACTACCCAGTCAGCAACGTCAAAATTCTCTTGGAGAGCCGCGGCCTCCAGTCGTACTTGGTTGAAGCAACCGAAGGGTTTTTCCTCTTCGCCGAAAATCTCCGTCAAGGCCGGCTCGTTAGCGTAACTCCGGAAGGCACCCTCAACAACCTCAAAATTTCGCCGCCTGTTTTTGATGGACTCAACACCATGGATGCGTCAGAGTCGGCTAAGCCCCTTGACTCGACCGTGCCTATCACCTCGGCTGATATGGACATGAGCTGATCGGCTTCTGGGATCCGGATTAGGCGTTTGCGGGAAGGTGCTTGTTTTTTGGGCGCAGCTTTTTGAGCAGCCAGTGCTCGGTATGGCGTTGAATTGGCAACGTTGACACGACTGGACTTCGGCTTTTCGGGCAAAGGTTTTCATTCTGGGCAAAAGGTAACCTTGCTCTTCGGGTTTTGCGGAAATGGCAGCTTGATCTTGCTCCATGATAGGTGTACGAATAGAAACAATCAATGATACATTTCTTCAACCTCAACTCCCAGCAGAGCACAAATGGCTTCTCAGAAAGGCAAAGACCGCGATGGTGTGTGGTTCTTACTCTTGTTTAGGTTAGGCCAACCATGGCAAACGGCTTTCTTGCTTCTGTGTGGGGACGAGGACTCAAATGGCTGGGCGCCCAGTCGCGAACTTATCTCGTTACCTATTCCACGAGTTGGTCGGCCGGGGTGGTTGTCGGTTGGTTTATTAACTGCGCAAGCTTCGCTCGCAGACCCTCGACCTTGTCTTTGTTTTATCCAAAGAAGCCACATTCCGAGCAATCGCAACCTCGTAAGGTAGGGGGGCCAGGCCGTCGGTAAGCTTAGTTTGCGAATGTCGCCCTTTGCCCTCACAACCCCTCGTTGTCAAGTTCTGCCGGAAGCGACACAGATCGAGCGGGGAAGGCCAATCGATTGAGGTCGCATCGAGAAATCCGGCACCCGTTACACACACAGGCCACAAAGAAAAACCGGATCTGTGGACAAGACGCGAAGACGCGTCGGAGCTTGCACCAAGACCTTGCGCTAGGAGGTAACGTGCAGTATGCATTTTAGTGAACATGGCCCTGTTTCCTTTGTTTGCCGAGTAACTGGCGGCTTGTCTGCTTTTTCTTTCGTTTCACCTTCGGGACTCCCCGCTATTTCCTCGCTGTCGCCTATGGTGGTTCATTCGGTCCAGTCTCCTGCAACGCAAACCCGGACCTTGGTCGCCAATCGTTGTCAGCAGGGGAGCGGACAAATGCCCTGGTCTGCCGAGCTTCTGTTTAGTGGCGAAACCAGAGCAGCTGTGTCTTGTTCGCCGTCAACAGCTGGGACACAGCCTCGCCCGCCTCGCAGCCTTGACTGTCTTCTCTTTGGGCCGGAAACGGACTCTTCCCAGGACTGCCTCGAAATTTTTGGAGATCGGCTTTGTTAATATTCAACCATAATATTTAAACCCAATCCTGAACGACGAGCCGTTTGGGCATGTGGATGTGCTGACCCCTCTTCGTGCGACAATCAGCTTGCCACTCCCACGCCAGCTGCCAAACGTGCGCGTGCCGGGAGTCGGGAACCGTCAAGCAGGAGGCAGCCCGGCGCGACACCGAATCGCGGCGACGAGAAACCGAAAGCAGAACCGAACACAGAGAAGCCGTCGATTTTGGGCGGGCTCGACGGTACAACCAGCGCACTCATGGTGTCGCATCACAGCGACGGGGTCACCTCGTTGATGGTGCGGGGGTCGTCGTCGGTAGTGGGAACCAGCTCCAGCGGCCGGGGGACCGGGTTACACAGCTCGTCGCGATCGCGACGGTACAACCGCTCTCACGCTGGTGGTGCCTCATTCATACCGCAGAATGAGTTTCCAATATTCAGCCACAGCGGCGACGTCGAGATCGTCGTGCGTGTGGCCACTGGGCACGAGAATCGCTATCTCCTTCATCGACACATCCTCACACGCTGCTCCGGCTTCTTTGAAGCCAGCACAAGTAATGAATGGTCGCGCGCCCAAGTAGTCCCCGGGCCGGCGCCGTCCAGGGCAGTTGGCGCGATAGAAGGAGCCGGCGCAAATGGGGGAGAGCTGGCACGGATAGACGACCGAGGGGCAAGCGGCGATGAAGGCAGCAAACCTGGGTCGACGGCACCGGCGCAAACCAGGAAGAGGTGGCGGTATGAGCTCGACTACGGGTCTGACGACAACGACGTACCAATGTTGGTGCAAAAGGAGGAAAGCAGCAACCCGCCGCCGGTAACCAATTCAATATTCGGTGGCACTCCCAACAACCAGTCTTCGAACCGCCAGTCCCACCGCAAGTCAACGTCGCACTCCTTCTTTCGATCCGTGGCCAACCTCAGCCTCTCCTCAACGCACGCTCCTACTCTTCCACCGCCCACGCCGGAGGAGGAGGACCTATTACGAGATTACGATAACCTGTTCCGCATTATGTACAACTACCCACCTCTGCTCGACGCCGTCAACATTGCCGACGGCTACGTCCAATGCAAGTCGCTACTCCACCTCGCAGACCAGTATGATGCTCTTGCGGTTGTCGGCCCTCGCGTTGACCATCACATGTTGCAATTCCAGTCGCGCCTGTGGAAGCAAATCGCCAAATACCCCATCAGCTACCTCCGCCTCGGCTACCTCGCGCGATCCAAAGTCATTTTTCAAGAAGCTCTCATCCACGTCGTCGGTCAGTGGCCGGCAGGCGAGCGCTCCATCCGCGCCGCCCTCCCCGAGACAGTCGTCGACATCATCGAGGACAAGGTCGACGAGCTCGAGGAGACGGTCAGCCGCATCGAGGCCCGCCTCTTCCGCCTCACCCTTACAACCCGCTCCGGCGAGCGCATCACCCCAGCGAGCGGCTACCTCGAGTGGCTCGCCGTCAGCCTCTTCCGCCAGTGGCTAGCGGACAACACCGCCCCACCCATGCCAGCCGCCCCCGAGCGCGCCAACGCCAACGCCAACCCCCGCAACCCGGCCGCGCCGAGGGGCCGGCTCGGGAGCAACAGCAGCGGGAGCGGCGGCAGCGCGGCAAACGGCCGGTCAGGGAGCCACAGCGGCGGCAGCGGCGGCCACGCCAGTAACCCCAACAGCCACTTACAGGTCGCCGCGCTCCCGCCGCCGATACCGACGCTCGCGTCGCTGGGGCGCACGTACCGCCTGCTCGGCGGCGGGCCCGGGTCCGGCGGCGGTGTGGGCCCGGAGAAGGGATACCTCGGCCACGACGAGTGCAAGCGCTTCCTCAAGCTCACGCCGGAGCTGTACACGCGCGACAACCTGCGCCGGTTTGAGAAGCGCGTCGACGAGCTCAAGGCTATGGCGAGGGAGGTCGTGCGCCCGCTGATGGGGAGTGGGCTCGAGCTGGAGCTGATCCATGGCCCCGGGGCTGCGGGCATCGCTTACCTGACCTGCACCGAGGTGAGGGATAGGGACTTGCCGTGGGGGTTTGACTAGTTAATGGGGGTCGGCAACCATGGTGGACTGGCTGGCTTACACTAACCAGCCGCCTTGCGATGGGCTGTAGTGGAGTGGGGGTGTGGGTGGGGGAATACGGTCTGGCGGCGGACGGCAATTCAGGGGCCTGGTGTCCCGGGAATGGTGTCTTTGCTTTTCTGGCGTGGGCTGTTTGTGATCGATGTCGGCGACGTACAATGTGCTTTCCTTACGATATATATGATGACTGATGTAACGAACGGATGGGCATGGTTTGAGGATACCCGTTGATGGATAGGATGCAATTCATGCTGGCTTTTGTTCTGACAAGTTTCGGGGGTAGGTTTGGTGATGTCTGTTGGATTGTCCAGAAGGTGGTTGCCGCTCTGTACTGTACGCAATCTCCCAATATGGGACATATCTATTATCAAGTGCAGAGTGCTTTTTTTGAGATTGTCGGTTTGACTCTGACCGCCGTTTCCCATCACAGCTGTACGTACAGGCCCACGATACTTCGTACATGTAGGTAGATGGCCCCCAACCTCAACTCTCCAGTCCAGCAGCGTTAGATCCCTTTTCCTAGGTAGTTGAAGGAAGAGATAGGCGTCGTGGATGGCCCATGCCATAATTATCACTGTATTATTACTTGTTCTCCAGGTCAACTAGTGTGATAGGAGAGAGCTGAGACAAAATCGGCAAAGATTGGTGTTTTGCCGAGTTGTCTTGTGTTCTGTTCTCAGCTGAATCGCCATGTCTTGCAGGCGAGCATCAGGAACTAACAGACCAGGGGTGTGTTGTAACATTTCGCGAGTGGGCTGGGAGACCCAAACATACGGTACGCAGAAATACGCGTAAAGTGTTTGGTATCATTGCAATGGTACTTTTGCGTTCTTTCAGGCCCGTGCGCTTACTATACAGCCTCGTACCGCGGTATGGGCGGGAAACGTAAAACGTTTAATACCAATACACAGGTACTTCCAGGCTCGCCTGGTCTGTGCACAAAGCGGTGAATTCCAACCGTCCTTTCAGCCGGCAAATGGTAATATTACAGACGTGCACCCCGCAACCCCGCTACCCCTCCAGTGTCCGTTGAGTCAATGAAATTTATTGAAGTTGAGTCAGAGAGCAGCGCAACTCCCGCCAAGTAAGAACACGCGCCGGGGTAATTCTTGAAAATCCCGGCTCTCGACAACTTCACCTCAGCGTCTCCAGCAAGTCGTTTTCTTTGCGGATTGCCCAGCATGTCGATCGACTTTCCGAAGGAGGAGGAGGCCATCATCGCTCGATGGCGCGAGATTAAGGCCTTTGAGCGGCAGGTACGCACAACCACTTACACGCTTGTAGTCAGGCCCCATGTCCGTATACTGATGGTAAAACCAGGTCGAGCTCTCTAAAGGAAACCCCAACTATACCTTCTACGATGGGCCACCATTCGCGACCGGCCTCCCCCATTATGGCCATCTTCTCGCCTCCACCATCAAAGACATTATCCCCAGGTATTGGTCCATGAAGGGCTTCCATGTTGAGCGTCGGTTCGGCTGGGATACCCACGGCCTACCCATTGAGCATGAGATCGACAAGAAGCTCCATATCTCGGGCAAGGCTGCTGTCATGGAGATGGGTTTGGAGAAGTACAACGCCGAATGCCGGGCTATCGTGATGAGGTATAGCGAGGAGTGGAGGCATACGATCGAACGGCTGGGCCGTTGGATCGACTTTGACAACGACTACAAGGTGGGTTGTCCTGGGTGGGGAGGAACTAAGATTTCTTTACAGCACGCTGACAGTGACAGACTATGGACCCCACGTTTATGGAAACTGAGTGGTGGGTGTTCAAGCAGCTGTTCGACAAGGGGCAAGTGTATCAGGGGCACCGAGTGATGCCGTATTCGACCTCCCTCACGACTGCCCTCAGCAATTTTGAGGCAAACCAAAACTACCAAGACGTTACCGATCCCGCTATCGTTGTCGCATTCCCTCTCGATGATGACCCGGAAACCAGCCTTCTCGCCTGGACGACGACACCATGGACTATGCCCTCCCATCTCGGACTAGCAGCCCACCCAGAGTTTGAATACGTCAAGATCCACGACGAGAAGACTGGAAAGCACTACATCTTGCTGGAGAAGCTTCTTGGGACTTTGTACAAGGACCCCAAGAAGGCCAAGTTCAAGGTGGTCCAGAAGCTCAAGGGCAAGGATATGCTTGGGTGGAAGTATCAGCCACCGTTCAACTATTTTTACGAGGAGTACAAGGATGTGGCGTTTAGGGTCCTCAATGCTACCTATGTCACCGACGACAGCGGTACCGGTATCGTCCACCAAGCCCCCGCCTTCGGTGAGGACGATTACAACGTCGCCATCGAGAACGGCATTGTTACCGAGAGACGCCCGCCCCCCGATCCTGTCGATGATACTGGCCGCTTTACCAGCAAGGTGTCCGACTTTGCCGGAATGGGTGTCAAGGAGGCCGACAAACACATCATCAAGTATCTGAAGAACTCCGGGAGATTGGTGGTCGAGTCGCAACTCAAGCACTCGTATCCCATGTGTTACCGCTCCGATACCCCTCTAATCTACAAGGCGGTGCCCTCCTGGTTCGTGCGCATCCCCGAAATCATTCCCCAGATGCTCGAGAACATTGAGGGATCCCACTGGGTTCCGTCTTTTGTGAAGGAGAAGCGCTTCGCTAGCTGGATTTCCAACGCCCGCGACTGGAACGTGTCTAGAAATCGGTATTGGGGCACTCCTATCCCGCTGTGGGTGAGCGACGACCTAGAAGAGCGCGTGTGCATTGGCAGCATCGCCGAGCTCAAGGAGTTGAGTGGATACGAGGGCGAAATCACCGATCTCCATCGTGACAAGATCGACCACATCACCATCCCCAGCAAGAAAGGCAAGGGCACTTTGAGGAGAATCGAGGAGGTTTTTGACTGCTGGTTCGAATCTGGAAGCATGCCCTACGCTAGCAAGCACTATCCTTTCGAGAACCGCGAAGAATTTGAAAAGTCTTTCCCCGGCGACTTCATCGCTGAAGGCCTCGACCAAACCAGAGGGTGGTTTTACACGCTCCTGGTTCTTGGCACGCACTTGTTTGGCGTTTCGCCCTTCAAGAACTGTGTCGTCAACGGTATCGTCCTGGCGGAAAACGGCAAGAAGATGTCAAAGCGTCTGCAGAACTACCCCGATCCGAACATTGTGATGTCCGAATACGGATCTGATGCTCTCCGTCTATACCTCATCAACTCGCCCGTGGTACGCGCCGAACCTCTCAGGTTCAAGGAGTCTGGCGTGAAAGAGGTCGTCGCGAAGGTACTCCTCCCGCTCTGGAACAGTTACAAGTTCTTTGAGGGGCAGGTCAATTTGTTGAAGAAGGTGGAGAACGTTGACTACCGGTTCGACTCGAGCATGGAGACCTCCAACACCAACGTGATGGACAAGTGGATCCTGGCCAGCTGCCAGAGCTTACTCAAGTTTGTCAACGAGGAGATGGCAGGTTAGTAGTAGCTCCCCTGGCAGATGACGATGAACTTTGAGCGCTGACTCCGGTCATAGCTTACCGCCTGTACACGGTTGTACCCAAGCTTCTCGAGCTGATTGACAACACAACAAATTGGTACATTCGATTCAACCGAAAGCGCCTCAAGGGCGAGAATGGGCTCGATGATACCCTCCACGCCCTGAACACACTGTTCGAGGTTCTGTTTACCCTGTGCCGTGGCCTCGCGCCTTTTACGCCTTTCCTTACCGAGACTATCTACCTGCGGCTCCTCCCTCATATGACTGAGAAGCCGGGTCAAGATGCTCGTAGTATCCACTTCCTGCCTTTCCCCGAAGTCCGGCAGGAGCTTTTCAACGTCGACATCGAGCGTCGGGTGCAGCGGATGCAAAAAGTCATTGAGCTCGCGAGATACTCCCGTGAGAGGGGTACCATTGGTCTGAAGCAGCCGCTGAAGACGCTTATTGTCATCCATCATGACCCCCAATACCTACAAGATGTGGAGTCGCTTCAGGGATACATCACCGAAGAGCTCAACGTTCACGATCTCGTGTTGACGTCGGATGAGGCCAAGTATGGAGTCCAATACAGTGTCACGGCCGATTGGCCCGTGCTCGGCAAGAAGCTCAAGAAAGACATGGGCCGCGTCAAGAAGGCCCTCCCGAACGTCACCAGTGATGAAGCTCATGGATATGCCACCAGCGGCAAGCTCGTTGTCGACGGCATCACGCTCTTGGAGGGTGACCTAGTCGTCAGGCGTGGGCTTAAGGAAGACGAGGCGTCCAAGAACCTCGAGACCAACACGGACAACGATGTCCTCACCATCCTCGACACCGAGATCTACCCCGGCCTCGCCGAGGAGGGTCTTGCTCGCGAGATTATCAGCCGGGTACAGCGTCTGCGCAAGAAGGCCGGCCTGCAGACCACAGATGATATCAAGATGGAGTACAAGGTCCTGGCTGATCCGGAAGAGATTGGCCTTGCGAAGGTGTTTGAGACACACCAGCCGACCATTGCCAAGGCGTTGAGGAGGCCGCTCGATAAACACGAAGTAACACACGTAGAGGGCCAGATCCCAGCGGAGAAGGAGGAGGGCATCATTGCTGAGGAGGAACAAGAGGTGAACAAGGCCACCTTCTTGTTACGGCTTCTGAGGCTGTAGGGTGTTGGGTTGTTGGAGCAGGAGGTTGATGCCGATGTCTGGCCGGCCCTCGATGTACCACGTAAAGAAAATAGATAGGCAAGGATGAACGTGATTATCTTGAGCAGTTGAAATTACAAATTTCACCTTCCACTCTTTGCTGCGGCCTGGTTGCATGAGTAAGACGGTGTACACTCCGGGGCTTCGAACCCAAAAAAGGACGCGGAGACGTAGGTCGGTCATACCAGGTAGCAGTTCTTCAGCTTCATAAACTCCCTCGCACACAGGTCTTTGTGCACTGAGTTGTAGTCCTTGAAAACACACTGACCGTAGACAGCGGCCTATAGTTACGTCAGGATATAATTGAAATAAGCAGAGCCCAGGCGGCAATGGCCTCGACGTACCTCAGCACTGCATTTCGAGACGGCTTGGGCAAACCGCTGAATCGGACGGGTTTTCAAGTTTGGCTGCATTGTACGGGGTGCGGTAACTGGCTCGTCTCCTCCTTTGAGAGACGGGGAATTCGGATTGATGAAGTGAAGCGATGGCCTTTGTTGAGACGGGAAGTCGCCTACCACAACAACCTCAAAGTTGGCTTTAATCGATCGCCAATAGGTTGCATGGCTTTTTGACTTTGAGGTTTGTCAGATAGCCCAGTAGGCACTGTGCCAAGAGACAGTGTTATGATTGAGCAGCACGGTTCAAACGGCCCCACAGTAGCTTCCCAGCCACCGAGATCCCTGAAGCGATCGGGTTCCCCCAAAATTCACATGCCCCGCGAGCTCGAGTTCCCTTTACGCGCTGCTAGACGCGTCCCTCGCCCCCAGCTTTCTCAAATCGCGATTGCCAGTTTGCGATCCGCGAAACGGCGCATTTGCTCACAAGTTAGCTGCTCTTGCTTCACCAAAGCAGTTTCCTGACTCTGTTGACGTTTGTCTCGAATGCTGTGACGCGTACAATCGCACTTGCGCCCAAATTCAAAACAAACTGAATTTGACTTGCGCCTGTGTAGAATCGCAACCAAACCAATTCAATCCCAACCCACAACAGTTTTTTTTAGCTTTTGCTCCCAGAGGTATCATGCCCCGGAGCTACCTTCCCAATACGTTATGCAACACCCATCGTCTGCTTTCCATCATGGCGATCCCAATGATGCTGCTTCTCCTTCTCTTGCCGACTCTACTATCTCTTCTGTGTTTCATTACATTAGTGGTCGTAACGAGGCGTACTCTGACGAGGGTAAGTTTCCATTCTCCGATATATCTCTTTGTTTCTTTGTCGCTGTGACCTAGTTACCCGCCACTCCCGCCCCAGCTGCTGGCAGCGAGCTGACCTGTACGCCTCTAGACATCGAACTGGTTCACGAGATCGTCACACTTGCGGAAACCCTTTACCCAACTCTTCCAGAGCGGGAGCGCCTCCCTACCAACGCCCTGTTTCTCGCCGCTGAAGAAATCCTCCCCCGCCATGGCATTGACCCCGAAAACACGCCGTCCCACATCGCCCGGCTCATCTTTAAGATTGGGGGGCAGCGATCTGGGAACACGCTTAGCGATAAGTTTAGATCTGTCCTAGGAGGACTTGGTATTCAACTTGAATTCGTCCCAAGCAGCCCCTCAGCAAGACCCGACTCTCGCTCCTCATTGGCGCCCAGTGACACAAACACCGACGACATACACCTCCACCCGCAACAAACTTCTGAACTTCCACGAAAGATTACAAGAGATCGACGCGATAGTGGGAGCGATTCTGACCGGGAAGATAACGCGCAAACCGCTTCTCCCGTTCATACCCCAGTCCCACTCGGATTTGGATCCGATGCTCGACCTCGAGCTGTTCAGGAACCCTTGCACCTTGATGCAGCTTCCCCCGTTGTGGATATGGAATTATTGGAACGAAAACTGCAACATTTGAGGTCCCAGGAGGACCGAGAGCTCGCAAAGGATGTTTTTGGCATGTGGCATGCATACGCCTGCCAAACAAAACGGAACAACGACGAGCTGGAATCAATCGCCATTGAGTACGATAACAACGATCTCCTTGGCGAGGTGCTCGACATCTGGAGCGAGGAGGCCGCGGCGGCGGAAGAGCTGAGGATCAAGGCCGAAGAAGCGGCTAAATACGAGGCGTACGTTGCGAAGATGGAGAAACGCGCTAGCAGGGTGTACGAGATTATTACCATTCACAACGTGTTTGCGGAGTGGCAGGGGCGAGCTCGAGAAGAGCGCGAGCGGACGGCAGTGGCACGCAGGCATCTCGTACGGAAGCGGACATTCGAGGGCTGGCACGCGCAACACGTCGAGGACGAGACCAAGGTCAGGAACTTCATCTTGAGCAACGTCCTCCAAAAATGGAGCCAAGTCGCCTTGCATCATGAGGTTCGCCACGAAGTCGCCGCGCAATGGCACCAGCAAGACCTTTGCAAACAAAGCCTCCATACGATGTGGGAGGAATCCAAGCGACGCCTCGCAGACGAGTTCTACGCTTTTGGCTTGGCCGGGCAATGCTTAGACGCTTGGACCGACAAAGCACGCGATACTCGGGATGAGTACCAGGTGGCGGTAGCGCTCGACGAGAGGCTCGTGCTCGACGAGGTAGTTAATATCTGGCTCGAAGAGGTGGACGCACAGCAGTACAATGCCTACGAGTACACACGGCAGTGGCTGGTCTTGGGTTGTCGCAGGGACTTGGATTACTGGCAGGAGCAAGCCAGACTCTCGGCTTTGCTGAGGCAGTACACCGGCAAACAAGAGCGAGACACAATAGTGCGGACTCTGGAAACCTGGAACAGTATCTCCCAGGACGCGAAAGGCGAAGCCGCTGTTGCCGATGCTTTCTTGCTCAACGAGCCCTTGGGGCACTGGGAACGCGAGATGAAGCTCAAACTGTTCATTGAACGCGATGAATTCGAGACTAAGGCTGCGACTCTCGAACACTGGGCTCTTGAAGAGAAACTTACCTGGTACCAAGGACATTTGGAAACTAGAACCAAACGACAGACCCTCGAGGCATTCTTCGCCGCTTTCACACAAGCTCGTGGCGAGCGAGAACGACATGAACAGGAGGCGGATTACGTTGACACATATTACACTCAAACCGAGGTGGTCGACATTTGGCTTGAAGAAACCGATGAGATGTGGAAACAACGACAGAACGCCAACCTCGTGAATCTCTACCGCACAGCCCGGCCATGTGTGGACCATTGGCGAGAGCATTGCCAACAGAGCCAAGCTCGCGACGGGTTTTACCGGAGAAAGGCGGACAAGCAGCGGGCCAGATCTATCGTATCGAACGTGCTCGATAGGTGGCCAGCTGTTGCTGAGGCCACGCGGAGGGAGCGGATGATGACTTCGCTTCGCCAGTTTCGACGAAGTTACAAAGTTGAGCTGGCCCAGGAGTGTCTTGGAAAATGGTTGGATGCCACCGCATATGCGTTTGATGCCCACCACGATGCTCGCCAGGCCAATCTTCACTACAAACGGGAGGACCTCAACGACTGTCTCGACCTTTGGGTTCGCGCGGCAAAGAGGTTAGAAAACGTTCAGCAGATCGCCGCAGATGCCGAAGTCGAAGTGTACTGCGAGAAATGGCATGCGCAGCTCCAGGAAGCGAAGGAGAACATGCAGGACGCTGTTGAATACGACGCAGAGCAGACTCGAAAACGCTGCTGGGAGAAATGGGAATTTCAGAACCTCCAGAACGAAAGCAAGCGGCACATGGCTGTTACACTGAAAGAGAAGAACGAAAGACGCGTCCGCCGCCGGATTCTCGGCGAATGGCAACAGAAAGCTGTTCCGGAGGCAGCGGCACGCAACAACCCTCACCTCAGCACCCTCTCCGCTCGACGTAGCGTCCGACAGCAGCTTGCACGGTCGTCCACACCTGCAACGGGCTTCTACACGGTCAGCCAGTTGGCCACCCTTCGCCCTCGCGATTCTGTTTCCGCCCTGGGACCTATGGCCGAATTTGACGAAGACCCCCTGATACCTGACTTGGATGACCCCGGTTTTATGAGCACGCCGACAAGATGGACAGGTAGCATGCGGACGCTGGCCTACCGTCCGACTTCGACACCATCCGCCATATTACCTTCGCCTCATGAACGAGAGCTGAGGCGACAGTATGGCGTGGGGGGTTTAAAGCCGAGAGTAGAGTTTGCCGATATCAATGAAGAGTCTGCAGAGGACTTGTATGGATGATAATACTTTTTCTTTTTTTTGCCCCTTTACATTGGGTTTGGTCACAAAGGAGTTTTGGTTGGAACGGAAGAGGAACGGGCTTAGCGCCTCACGGGGAAAGGGTTGGATTCAAGCATAGCTGCTGGCGTTGGCATTGGGGTTGAAAATGGACTGCATCAGTTGTTTTTCGTCAGGGTCGTTGGATATACCCAAGACATGTATTGAGCATAGATAGGCGTTTGGATTCTTGGACTAACGTCCCGGTTTGTATTATTGGATTCGTGGGTTGAGGCGAATGGACCCAGCCATGTGTGGCGTATGACATGAATATCTACCTCTATGATGGTCGAGATCAGTGGTGTTTCAAAGTCAATTACTTATGTGCGCCGCCCAAGGAAGACTACCTTTAAGGCAGTGTTGTAAAGCTGATGCCAATGCCCCTGAGCGGGCGCCCTTGGCCTACCGACGGGTCCACTTCTCGGTGTGGGTCCTAAACATAATAGGAAGGCGGTAGGCTAAAATTTGCCAGGGCGCACCGATTTCCCACAAACCCACAGAACTTGCAATTTATTTCGTTTTCCTGCTCCCGTCAAGATCACGGCGATCAACAGTCAACTCCTTGTCCTCTGTCGGCACGATCAATCACAATGGTCAAAGTCAGCGCAAGTAAGTATTAAAATGTTCTTTTCTGACATTCAGTCAATTTGGTTATTAACAAGCGACCTACAGACGTTTCCGCCTCGAGGCGCAAGTCTCGCAAGGCGCACTTCAGCGCGCCTTCCAGCATCCGCCGGAACATCATGAGCGCCCCCCTCAGCAAGGAGCTTCGTGAGAAGTACAACGTATGTTGCCAGCCTACGCATCTCAGGTTGAAGCGCACGGTTTAATTAACGCATTCGCACGCAGGTCCGGAGCATGCCTATCCGCAAGGACGACGAGGTCACGATTGTCCGTGGCCTGAACAAGGACAAGGAGGGCAAGGTCCTCTCGGTGTACCGTCTCAAATACGTCATCCACATTGAGCGTGTCACCCGCGACAAGGCCAGCGGCCAGAGCGTTCCCCTGGGCATCCACCCCAGCAACGTTGTCATCACCAAGCTCAAGCTCGACAAGGACCGTGAGGACATTCTGGCCCGCATCAAGGCCGGTCGTGACCAGGTCGCTCGTGCCCAGGGCAAGAACAAGGCTTGAATCACCTGAGCCGGCGTTGGAGGAATGACAAAAAGGACGACAAAAAGGGACAACTCGGTTCGGTTGCGGCGAAGAGAAATACCCAGGATTGCTTTTCGTCAAAGGTTTACCCGGTCGACACCTGGCGTCTTTGCGGCTTCGGTTTACGGATGCATACTTTAGGCGGTTGTCTATCTGCCACTTGGCATGACCTGACTTCACGCACGGGACGGGCCCCGAGATCTAGATGCAGTCAACGAATCGAGACATAGTTCTCAATGGCCGTTTCACAATGCCAGTCGCTTCGCGCGCGCTGTGAAATGTTCCATGGGAGGTTTTCCCGAAGCCCACGCCTCTTGCAGGTTCCGCAGAGGCTTTAGATTGCCGTTGACTTCGTGACTTATGTGTCGTGCGTGCTAACCCTCTTAGGAGCGTCGGGACCAACAATAGCCACATGAGCATTCGGTCGTCAGAGTGACCATGAAGCTCGGCGTTGGCGGTTTCCTAATCCCTTGTTACCTGAGAAGGTAGGGACACCAACCGCTAGGATATCTCCGCGTTGACCACTAGCCCAATGGTTTTCGAGGTATACGACTGGCGAAGAGCAAGCCCAGCAATGGGGGATCACCAGTTCCCTGTTGCTCTCGGCTGCAGACTTCCACGGAGATTTTTCGATGAGAATGGAGGTTTGATGTCGAGGCACACGATGACGGTTCTGCAACGTAGATTTCATCAGCGAGGCGCCATGTGGCAAGGTAAAGCCCGGCAGATGAGCCATCGGTTTTAGCGCGTAAGGCAAGCTCCAAGAAGCAAAGGAAATGAAACAATAGACTGGATTCCGCAACCAATGACTCCAAACAGCGTGGTTGACGAAATGCGTGCGGTGAATGTGAGGAACCACGCGAGGACCTTGGTGGTCTTGTGAGCTCCAGGCTATTTCTGTTCGTTTTTCCTCGGCCTTGTGAACGAACCTCTTTATATACCATACCGTATGAGATGTTGATCAAAGGACCTTGCCATTCCCATTCTACACTCTCGATTGACATCATCAAGGCCGTCCAGAGGTTTTCCAAGTTTGTTGTTTTGGGTGTTGCAGGGTAAATGTGGTTGCCAGGGGCGCCTGCATGCACATGTGCTGAAGCGGCAACAGCTCCCTTTGCTCAAGGTTCCATCCTGCAACTTGGGGCTTGACGACACCATCTACCTACCAAAACCCTTGATAGGCGCCACTGTTTTGTTATTTGTCGAATTCGAGGAATCCGGACTGGCATTCGCGATTTGTTTGGCTCTCCGGGCTTCCCTGCCAAGGGCGGCTGGCTTGAGCATCCTCGGGCCTTTAAGCTCGCACGATCCCACTCGAGCGACTTGACCCGGTTCGGCACTGGGGCTTGCATCGATCGCCAACCCCTCAACCCCGCCGCGACGTCGGTAAACCGACAAGATGTCTTTTTTCTTTGGGAGAACGCGCACAAGGACAAACACGTCAGATCTCGCCAAGCAGGCAAGGGACCATGTCACGAAACTCCAGGACGGGCCGCAGGGGGCCGCAAAGGTAAACATCAACAACACGATACCCCGCCGGGCGTGCGCCTCCATCCGTCCCGCTGACTCCCAGTTTAGGCCGAGGAGCTCGCGAAAGTGCTTGCACAGATGAAACAGCTCCTACAGGGCACACACGGTGCGTCCGATCCCCGGGGAACCCGACGCCGACGGCAACCCCCCCGCTGACCGCCCAGCAGAGGCCGAGCCGAACACGGAGCAGATCTACCAATTAGTAACGGGCATGATTGAAGAAGATCTCCTCTACCTCCTCGCCGTCCACCTACACCGACTGCCGTTCGAGTCCCGAAAGGATACCCAGGTCATCTTCTCCTACATCTTCCGCTTCCGCCAGCCAACAGGGCCCCAAAAGCCCGAACCGCTGGCGCTAGCTTACGTCGTCGAGAAGCGACCCCAAGTATTGGTGGAGCTGTGCAAGGGGTACGATCACAAGGAGAGCGCCACGCCAGCGGGCACTGTGCTGAGGGAGGTGCTGAAGAACGAGGCGGCCGCCGCGATAATATTGTATGACGACGGCGAGGAACAAGGGTCGAGTGCCAGGGGGGTCGGGGGAATCAACCCGGATCGGCCACAAAGCGGGAGGGGCGTGTTTTGGAATTTCTTCGACTGGATCGACAAGAGCTCGTTCGAGGTGAGCGCAGATGCGTTCACAACCTTCAGGGTGAGCCAACCCAGCCCCAAGCCCCGTGTATCTCGCGTAGCTGACGTTTGTAGGAACTCATTACCAAGCACAAAGATCTGGTCCCCCGCTACCTGGCCGTCAACTTTGACTTATTCTTCGACCGGTACAACAACGTGCTGGTCCAGTCCAACAGCTACGTCACGAAGCGCCAGTCGATCAAGTTGCTCGGCGAGATCCTGCTCGACCGCGCCAACTACAACATTATGACGGCCTACGTCGACCGCGGCGAGCACCTGAAGATCTGCATGAATCTGCTGCGCGACGACCGCAAGATGGTGCAGTATGAAGGCTTCCATGTGTTCAAGGTGTTTGTGGCCAATCCCCACAAGTCCGTTCCCGTGCAGAAGATCCTCATCATGAACCGGGACAAGCTGCTGCAGTTCCTGTCGCACTTTCTTGAGGACCGCACCGAGGACGAGCAATTTATCGACGAGCGTGAGTTCCTGATCAAGCAGATTCGGAATCTGCCGCCCGCACCCGTGCCACCGCCGCAGCGGTAGAGCCGTCGGTAGCAGTGCCTTGGTGGTGCTTTGGTGATGCTGTGCGTGGAGAAACGGCGTTGAGGCGTAATAGAAACCGGGCGTATGACACGGTAATTCACGACATGGGCATTGCGAGGGATAGGGTACTATACAGCTACTGCTTACTATATAAATGTCTTTCAGGGTCTGTCTCAGTCCGGTTCTCTGCAGGTTTCACCAATTGGGAGCATGAACGGACGTTTGAGCGCGGAGTTCTGGCTATTTTAGAGAAGATGAGCTAGCTAAAGCCAGGTAAACCGTCCCCCTTCCTCCGATATGTCTAGACTTAAATGAACGCCCCAAAACTCCAGCCGAGGAGATCCTAGCGAGCCAGTTTCACTGCCGATACGCCCCGCCATTCAATGAAGAAACTTTACGAAAACCCAAACCAACGCCGAACTATCCCCCAAACTCCCCGCAAAAGCATGGCTCACAACCAAACCGTCCCAACCCCTCCCTCTCTCAGAGACACCATCAATTCAACCCGAACACTGGGCCATTGCGAGGGATAGGGTACTATACAGCTTAGACCTGCCTTACCCCCTATTATAAATGTCTTTCAGGGTCTGTCTCCAGTCCGGTTCCTCTGCAGGTTTCCCGCGCCAACTCCAAAATTTGGGGAGCCATGAACCCGGACCGTTTGAGCGCGGAGTTCTGGCTATTTGAGAGAAGATGAGCCCTAGCCCTAAAGCCAGGTAAACCGTCCCCCCCTTCCCTCCGATATGTCTAGACTTAAATGAACGCCTCAAAACTCCCGCCGAGGAGATCCTAGCGAGCCGGTTTCTCTGCCGATACGCCCCCGCCATTCGATGAAGAAACTTTACGAAAACCCAAACCAACGCCGAAACCTATCCCCCAAACTCCCCGCAAAAGCATGGGCTCACAACCGAACCGGCCCAACCCCTCCCTCTCTCAGATGACACCGATCATTCCCATCCCCGAGCCCCGGAGGACCTCTCTCACTCACGGGCCAGTTGGAGGATTCAGTTCAGTTCCTTCCATCACCTTCCTTCGGAGAGCGCAGCCAGCTCGTTACCACCACCCCATTCCCCCCCTTAAGGTAGAACAAGTGAAGTCTTAAATAAATGGGCGCGGCCCCACCCCCCACCGAATCACCCCCCAACCGTTTTACTCCCTTCCCCGGTTCCCCCATCCCCCATCCCCATCCCCCAGGATCCACGCCCCCCCCCTCCCCACCTCCCTACCTAGACAGGACCCAACGCCTCCGGCGCCCGCTGCAGCGCCTCGCGGCGGTTGGTCACACGCACGCCGGTGCCGTTGGGGGTGAGCTGCACGATGTCGGTGATGAGGGCGAGGCGCATGGATGTGTATTGGAGGTTTGTGTGGGATGGGGGGTGAAAGGGCGGTGGGTTGTTGTGGTTGTTGTGGTGGTGGTTGGCGTCGTGGTGGGTTGGGGGAGTGATGTATGGGGGGGATGGGGTTGCCCTTGTAACAGTCGTCGCAGCTGTAAGGGGGTGGGCTTGGTAGCTGGCTCCTGGAGATTGCGTCGGGGGTGTTGGGGTATGGTAGGTGGTTGGCGTGGGCATCAAGTCGCTGCGGACGTACGGGGGCAGGGCGGAGTCGTCGATGGGGTCTGTGGCTCCGGCGTCAAGGGGGTGGGCTTCCTCGAAGCAGGACGGAGGAGAAAGCACAGGCAGTGTGCGGGTTGCTGGTGGGTGTTCGGCGTGTGTTTGGTCGAGGATCCGCCCTGAAGTATGGCCGGCGCCGGAGGGGCTGTGTGCGTTGGGTTGGCCCATTGCGCCGTGGGGAGTGTTGTTGGTAGAGGCGTTTAGAGAGCTGTTCCTGAAGGGGTTAGGGGGCTTTTTGCGTCTGCGGAGGGCACGCTCTTGCGTAGGGCCAGAACAGGCGCCATTCGAGCCATTCCCAGTGCGCATATTGTGTATGTCTAGACTCTCATTCGGCAACCGAGTCAACGGATCCTCATGATCATCCGGCTGTAGCGCAACGTTTTCTGGAGCTGCTTCTGCGGCAGGCGGCTGCTGGGCTTGTTCTTGGTCTGGCGGGTTCGGGCGCTGATCTCCGTCTTTGATATCCCCGCAGAGCTTTCTCAACACCAACCGCAAAGTGTTTGCCCGGCGGCCGACGGCGGCCCGCGCGTGGCACTTTGGCGTGGCTTGCTCGGCTGGCGACATTTTGAGTTTGTTTATGGGTTGCCCCTCGGGGGCACGGAGACGCTTAGCTGACAGCTTGTGCTTTTTTCTGGGGGGGATATGGATAGATCCCACTCATTCTTGGTGAGTCGAACTCGATATTTGAGGATCTCGGGGTTTTGATCCGACTCCTGAGTCCGACGCCCGGAATCGGACTGGGAAGTTTGCAAAGTGGTTCTTGAGCAAGCAGACGGGCGAGCAAAAGCCTACGAGTTGGAGATTTGTTGACAGCCCACGATTTTCGAAAATAAATATTGTCTGAGAGCTTAAGTTGGAGAAAGACTATAAAGGTTTCTCAAATAATATCGGCAGGGTTTGGGTGAGATGACTTTGGCGTGGTCTATCTCGGTGCTTGAGTGTTCTGGAAGGAACCGAAACAGCCCGGGGGGGCTAAGGCGACTTGAATTAAAAGGATGAAGCTTGAGAATATTCGGGAGGAAGGTTCGGTGGCCTGATTATTCTGGACGAGCATGGTACCCGAGTTGGCAACGTAGAATATATATCTTGTAAAAGCTGCCCGGCTTCAATAGGTTCATGAGATACCCATAGATGCGAGGTTAGCTGCTTCCTTAACAACAGCACTGCCGTCTGTGATGCCATAACCGAAATACGGTGCTTACCTTTCCTCTTCTTTTCTTGCCTGTCTCTTTTTTCCTTGCTTGTACATGGCTCTGGTTGGAAGAGCGTAAGCATTCGGGAAAGCCGCGAATTCACCCCGAGGCATCACTTTATAACCGATGGCGAGGACAGGTTCTTGTGAAGCTACACATTGAAGCGATCAACGCCTATTTATGGATTGTGGACTTCGCTATCTAGGAGGAGAGCCTCCATCCTTCTTCCTGGTGCTTTGCCACCGCCCGAGGGTATCAGAATTAAGACGAGAAAACATAATCATATCAACACCACGGCCTTTGAACACAACAACGAGGAAACTCCCTCCTCGACGACCCCGTACATCAAACACACTCGCCCCACTACACCATATAACCCCCAACTCCAGTTCGCCGCCTTCTCATGTTTCGTCTTCATCGGATTCTTCGTCTGGGTACGAAGTAAATATACCCCCAACACCAACCTCGTCATCAAATTGCCAATCATCCGCGTGCTTATGGAAGCACGACCGCGAGCGCTTCCCTTCAAAGTACGGATGAAACTTCATGGGCTTCTCGGACTCGTCCTTGACGCAAACACCCGTCGACGCATCCCACACATGCACATCCCCGCTCGGCGCTAGATGCACCAGCTCGGCGCGCTTGGGCTCGACCATCTGCTTCACCAACGCCCTCATGCGCGCGCGCATCTCATCCATCGGCACGGTGCGCTCCCACGAGGCCCAGTAGGGGCAAGTCCGGCTCGCGTTGAGCTTGGGGTTGTTCTCGGAGACGCGGCCGAGGTACAGGCTCAGGCGCAGCTCGGCGAGCGTGACGGGGCGGCCGTCGTCGAGCGGGCGCAGGGCCAGGTGGCAGATGCTGCGCATGCGCAGGCGGAGGGAGCGCAGGCGCGACAGCAGAGGCCGCACGTGGCCGCAGAAGTGCAGCGCCGTCGTCGCCGCGTCGCCCGCCACGTCGGTGCCGCACAGGTCCAGGTCCAGCGCCGTGACGTGCGTTAGGAGGGTTAGGTACGGCTCCACGCTGCGGAGGTGCAGGTAGTTGCCCTGCAGCGGGTCGGCGCGCCACGCCCGGTTCGGCCACCGTGCGGCGAAGCGCACCTCCTTGAGCTCGCGGAACTCGAGCAGCATCACGCAGAACCGGGCGAGGTTGGCGGGTGTGTTGAAGCATGCGATGTCCGCGCCGCCCCCGCCGCTACGGCTACTGCCATTGACGCCCGGGAGCCCGTCGAGAACAATGTTGACAGAGCGCAGTGACTTTCGCAGCTGGGCACGCGACTTGTCGAGGGATCTAGACTTGCGGTGCACCAGGCGGCTGATAACGCGTGGTGTGAACTCGATACGCGTGTAGAAGGTGGGGAAGGCGAGGCTGTACCAGCGTTTTGAGAGGGTCAGGCGGCGGATATCTTGCTGGAAAAATGAGGGAGGCAGCCTCTCGAGGATCATGAGCCAGACCTCGGCGGGGAGGTACGGCATGGGGACGGGGTCCATGGCGACGGGCCTCTTGAGGCAGTGTGGATGTGGGAGAAGTGGGGTTGGCGTGAGGTCACAGATGAGAACTTCAGAAAGGGTACGCGTGAGAAACAAAGCACAGATTACCCAAGTAAAGAGCGCGAGCAGGTCAGGTAGGTAGGTAGATATGTAGGTAGGTAGGTTACATCACATGAGGCTGAGGGATGTATGTACTTCGTACCCGGGCTGCTGATCAAGCTACCGGGAAATAAAAGGAGACGGAGCCTCGGAGCGTCCCGATACCGTCTTGGATTGGCTCCAAACCGATTGATTGCACAGCCAGCAGTCCAGGAAGAATGGCAGGCAGGCAGGAGCTAACTAGCTAATGCCAATGGCGCTCGAGGTTTCGGATCCTGACGAGCCAATCTCGGCCTTCCCAGGGCATTGATTCCCGGCTGAGCCTCAGCAAGGACACGCCCCACGGTTGGGAAGGGTCATGAGTGGTGGCACTCGAGTTTTCTCCTGTGACCGTGGACCTAAGACCAGCGCCCAATATCTCGATGTTGGGTGAATGAAGGTCTGGAATTTCAAGGTCGGGTCCTTGATCAGAAAGGGGTTTTGGTTTGTGGCAAGATGTCAGCGGATGATTTGAAGGTTCGCGGTTCGGCAGGGGTTCAGAGCTTGGGGCAGGCCTCTTACACAGTATGATAACTGCCTGATATCGTAAACCTTACTGTGCATTAAGGGTCATATTTGCTCCACTCCACCAAAAAGCTGGGGGACGGGTTGAGAGCGTGACAGCGTGACAGCTTGACAACCTGACAGGGTATGACTGAGAGTGTGGGCCGTTGCATTTCCTGAGCCGGACAAACAGCGTTTTAACCGAATCATCATGAGCGAAACAAAGATGAACGTCGACCCGGCACGAGCATCTGCTCTCATTTCGCAATTAAAGGGCGTCAGCGAGAGGGTAGCTGCGGTGGCTAAGGGTCGTCCAGTAAGTTTTCTTTGTATCCTCTGTATCATCCAAGCCGCGTGTGGGAGTTTCAGTCTTCATACATCATATCTAACAGAGACTTAAAGGTACGGCTCGTGGCTGTCTCAAAACTCAAGCCCGCCAACGACATCCTCGCCCTCCATGAGCCGCCAGTCCGTCAACTGCACTTTGGGGAAAATTACGCCCAGGAGTTGAGCCAAAAAGCCGAGTTGCTACCCAAGACTATCCAATGGCATTTTATCGGTGGTCTCCAGTCAGGTATGTCTTGAGGATCCAAGGTTTACGCATCAATCAAATACATGCTAAAGGGGAGCCAGGCCGCTGCAAAGACCTTGCCAAAATCCCTAACCTCTGGTGTGTGTCCAGCATCGACAACCTCAAGAAAGCGCAGCTGCTTGATAAGTACAGGGGCGAGAAGATCAAGGCTGAACCCGAGACGCAAAAACTCAATATCCATGTCCAGGTAAACACGTCTGGCGAGGAGTCCAAATCCGGATGCGCGCCGGGAGAAGAACTGGTGTCGCTCTGCCGGTCCATTGTCAACGACTGTCCCAGCCTGCACTTGCTCGGTTTAATGACCATTGGGGCTATTGCCCGAAGTGTGGCTACCACCGCAGAAAACGAGAACGAGGACTTCAAAGTTGCTGGCGAAGCAGAGGGATTTGGTTGTCAAAGAACTGGGCTTGAACAGGGAACTGGAGTTGAGCATGGGCATGAGCGAGGATTTTGAGGGGGCCATCACTATGGGCAGCAGTGAGGTGCGCGTCGGGAGTACCATCTTCGGGCAGCGGCCGGCCAAGTCAGATGCTAAAATCCTGGCATGAAGTTGCCATGGGGTTCGCCCGAGGACGGTGCGAGTCGACCCCAAATCCACCGGCGAAGCTCGTGGCCCGAGGAGCCGTTGTCGATTGATTGATTGGGTGTAACTCCCAAGGCCACAGGTTGCTTAGCCAATAAAAATTGGAAGACCGAAGGAATTTTACACTCTGAGGTTGCTTCGGTTTTGCTCCCATCGAGAGAGGCGGTGAGATACCAAGCCCACTCACCCACCTCATCGCCTTCGGATGGAATGATGTCGCAATGGGTGAAGCACAGTTGAAAGTTCGACAAGAAGTTCAGGTGATTGTGGAAATCATCCCGAAATTGGACCTGTGCTGCTTATCGATTACGGGAGCTCCCGCAGTCTGTGCTTTCCAATCGAGGGGCAGCAGGGTAAACCCCGGTCGTACCTGCCCCGTTGCTCAGGGAACCCAAACAAATCAACAATGCGACAGGGTAATGGCAGGCAATTGGCCCGCAGGGCGCCAACGCAGGGCTCAAATCAAGTCAAATCGTGCGGGCACCCCCCATCCCTTCTCCCCTCTTCGATAGTCTTAACAAGGCCTCAATATACCCACTTGCAGGAGCATGCCAGCATTGCTTTGACCTGAACTTCACATTGTTTTGTTTTTTTGCGCTGTCCTTTGGGAGTCTGGAACTCGAGGTGAAGCGAGACTGACTGCCTGCCTGCTTTTTTTGCGACTTTGAACCTGAGAGATACCCCCAATCGCAGCACGCAGCATCGCAGCATCATCGCATTCCAGCGATCCCCTCGTCTCATTCCGCCCTACCTACCTTCCCTAAGGCACTTTGCGCATCATCACGCATAAACACACGCCACCATAAACAACCACCACCACCACCACCACCTTTTCCGCCACAATGCCGCCCATAGAGAGGGATGCCCCTCGTGACCAGGATAGGCCCATGAAACATCAACATTCCGGGTCTATCGACCACCGCGCCTTGGTCCCCATGTAAGATTTCCAGTTCTCCTCCTCTGGTCCTCCACCCTCGCAAGCCGCGATGACCATGTCATGTCGCTTCTCTGGCGCACGCTAATGAAGAACAGGTGGGACAGCTCTGATCCCGAGCGAGCACCCCCTCCGCTCCCGCTCAACCCGCAGTCGCCCAGCGTCTCCCGCGCCGGCACCTCGAGTGCCATCCAGTCGGCTCATGCCGCGATGGCCGAGAAGGCCCGTGAGAGCGCCGCCTTGGTACCGCATGTGCCCAAGCGGGTCGACGCATCTCCAGAACGGTCCGCTTTGCGGCCATCTTCCCATCGTCGCATGCAGTCGCTCCAGCCTCCTTCGGTCAAGGACATGGGTTTTATGCTGGAGGGTGGCGGCCGTGAGTCGCCCCAGTCGGCACCAAGGTCGCCCGAGAAGATGGAGAGGCCAAGCACGCCCCAGAGGAAAGACACCCGGGACCCCTTCGTGGAGCAACGGGACGACAGGCAAGACCGGTCGGCCACTAGTACTCCAACGCCGGGTCCTAGTCTGACCCCCATCATCCGCCCGGCTGTCCGGCGACCCCATCACAGCATTCTCGGCGAGAACACCCCTCCCCAGTCTGCCACCATGCTCGCTCTGCAAAACATGACCACCCAGAGCAACAACACCACGCCTGTACATAAAGAGCCCGAGATTCCTCTGGCGAATATCACAAATGGCTCCAAGCCCATTGTCAAGCCCCCAGCCCCAGGGCAGCTAGACTCACTGTCCAGCCAGATCCTCAGCCTTACTGATATCGCCACCACTCTCCAAAAAGAGATGTCGCTGCTGAGCAGACGTAGCAGGGACAACGCCACAGACCTGCTCAGCTTGAAGGAAGCCACCAATGCGCGAGACGAGGACATCCGCAAAAGCCTTCGTGAACTGATCACGGACGCCAAGACACGACCCTCCACCACCCGAGACCCTTATGGAGGGCCTCTGCTTTTGGAAGGGAGACACCCGCCCTCGTCTCCGACCCTGTCAAAGTCGGCGCGCCCGTTTTCGTTACCACGAATACCTTCTCCCAACAGCTTTGCCGCCTCTTTTGACAGAGAGTCCCTCCTCAGCACCCCCTCCCTCGTCTCCGACGCGCCACCGCCGTCGTCCGCCACGGTTGCCCTGCTCGAAAAGATCATGCGAGAAATGGGCACCAAGGACGGCCAGGATGCGCTCCTTAACCGCCTCACCGAGCTTGCCGAGAAACTCTCCGGTATGGCTACGGCCGGGAAGGTCGAGGAACTTGCTCGGCTGGTCAAGTCCAACCAGCAACAAGCCGTCATCCCAGCTGCCGGAGGAGGCCGGGGGGGTGGCAGTGATGGGGGTGCTCGAGACAGGAACTGGAGTTTTGACGACGATGATGGTATGTCACGTCGGGGAGCCCTCGACTTCCTCCACGCTGCGGCTTCTGCTTCGCAAGGTTCACGCATGCTGCCAGGCCAGGAAGGCCGCAATGCCCGAGGCGCCGACGTTCTCAACGACGAGCTCATGCAAGCCATCCGAAGCGTTAAGGACAGCGTCGCCCAAGGCGGCGGCCTCACGGCTGAGACTAAGGCGCTGGTGAGGGAGCTCCGTGGTGAGGTCCTAGGCATGGGGCGCGAGATTGGCCGCCGATTGGATGAGGTCGCTGAGAAGAACGTGGGAAGCTCGGAGGCCTTCACCAAGGCCGAGATGACCAAGGTCGTCGAGGAGGGGCTGTCTGAGATGAGCCAGCAGATGAACAACCTTCTCCGTGAACATCGCCATCAGTCCGCCGCTACCGTTGGCTCCCGCGAGTCCTCGATTGACTACAAGGAGATCTACAACAGTGTGCGAGCCGCTCTGAAAGACACGCAGGCATCCAAACCTCGCACGCCGGAGCTCCGAAGGGAAGACGTCGTCCAAGCGGTCAAGGACGCCTGGGAGAAGTACAAGCCCGAGATCGAGATCCAGCAGATTGGCTTGGAACGGGACGAGGTCCTTGCCTGTCTGCAAGAGGGCCTTCGTGCATATGCTCCCCGGGACGACCGCCCCCCCGGCGCCACCCGGGACGAAGTGTTCCAAGCCGTTATGGACGGCCTCAAGCACTACGTCCCTCCCAAGGTCGAAACCCCGGCGACGCTGTCGAGGGACGAGATCCTCGAGGCCGTTAGGGAGTGCCTGGAAGAGTTCGAGTTCCCCGTCGCCCCCGGCATGGGTACCGATATTACTCGAGAGGATATGCTGGATGCCGTTAAGGAAGGCCTCCACACTTTCGACTTTCCTACACCCCAGGCGCCGCCCCCTCCATCCGATCTCACCAGGGATGATGTCCTCGACGCCGTTACCGAGGGCCTGCAGTCCTTTGACTTTTCCGTCATCCAATCCAATGCCTTGGTGCCCCAGTCAGTATCTAAGGGAGACGTGTCGGATGCAGTGAAGTCAGGGCTCAAGTCTCTCGACCTCTCTTCTGACATCTTGGATGCCGTCAAGGAGGGTCTCGACACATCTGACCTTTCTGACAACGTGCTGAAAGCCGTGATGCAAGGCCTCCAGACATTTGATTTCTCCGCCACCATCCCCCGCCCTGACCTCTCGAGGGTCGATGTAGCAGACGCCGTCAAGGAAGGGATCGAGGGCCTTGACTTCAGTAACAGCGTTACGCTTGCTGTCAAGCAGGCGCTGCAGGGCTTTGACTTTTCGTCCGCTCATTCGTCGGCGCTGGTACCCCGCGGAGACGTCCCCCGTGCGGCTGTGCCCGAGGAAAATGTGACGGATGCTGTTAAGGAGGGCCTCAAATCCCTCGACATCACCAAGGATGTCACTGATGCGGTCAAGAAGGCGTTGGAAGTCTTTGACTTTTCCAACTTCTCTTCCGCTCTTGTGGCCCGCCCTGAGCTATCCCATGCTGATGTCGTTGGCGCCGTCAAGGAGGGCCTTGGCACCACCAATCTCTCTCAAGATGTTGCGGATGCAGTGAAGCAGGTTCTGGAAGGCTTCGATTTTCCCACCTCTTCTTCGGGCCCGGACCTGTCTCGCGTTGATGTGGTTGATGCCGTCAAGGAGGGCCTCGAGTCGCTGGAAATCTCTGCTGACATCGGGGCCCTCCTGAAGAAGGAGCTCGAAGCATTCGACTTTTCCTCGGTACAATCCAACGCTCTGGTCTCCCCAGGGGGGAACAATGAAGAGGTCATGCAACGTCTTCACGAGATCAAGGAGCTCTTGCAGACCGAGATCAAGGCCGCATCTGAGGAGGCCAAGGAGAATATTGCCGCCAACGCTCTGGGCACGGAACAGGTTCTTGACGCGACCAAAGATGGGTTCGAAAAGCTGCGTCAAGAGATCGAAGAATATGTCGACCGCGCAAAGGGCGAGTCCAACTCCCAGGAGGTTATGGATCAGCTTCTCAGCACCCTCGACGGTTTCCGCAAAGAACTGGCCGAGCTCGTCACACGGTCTTCGGATAGCTCTCGGGCGATGCTGAAGGAAGAAGTAGATACCCTTCGCGACATAGTCAACTCGTCAATGGTGCCTGCCATCCCCCAACCTGGTAACAACAAGGAGGTTATTGAGGCTCTCCACGACGGCCTCCATAGCCTTCGGTCAGAGATCAGCACGCGGCCAATTGCTGGTCTCAACGAAATCTTGGATGCGTTGCAAGAAGGTCTGGGCGATATCCGCACTAGCCTCAATAACCTTCGCGATAAGCCGGCAGATCTGACGGCCAACGACGAAATCCTCGAGGCACTCAAAGAGGGTTTGGACAGCGTGCGGACTGACATCGACACCCTCCGTGAGGAAACCAAGAACGACCGGGCCTTGGCTACCATCGGAGATGACTCCAAGGCCGTGGTGTCTACCGAGCAGACGCTAAAGCACGACGACATCAAGAACCTTGAGATGTTAATTACTCAGCTTGGCATCAAGGTCGAAGCTATGGAATCGGCTCCGAAGCCCACCGTCTCCTCTCTTTCAAAAGAAGACCTGGCTGGGATGGAGAAGACCCTTCAAGATGTTGCCCAGTCGGTTGCCGGAATGCCAAATCGGGAACCATTCGAGGGTCTAGAAGAGAGTATTCGCAAGATTCAAGAGACTGTGAATGACTTGGCGACCAAGGAAACAGCAGCGCCTCCGCCTGTTCGGGCCAGCACTGATGCAGCCTCGAGGGAGGACGTCGAGGCGATTGAGACGATTCTTCGAAACACAAAATCCCGCCTCGACGACCTCATGGACGGGGAGCAGGCTGTCCGCAAGGATCACATCGACACGCTGGAGACCCTAATTCTCGAGGCACGCGAGAGCGTCAACGGCCTGTCCACGCAGTTCGACACCATCTCGCGCAAGGAACACATCGACGCCTTGGAGACACTCATTGACGACACTCGCCAGAGCTTGGGCGGCCTGGCTACGCAGATGGATAACCTGTCTCGCAAGGAGGATGTGGCCATGGTTGAGTCGCTTGTCAACCAGATAGTTGCTGCCTTTGACGACATGAAAGAACGTCACGAGAAGGCACTCGAGGATCCCGAGAAGATCACCAAGACGGATGTCGAAGCGGTTGAGGCAGTGTGCCTTGATACAAAGTCGCTCATTGAGCATATCCAGAAGGTCGACCTTGTCAACCTCCCGTCAAAGGAGGACCTCGAGGCTCTGGAGATCCGTCTGGGCGATGTCAAGGAACGGCTTGATGTGCACGCCGAAGCCAACATCAAGGGCTTCGAGGACCGTCAAGCCGAGATCGTTGGCGTGAGCGTGAACGTCACCGAGGTGAAGACCGTTCTGGAAGAGTTCCAGGCCCTTATGAGGTCCAAGCTTGAAGACGGCGCTCGCGGGATCGACTCAATTCATACCATCCTCGATACCTTGACCGACAGCATCCGCAAGAACGAAAACATCAGCGAGGATGTCAAGGAGGTGCTCGATACCATAAAGCTTGAATTTGAGGACGCCAAGACGGGCCTTATTGGTGTCAAGATCGAACTGGACGAGAAGCTGCAGACCAACGCCGACGTACTGCTATCCAAGTTTGACGAACGCATGTCTGAGCTGATGACCAAGTACGAGGAGCTCCAGCTCATCCAGGATGAGCGGGCCACAAAGACCGAAGAAAGGGACCTCGAAATGGAGGCCGCTGTCAGCGGCACAAAGGTTATTGCTGAGGAGCTTAAGTCGCTAGTTGACACCCTCGGCACGGCCGTCACCGATTCCATGGAGAAGATGGAGGAGGCTTCCAAAACTGTCTTCGAGCGCGTCGAGGATCTTGTCACCAAGTCAGACGAGAACCACACTGAGGACAAGGCCGAGCATCAGCTTACCCGGGAGCAAGTCCAGGAAGCCATTGGCAAAGTGGAGGGTCTTCAGGGCCAAGTGTCTGAGTACCAACCCAAGATTCTCGAGAGCGTTCAGGAGGTCATGCTGGTTCTGGCCCAGCACTACGAGCACCTCAGGACGTCTACCTTGGCAATCCAAGAGCGGGTTGAGCACCCATTACTCCCTCCGCCTCCTGAGAAGTACGATGACACAGCAGTGATTGAGAAGCTGGACACTCTTGTTGGTCATACTCAGGTAGCCGACAAGGCGTTCGAGCAACTCGAGACTCTTAATCAGGTCCATACCCAGGTCAAGGCAACGGCAGCGGAACTTGCCGCCTTCCTCGCCGCCCAGACCCAGCGGATCGCTGATGAGCACGAGGATCGCGAGAAGACACTGCAGGAAGCCACCATCGCTCTTGAACGGCGCCGCGAGGAGAAGGAACAGGTCGATGCCCTCATTGCTAACCTCAGAGAAGAGGAGACTCGCCTGAAGGAGTCGATCACCGTCACCCTTCCCGAGGAGCACAGCAAGATTCATGAGCAGTTCCTTGCGAATATGATGACGGAGGAGTCCCGAATTAAGGAGGCCACGACCGCTCTTATTGAGGAACAGACGCAGCTGAAGGAGACCTTCCTTACCACCCTCAAGGAGGAGCAGGCTCGTTTGATGGAGACAAATGTCGCCTTGAAGGAGGAGCAAGACCAAATGAAGGAGGCTTTCCTCAACAACTTGAAGGAAGAGCAGGCGCGCCTGATGGAGACGAATGTCGCCTTGAAGGAGGAGCAGGAGAAGCTGAAAGAAACCTTCCTCAGCAACCTCCGCGACGAGGAATCTCGGCTCAAGGAGATGAACGATGCTCTACGTGAGGAGCAGCAAGGTCTCAAGGACACGTTCATGGCCAACCTCCGCGAAGAAGAGTCGCTTCTGAAGGAGGTGAATGCCAGTCTCCGGGAGGAACAGGAGCACATGAAGGAAGCCTTCCTAGCCAACTTCAAGGCGGAGGAGCAGCGACTGCGCGAGGCTAACGAGGCCTTGAGGAAAGAGCAAGAACAAATCAAGGTTACCCTTAAGGAGGAGCAAGAGCGTTTCAAGATCGAACTGCTTGCCAACCTGATGGAAGAGGAGGCCCGCCTCAAGGACGCGAACGCTTCTCTCCGCGAAGAGCAGGAACAACTCCGCGCCGAATTCCTTGCCACGCTCAAGGAGGACGAATCGCGGATGAAGGATAGCCTTCTCTCTCTGCGTTCTGAACAAGAGAACCTCAGCCGCCAAAAGACTCGTCTCACCGCTGACCTCTCCTCCCTCGATACAGCCCTCCGCCTCCGCCGCGAGGAACTCCACGACATGGAAGCCCGCGCGGAGAGCCTCGAGCGCCGCATTCTTGAAGGCGTCATGGACCATTCCCGGGTACTACTCATGGCCAAGACCAACCGGGCCGCCGCCAATAGCAGTCGTGACTCGATGAGCCGCAAGCGGGTGTCGTCTTCGCAGAGGTCGGCCGACCCCGCGCCAGCGGCCACCGAAGCTGGCGCCACCAAGCCGCGGAGCGCCATTAACCTGGCCATGTCAGCGCGCAGTAAGGCCAGCACCCCCAACGGAACTTCCTCGTCTGCCTCCAACCGCCGGATCCTCTCCCTCAGCCAGATTACCAACAACGTACCCTCCGGAGGCATGAAGCGTAGCCAGAGCGTTAGGACCGCTGGCGGGGCTGCGGCGTCAAGGGGGCTGCGAAAGACTAGCTGGACATCGTCTGCCGCTGCCGCTCCCGCATCAAAGGGGTATGGCGATCTCGGCGGCGGACTTTCTGACGATAAGGAGAATACCGGGATGGGGATGGACTTGGAAGAGGGGGATGAGGACGCGTACAATGAGCACCAGCGCGAGAGGGAGGTGTCGCAGCCGGTCCCGCCCGTCAACATCGTCATCTCGGAGCCGACCAACGCGGAACCTGAGGTTGTCGATGTCGAGGCCGATGTGACGCCTTCAACGGAGTATGATGGCGAGGAACCTCTTGGGGAGGATCTTGCTGATGAGGAGGACCGGTTCAGTGACCTCGGCGAGGATGTGGATGTTGACAGGGAGGAGGAGGAGGAGGAGGATGCGAGGAGTCTCAGGCGGTCGAGCCACGGTACGACCGTGATCACCCCTGCGGACGAGCATGAGCTTCATGACGGCTGGTCTGAGAATGAGGCTGGTCAGGGGAATGGAGATGACATTGACGATGCGGCGAGCGATTGGACGGAGAGCGTGGTGGGCAGGGAAAGCGATGTTGGTATGGAGAGGGAAGCAAGTGTGCCTGTTGCGGCGGCGAGTTGATGATTGATGGACCGGGATAGGGAATGGTGTGGTATGGTTGGATGAGACATGGCGGAAATGACGAGGGGTGTTGGGGACGGGGCGGTATTCTCTCTTTTGTTTTGATTCCTTATGTTGTTTATGATCATGAGGCCTTGTTGTTTGAGTATAGTTTGCGGCAGGGCGTCGTGGGTTGCTTTGGCAGGCCATGCTGGCGGCGGGTGGTAATTTTTGTTTTGTATGGATAACTCAGATGATGGACATGAAGTTGACTTTGGCTACGCGTTTCGTTTTGTACATTGCAACCAGTGACACGTATGATACAGATTTTAAGCTTTTTAAGACCTGCTGACCATCGATCATCCTAACGATGCCGCGGCCCGATCTTCTCCCTCTCCTCCATCCACGGCCTCAACACCTCGGGGATCGTCACGGTCTTCTCGGCCTCATTCCACCCATTTTCCAAAATAGCGGCCAGCACCCGTGGTACCGCCATCGCCGTGCCGTTCACCGTGAACGGATACACCAACTTCCCACTCGCCAGCTTGACGCGGGTGGCCAGGCGGCGGGTCTGGTAGTCGGTGCAGATGCTCGCGCTCGTCACCTCGCCCCAGCCGTCGTTGCGGTCGCGGCGCGAGGGGAAAAACGCCTCGATGTCGCACTTGCGCGTGGCCGAGGCGCCCAGGTCGGCGGTCGGCATCTCCAGCACACGGCAGTGCAGGCCCAGCGACCCGAGCAGCTCCGTCTGCAGGTCGACCATCTCGTCCAGCAGTTCCTGCGCCACGCCCTCGTCGGGCGCCGCCCACGCGAACAGCTCCACCTTGGTGAACTCGTGCACGCGGTACAGGCCCTTGGTCTCGGACCCGCGCGCGCCGGCCTCGGCCCGGTAGCACCGCGACGCCGCCACCCGCTTGGCCGGCAGCTCGCGCTCGTCCAGCACCGTGTCGGCCTTCATCCCCGCCAGCGGGATCTCGGCCGTGCCCGCCAGGCTGAGCTCGGGCTTGCCGCGCGCGGCGTCCTCGGCCGACTGCGCGATGGCGTAGATCTGCGTCTCGCCGTGCGCGTCCCGCGGCTGGAACCCGCACGCCCCCGCGATGTGCGAGTACACCATGCTGGGCGGGCTGACCTGCCGCCAGCCGGCGCGCGTCGCCGCCGTGAGCGCGTAGTTGACCAGCGCCTGCTCCAGCTGCGCGGCCTCGTCGATTAGGTGGTACCAGCCCCACCCGGAGGTGGCCGCCGCGCCCGCGAAGTCGAGGATGCCGAGCTCCGCGCCGATGTGCACGTGGGAGCGCCACACGCGGTCGGACGGCGCCGGGCCGGGCTCCGGGTGGTCGTTGATGTAGCTCAGCACGGTGGGCTCGTTGCCGCGCGGGGTGGCGTCGCTGGTGAGGTTGGGGATGGCGAGCGCGAGGCGCTGCATCTCGGCGGCGAGGGTGGATTCGGCTTCTTCGATGGCGCTCAGGTCGGTTTTGACCTTGCGGGCTTCGTCGAGGAGCTGCTCGCGGGACAGCGAGCGGAACCCGGCGGCATCTTGGTCGGCGTCGTCGCGGGTTGTTCCTGGGTCGGCGAGTTGACGGCGCAGGAGGTTGCGGCGCTCGCGCAGGCTCCGGCCCTCCTGCTGCTTAGCATGCCATTGGGAAAAGAGGTCGTTGATTTGGGCGGGGTAAGCGGCGGCGGCGTGGTAGTTGCGGTCACGGCAGTTTTGGGCGTAGAGCTCGGGATTTTGGCGGATGTGTTTGAGGTCAGGTGCGGCCTTGGGGCCTGTCGTCGTTTGTCGGGCGGTGGGCGGCTGCTGGTGTTCTGAAACGTCTTGGAGGAGGGTTCGCGCGTTATGGAAGAGCGCTCGTGGTATTGTTCGCGGCGTCGTTAGGTGGGAGAGCGGCAGGATGGTAGGGCATATAAGGGGGGCTTGGTTGACACATCGTAACCAATTCAGTGACCTCCTAGCACCGACAGCGGGTGTCCTCATTTCGCGCAGTTGTCTGGAATATGTGGGCTAGCGGTGACCTTGACCAAAGAGGTCGAAAAGTCAAGATCGAACTAGTGGTGCATCTTATTCTTCCATGTGGTGATGGTGGGTCACACCCAGAGCTTCAGCGTCGCTAAGCCTAAGATTTGCGGGAGCTAGGACCACAATAAAAGCTTGGCAAAGTCCGCGCTGCGACGGGGGAAAGCGAATTGCTGTGTCGCCGACCTTTTTCTCTTCTTCTTCTCTTTTTTTCCCTTCAAATATTCTTTTGTTTTTTCCTTTCAGCCTCACAAGCAATACTTTCCTGATTGGTGCTAAATTGGAATTTTCATTTCATACCTGCTCATTCGTCTGGCCCGGCCCGTCGCCAAGTCGGCTGATCCAGTATGCCGGAACTACAACCTGCCGAGACCGCCGATGAGACCTCCGGTGCTTCCCCAGAGTCAAACGACTCCTCCATATTTGGGGGTCATTGAGGCAGTGAGGCTTTGATATTTGTCGCCCCTCATCACCCGTTGTGGATGGGATATACAACAGGAAGCCGCACGAAAGGCCGTTACACCAGCGAAGTAGTCTCAGTTCGTGAGGAGTGACCAGTTGGTTTCAAGGGTTTTTGCTGTGATCAATACTCCCTGCTATCATCAGATGACCTTTTCTGTTGACCCTGTTTGTGTTACTACAGGAAGTACAGCTGTGCCCGCTGTGACATCTGAGGGCCAGCCAACTCTTTGCTCCTTGGGGCACAGCACGACCTGTCGTGATTGGATCTTCATGATTCCTGGTAGTGGGGGATCGTGCGAAGGCGATCGTGAGGGGTTCTCAGCGATTGTACGCAGATCCCATCCAAGTTGAAAAGACCGACACAGCCATGACGTGCTGCATGCTTCTCAATCCCCACAGAGGGCGACCGCGCAGATCAGCTGGAGTCGTGTCGTGATTCCTAATGGACATGGACACAAGCAAACCGCCGGCTATGGAAGGTTGGATGCAACGTCCGTACCAACTCACATTAGTCCCGGATATCGGATGAACCGAGCTGATGGCAAACTTTGAAGTACGGTTTGCTATTGATACCGTAATTGTTCCCTAATTCCAAGGCGATTGCTGGAGTCCCGAACCCTTGTCTCGCCAAGTTCTCGTTACGAGATCTCCCAGAACAGTTGCTGGCAAACGGATCGGTACTGTGTTCTGGACCTCCATGCCATCCTCACTTTTTTTTTTTTTGATAGCTCCACTGCAAACATTCGCAGCAAAGCCTGTGGACCCTGCGAGGTGCATTGCCCAATCGGCCGGGTTTAAAAGCGACCCGCTAACAAGGGGCTGTCAATGTGAAACAGGGAAATGCAGTTTGGGAGGTTGGGAGGTTTTCGCTCCTCTAACCCTCGCTCGCCCTGATCCTGCGCCTTGAGGGTTCCAGGGGGTGGCTCTTGGGGCTGTTGACTGACTGGTTCAGCTGGTGTCTTCGTGTTTCGTGAGAACGCCTTCCGGAGCGGCACGCGGGAAGGGTCCAATTGGCAGGTACGACAGGACCACTTTCCCCTTTCCCCGGGCTTTGGAGTGGCTTGGCCAAGGAGGGAAATTTCAAAGGCCCATGTGGATGTTGGACCCAACCTCCGACGCGATCCAACAAAATGTTCGAGAAGTAATCGAGGAAGAACTCTTCTTGTTGCGCTTTGCATTCTGCACCCCACCCTCCTTGTCACCATCCCCTCTCGTTTCTGGATGTGACATCTTCGGCCCCTCTTTCAGTCAGTGCCTTACAACCCTCGTTTGTCAGTCCGCCTTTTCCTCGTCGTTCCCGGGTTGATACCATCAGCGGAGGACTTGGTTTGATCGTTTGCTGGCGCCTTCAAGACAAGGAAGGGCCCTTTTTTCCTCTTTTCGCTCTTTGTTCATTTTAGTTGGGTGCCCTGGCTGCGCTTGCGAGTCAACGTTCATCCCATCTGGTTTATCGCCTTGTCGAGAGCCTTGAAACTTGACCTTTTTTGTTCAAATTCCGAGACTCGCCTCGGTTCACGGGGAAAGTCACGCCGACAGCCATTCCAGGTGCCCCGGGCCACGAGACCACTGGTTACGACCACATTCTTCGACCCATCCCTTGAACTTAGCGTCTAAGACAACAATTCTCAAGTTGTGCTCCCTCGGGACTTTAACCAATGTCGTTAAGGTCGCCGAGGTCGCCCCATAACAAGGGCTTCCTTCCCATCTCGGGCGAGTCGACGGCGACCGAGATGCAGGATATTCCCCTGCGCACCATCAAGTCTAATGCGAGCTCAACCGGCTCCCGGAGAGTCAATACCGAGCGCATGGATGAGAAACATGCCCTCTTCGACAAGGCCGTTGGTGGCCCAGCGGGCAGGAGGCGCATCCAGAACGACCTGCAGCGCTCCGGCTCTGGTCTATCTGAGGATACCTCGCTGAACGCCATGGGCCGCTTCTACACCAAGATCATCGGCTTCTCCGCCATCATGCGCTATCTCGTTTACGTCGTCCCCGTCGCCATTCTACTTGCCGTCCCCATTATTGTTCTCCCGCTTACAGGAGACAAGGACCGCGTCAAATTGGGCAGCGGAGAGCGTCACAGCCTGTTCTTGCTGTTTCTCTGGATTGAGATATCATGGCTCACACTTTGGGCGGGGAAGCTGGTCGCCCACGTCCTGCCGTTCGTCTTCATGTTTCTGAGCGGCGTGGTCAGTTCCGGCACGAGAAAGTACGCCACCGTGATACGCGCCCTCGAAATCCCGCTCTCGCTCTTCTTCTGGGGCCTCGCCTCCTGGCTTTCCTTCAAGTTCATGTGGGATGGTGCCAACAGGCAGTGGTCGGACGTTATTGTGCGCATTTTGCTGTCGCTCTTTATCTCGTCGGCGGTCCTCCTAGGCGAGAAGTTCCTGGTGCAGCTCATCAGCATCAGTTACCACCAGCGATCTTTTGCGAACCGCATCCAGGACTCCAAGCGCGACATCTTCCTTCTAGGTCTCATGTATGAGGCCTCTCGGACCCTCTTCCCCATGTACTGCCCCGAGTTTGAAGACGAGGACATTATCATCGCCGACAGTATCGAGGTCATGCTTGCCCGCGGCAAGGGCGGCGGCAAGCAAGGGCCCGCCGCAATGAGGATCGTTGGCGATGTCGGCCGTTTGGGTGACAAAATTACGTCTGTGTTCGGTAACATCGCTTCTGAAATCACGGGGAAGCAAGTTTTCAACCCTAATTCCGCCCACTCGGTCGTGGTCGAAGCGCTCGAGAAGGTCCGCAGCTCTGAGGCTATGGCTCGTCGCCTCTGGATGTCGTTTGTCGTCGAGGGTCAAGAGGCGCTTTCTCTAGATGATATTATCGAGGTCATGGGTCCCGCCCACCGCGAAGAGGCCACAGAGTGTTTCAACGCCATCGATGCCGACCAGAATGGCGATATCAGCCTGGACGAAATGATCCGCAAGGTCGTCGAGATCGGAAAGGAGCGGAAGGCCATCGGTCACAGCATGAAGGATATCGGCCAGGCGCTCGCGGTTTTTGATAAGGTCCTTCTCTTCGTCGTTCTGATCGTCGTTATTATCATTTTCTGTACGTTTTCTCCCTTCTCCTTCGGGCCACACTCACCCACTAACAAAGCCCAGTGGCCGTCTTCCAGAGCAGCTTCATTGCCACCCTTACTACGGCTGGTACCACGCTTCTCTCGCTGTCCTTCGTCTTCGCCGTCACTACGCAAGAGTTTTTGGGTTCCTGCATCTTCCTTTTTGTCAAGCACCCATACGATGTCGGGGACCGTGTAGATATCACTGGCCCTGAGAAGGAACAGTTGATCGTCGAGAAGATCTCTCTCCTCTACACCGTCTTTACTCGTATCGACAAGATGCAAGTTGTCCAGGTAGGTTCCCGCCAATGTCCCCCTTTTCATTATCGGTAGCTAACCAGTCAGGTCCCCAACATTGTGTTAAACAATGCGTGGGTTGAGAACGTGACGCGGAGCAAGGCCATGAAGGAGGTCATTGACGTCAATGTCGCCTTTGACACGTCGTTCGAGGATATCGAGTTGCTGCGCCTCGAGCTCGAGCAGTTTGTGCGGTCGCCGGACAACAGCCGCGACTTTCAACCAGATATTGCCATTGGTGTCGGCGGCGTCGGCGACTGCGACAAGCTCACTCTCAAGATCGCCATCAAGCACAAGTCCAACTGGCACAACGACGCCGTTCGAGCCACGCGCCGCTCCAAATTCCTGTGTGCTCTTACTCTCGCTCTCAGGCGCGTGCCCATCAACGGCCCGGGGGGTGGCGGCGATGCTCTCGGCGGACCCGCCAACCCATCATACAGCGTCGCTGTCACGGATACCTTCGCTGCCGAGGCCCGCGCCAAATCTGAGCAAGATAAGGCGGCCAAGAAGCTGGCGAACCAAACTGCTGAGGAGACTGCTAACGCTGACTCGACCGAGCAACGAGCAGCCGATAACATTAACACGTCTAATCCCGTGGTTGAAGCGCTCGATGACTGGGGTTATGACAACACCCTCGCCAGCCGTGATCCCTCGGCCGACCGTCTCCGTCACGGGGATTCCGCTGCTGCGGCCACCGTATCACGCTCCGACACCGTCGGCGGCGTGAGCACCCGTGAATCCCAGCGCGGGCGCCGCAGAGCTGGCGAGACGGCCCCTCCACATTCTCTGGGCGACGACCCGAACATGCCAGCTGTCCATCTGACACGCACGTCCACGTCGACCCGCCCGGACAACCACTCGTTCGACGTGGAGAGGCAGGCAGGCATTCCGCCCCCGGTGGGGTCGCCGTACAACACTTGGTCCGCGTACAACGCGCAGGCGCCTAGTCCGGTCGCCAGTGACACTGGTGTACCCCACCCACAGGGTGTATACGGGGGTCCTCCCCCGCCGGCCAGCGGGACCACGCATCTAGCTGTCCAGCAACCGGGAGCACACCCTCAAGGCGCAGCGTCCGGGAGGCCACTGGTTGGCGCGAGGCATAGAGGGTCGAGCGTTAGCCAGCCGCAACAAGGCGGCCCTGCCCAGGGGCAGCCTGGGCCTTCAGGACCCTCGGGTAGGATTTAAGATGCGCAACGCCTACAGAAAAAGGAGATAGAGAAACGATTTAGGGCCAAAGGCGGATTCTATTAATGAAGGAAACGTAGATTGGGGATCATTGGAACTGAATTTGATGCGCGGTTTGGGGTGATCATTTTGGTCAATCACCAACTAATGGCGTTCGTTGGATGCTTAGAGATTCTGTAATTTGTTGTAGATTCTAGGGAGACGGTCCGTTTTGTCAGGACAGAAGAGGTTTTGGGGTTTTTGGGGATAAGCATTGCGGTCATGTTGCGTTGCATCTGCATATCGCATCGCCAGCAGGCCTTGTTTTTGTGTATAGACATGATTACTAGAAAGCCAACTTGGGATTTCCAACAGACCGAACTGCTTCCATCTGATGCTATTCCATCACTATCATAGAAATCCATCGGCTGATCCACTGCTCAGCAAACATGCTCCACAGCGGGCACGCCGCCCTCGGGTTCGCCGAGCTCGGTCTTCAGCACGCGGCCAAACACCTCGAGCAGCACCTCGAAACAAGCCTTGCTGACAGCGGGGTCGTAGCGGCCTTTGCTCAGCTCGTCGCGGATGAAGGCGTGCTGGGCCCACGCGAACTCGTGGAAGCTGGTCGTGACGCCGGCCTCGCGCATCTTGAGCCGGATCAGGTCGCGCCCGGCGTCGGGCACGTGCGTGTCCTTGACCCCGAAGATCAGCGACACCTCGCCCCGGATCCGCCCCAGCTGGTCCAGCGTGTGCTGGCTGTCCGCCGACGGCGCCGTCGCCGACGAGTTGGCCGCCGTGTATGGGCCCAGTGTCCGCGTGTGGATGTCGGTGGGAAAGTAGCAGACTGAGGCGGTTATACGGGGGTCGAGCTGGGGTTGGAGGGTTAGTTTTTTTTTTCTTTTTTTTTTTTTAGGGTGCGATGGGCGTGGAAGGTAGGGGGGTAGGGGGTGAGGGGAAGGGGAGGCATACACTTGCGCGCAGGGCCAGGTGCCCACCTAGACACATGCCTGTTGCGCCGATACGGCCAGTGCAGGTGGGCAGTGAGAGGAGGTAGTCGACTGATCGGGTTGAGTCTTCGTCGTAAGAGTTGAGGGTCTGAATGCATTGGTTAGTCGAAAGGTTACGGAGGGAAAAGGCTTGAAGCTTGCCTACCTTTGTTATCTTCCACTCGTTCCCCTTGTCGGTTCCCGGCACGTCGTATGCCAGAGGCTCGGGGCCGGTAAAGTCATGGTAGCTGCTGGGGGCGGCCACGATGTAGCCCTGGCCGGCAATCTGTCTTGCAAATCGAGCGACTGGGCCGGTGACTATCTCACAAACCCACCACACATAATGAGTTGCTGGTCGCTGGCCGGAGAGAATGCATCTCACCCTGGTAGATCTCGCTGAAAAGCACAACTCCCGGGAAGCGACTGGCAGACAGGGCTTGTAAGCTACCTAACAATTAAGACACGGTTTTGAATGGCGTCACTCACGCGTTGGGATAACCGGCGATGGTGGGATGGAACAAGAAGATTCCTGGCAGTCGGTTGTGTTAATTTGACAATGCCAAACTCAATATCAAGAGTCAAACTGAGGCCCTGACTCACTCATCGAACCCTCCTTGCCATCGGCGAGCGTTTTCACATCAGCAAAGCTCTCCTTAATTAACATGATGGGCAACAGCTAGTTGTTTGACTCTGCTTGTGCTTGTTTATGAAAACTACAACCATGCAAAGCTGGACCTAAAAGTCCTGAAATCTGTGACAAGGGACTCTAGCTCCAACACGATGGACTTTTTGGTGGCTGTTGTTGCTGCCCCTGAATATAGCTCCCGTCTGTTTTGCATTACTGAGCAATGCCCCGCTCCTGTCATCTGGAGGGGAAGCTGCTTGATTGCGGGGCAGCCAAGCATTATCTTATCGCCTCATGACTTCATCATCGAAGGGCGGTGGCGGGGAACTTTGAAATGACGCTGCGGAGGTGCCCAGGGAAAGAGCAAATTGCAATTTCGAACCCATTGGAAACACGACTGGAATGACAGTTTGACAGCTTAAACAAAAGATAGAAAGAAATCACGTCTGGCCGATTGGGCATCCCAAGGCAGGGAGGCTTGGTGGACAAAGAGCTTTCCCGATGGCAGTGCTTCAGGCACCCAGACCGCAACCTGGAACGCTCAGCCCAGACCCTGCAAGATCGTAAGTGGGTCCGCGGGGTACTTCGGGGTACATGTCCACACCCTCAGAGGCTGAAATTTCATGCAGCAGCGCCACCAAAGGGGGTGTTTGCGGCTGCCGCGCCTCAACCGTCTCAGACGGGCAGTTCGTGATAGTTGGTGAGAATGGCTCTTGAGTGGTTGAAAGCGAGATGGCAGGTCAGTAGGTAGGGTGGTAGGAGGTGTGTGGATATAAACAAATCGAGCCAGCTTTGCCCGTCAATCATCAATCGTCATACACCCCAACTCGGGCTCTGAGTTACTGCCTGACCAAAGCTGAACTGCCCGGCCCATCCATGCTTTCCACTCCTTTGAGGCTGCGGGAATCGACTGCCGCCAGGGAAGTGCCTCACCCCGTCGATTCAACACCCCAGTTAGGAAACATGCAAACAAAATATCTCTATGTAATTGCTGCAGGCGCTATACCGGTGGTCGATGTCAGGGAATCACAAAGGCACGCAAGGCTACTGCTGGAGCCCGGTAGAACATTCCAGTGCTGCGTGGAGGGGTCCAGAGGCGGCGCAAGGTTGCCAGGCCAATCGAGAAGTAGCTGGCAGTACCTTTGGTTGGTGGGGTTGAAGAAACCCACCGAAGCCCGTGGAAACAGCAACCAAGTTCAAGCTGCGCTTAAATTCTGAAAGCTCTTCTGCCCCTCCTTCCACTCCCGCACTCCCCATCCCACCAACTCTTCTTGCAACCCATTCACGAATTCCCACCACACTACGGGAATCTTCAACGAACGTTATCTCACTTTACACTTCTAATTTCCATTTGACTGTCGATCGAGCACACAGACAAGATGGCTCCCGCCGTCGGTATCGACTTGGGCACGACCTACTCGTGTGTGGGTGTGTTCCGCGAGGATCGGTAAGTTTAACCCCCATAACTATCGAAAGACAGGGCCACTCGTGATCAGCATGTCTCGCAGCTCGGTGGGCCATTCTTTAGATCGGTTGGTCAACATCAACCGACCAATCTAAGGAATTTGACTCCTGAGAAATCGAGCTTGCCCCTCGACCTGGCCTTGTGTTTTGTCGGCAGCGGACAGAACATCAAGCACGGTATACTAACCAACTTTCCACAGTTGCGAAATCATTGCCAATGACCAGGGTAACCGGACCACCCCGTCGTTCGTGGCCTTCACGGACACCGAGCGTCTCATTGGAGATGCCGCCAAGAACCAGGTCGCCATGAACCCTCACAACACCGTTTTCGACGCCAAGCGCCTTATTGGCCGCAAGTTCGCCGATGCTGAGGTTCAAGCCGACATGAAGCACTTCCCCTTCAAGATCATCGACCGTGCTGGCAAGCCCATCATCGAGGTCGAGTTCAAGGGCGAGCAGAAGACCTTCACCCCGGAGGAGATTTCTTCCATGGTCCTGACCAAGATGCGCGAGACTGCTGAGTCTTACCTCGGTGGCACTGTCAACAACGCTGTTGTCACTGTCCCCGCCTACTTCAACGACTCACAGCGTCAAGCCACCAAGGACGCCGGTCTCATTGCTGGCCTCAATGTCCTGCGTATCATCAACGAGCCCACTGCGGCCGCCATCGCTTATGGTCTCGACAAGAAGGTTGAGGGCGAGCGCAACGTCCTCATCTTCGATCTTGGTGGTGGTACTTTCGATGTGTCCCTCCTGACCATTGAGGAGGGTATCTTCGAGGTCAAGTCGACTGCTGGTGACACCCACTTGGGTGGCGAGGACTTTGACAACCGTCTTGTCAACCACTTCGTTATGGAGTTCAAGCGCAAGTTCAAGAAGGGTAAGTTTTCTTCTTCCTCTTCCACGGCATATGGCCGGATATTCAAGTTCTCATGCTGACATACTTCTGCTCAGATCTTTCCACCAACGCCCGTGCGCTCCGCCGCCTGCGCACTGCTTGCGAGCGTGCCAAGCGCACTCTTTCGTCGTCGGCTCAGACCTCGATCGAGATCGACTCTCTCTTCGAGGGCATCGATTTCTACACCTCCATCACCCGTGCTCGCTTTGAGGAGCTGTGCCAGGATCTTTTCCGCTCGACCCTGCAGCCCGTTGACCGCGTCCTGACCGATGCTAAGATCGACAAAGCCCAGGTCCACGAGATCGTCCTCGTCGGTGGTTCCACTCGTATCCCCCGTATCCAGAAGCTTATTAGCGATTACTTCAACGGCAAGGAACCCAACAAGTCGATCAACCCCGACGAGGCTGTTGCCTACGGTGCTGCCGTCCAGGCTGCCATTCTGTCCGGCGACACTACCTCCAAGTCGACCAACGAGATCCTCCTGCTCGACGTTGCCCCCCTCTCGCTCGGTATCGAGACTGCTGGTGGCATGATGACCAAGCTCATCCCCCGTAACACCACCATCCCGACCAAGAAGTCCGAGGTTTTCTCGACCTTCTCTGACAACCAGCCTGGTGTGCTTATCCAGGTTTACGAGGGTGAGCGCCAGCGTACCAAGGACAACAACTTGCTCGGCAAGTTCGAGCTTACCGGCATCCCGCCCGCCCCTCGCGGCGTACCTCAGATCGAGGTTACCTTCGATCTCGATGCCAACGGCATCATGAACGTCTCCGCTCTCGAGAAGGGTACTGGTAAGACGAACCAGATTGTCATTACCAATGACAAGGGTCGTCTATCCAAGGAGGATATCGAGCGTATGCTTGCGGAGGCCGAGAAGTTCAAGGAGGAGGATGAGGCTGAGGCTAGCCGCGTCTCCGCCAAGAACGGCCTCGAGTCGTACGCGTACTCTCTTCGCAACACCCTCAGCGACCCCAAGGTCGATGAGAAGCTCGACGCCGCTGACAAGGAGACCCTCCGCGCCGAGATCGACAAGATCGTCACCTGGCTCGACGAGAGCCAGCAGGCCACCCGCGAGGAGTACGAAGAGCACCAGAAGGAGCTGGAGGGTGTCGCCAACCCCATCATGATGAAGTTCTACGGTGCTGGCGGTGCTCCTGGTGGCATGCCTGGCGGTATGCCCGGCGGTATGCCCGGTGGTGCCCCTGGTGGCTTCCCCGGTGGTGCTCCTGGCGGTGCCGGCCATGACAACGATGGCCCCACCGTTGAGGAAGTCGACTAAATAGGTGGTTGACGACATTTGGGCCGGCGTTTCTGCTTTTCTATGCGTTAGTAGATTGGATCCGCGTTGAAAAAAAACGCGGATATGGGGTATGGGGTAACACCTAGATCTGGTTTCTCTTTGATGATCATGATACAGGGGAAAAGTCAGGTGGTGGGAGGCTGCATGGACTGTACTTTAGTTACGATTCCCGTTTCCTTGCAATGGACAAAGGAAATTCATACTTAAACAATTCGTTCCTGTGATGTGCTTGTGACATGGTGGGGGTCTTCGCTCCTTGTAGGTTGTTGAGTCGCCTTGGTCATTGAATGACTGCGCTGCTTCTGGCAGGGCCGTTTCACTCTCTTACCTCGATCAAGTCCGAATGTAATGTATCTGTTCCGACTCATCACACCCCTTCGTATTGACAACTTAATTCTTTAATTAACTTTTCTTTCATGGACGACGATGCTTCCATCCGTCGGGAACTCCCCATCCGTAACCAAATCGATACTCGGTGTCCTGTCATGGAGATTATGCGGTTGGGTATCTGTGGCAGAGATGAATTGCGTTGCTAACAACTATCAAAACTAAAATCATATCACTCCTTCTTACTATTATCACTATTATTCCCCTCCGACCCCGCCATCTCCCGGATCCGCCTCCGCCTCTCCGCATCCATCCTCTGAAACGCCGCATCATCTATCACAGGCGGCTCAAAGCTCTGCTGGAACGCCGTGCCCGGGGCAACGCGCTCGGTCCGGCTGGCCCAAACGTCCTCGCTGCTGGGCCGGCCGCCGCCGTACTTGGCCTCCTCCTTGGCGCGGTAGTGCTCGCGTATGGCCTCGGCCTTGAGCTCGGGCGAGTACGACTTGGTCCGCATGCAGAACCAGAAGTCGTCCCACAGCTCCGTGCATGGCCGCACTGATCCGTACCGGTACACCGCGTTCCACTGTGCCCCTGGTGTGTGGCAGTGCCATGCGTAGTCGAACGCGTCGCGGCAGGACATGGTTGTGGGGAGGAGGTGCTCGGACATGGCGAGGGATTGGGGACTGCGGGTTTGTTTTGGGGGGGTGGTTTGCTGCTCGGTGGTGGGGGTGGTGTCGGGTTTTGTGGATGACCAGGGGAGCCAGGAGGAGGAGGATTTGGATGGTGGTGATGGTGGTGATGTTGGCTGTTGGGTCTTGGATTGAGAGGAGGATGATTGGGTGTCCTTCAGGAGCATGTTCATGAACATGGCCATCTCGCGGTCGGTGGAGTTGGACTCTGCCTCGGCAGGTGGTGTTTGAGTCGGCGCGGTCGGTGCTGGTGGTGTGGGAGTGTTTGGCGTTGGGGATGCGCTGTCGCGTGAGCCCGCGGGCTTCGGCGACGAGGGGGCCTGCCAGAACCAGCCCATGGTGATGATGGCTTCGATGTCGGTGGAGGTTTTGTGGAGATGCGCGCTACCGTCTGATTAAACCCTGATCGCAACAACGTTCGGATTGCTCAGTGTGTCCCGGTTAGGAGAGGGGAAGTGAGGGGCAGGTTGCTCTTCGGCGGGAGCGTGTCTATCTCAGCGCGCGCAGTATGGCCTGGACGTCAAAGGGCTTGCAGCCAGTTAAAGATTCTCATGCATCCGGCCGGCAAGAATTGGCGCGTGGTGGGGTAGCTTGGCACCATGCTTGGCGTGCGGTGGGCCATTGGAAGTAACGGTGCTCCCTGAAGAATCAAAGATGGAAATAGCAGAAAACAGAGGTTAAGTGCAGAAAGAAAAGAACACCGCCGAAACTGGTGTATCTATAAGCACGTAAATATAAACTAAAAACGGTGATCAAATTCTGTCAGGGGCGCTGAGCCGCAGTTCCGGGAGCACAGTTAGTCTAGCTGGTCCAGGGCCCAATGACCTCATTGAACCAGGGCATCTCCCACTTCGTCGTCGCATGTGGGACAAGGTTGTCAAGCAACCACCACCCCGGAAACCCTCGAACTTCTGATCGGACGACATATCACACACATCAGCCACCAGGGTACCCTTTGCTTTACTACATTTGCGCTGCCATGAAGCAATGATATCGGGACGGGTGCTGTATAGACCGGCTGGTCGGCGTGGGGTCGGTCCGCTACCACTAGCTGCCACAACTTATGCTCTTAGGCGCCGCTCGCCCTCGATCACGGCGCTCGGCCAGCCAAGGCGTCTGATTCGGAGATGGGAGAGCACATCAGGAGCTGTAGGAAGTGATAACTCGGGTCATATCGACACCCAGCCCAACGAGTCAATCCTCTTCTTTGACAGTAAGCTCCAAAAAGAAACGAACAGCAATTTCATCGCCAGCTTCTTTCAGACTAATTCTGGCTCTAGATATCTTCCCCCTCAAGCTCAGCTCGGTGTTGCTCTGGAGAGCTTGGGAGACGAATGAACTACTCAGGCGATTCAACAGCGCATCCTTAAGTTTCCTCGACCCCATTGGCCTCGTCAAGCGGGCAATCCCCGAAAGCGCCCCTATTAAGGTTACCGAAATCATCCCCCGGCTCAAAGAAGGCGGGGCCTACGTCAAGTTTACCTATCCTGATAGCATATCACCCGCAGACATAGAAGGTATTCACTCACCCTGAGGGACGGCTTTACTGTCCTCACCCCGCACCAGCACGACGCTCACAGAACTATCAGATCAACTCGTTAAATACCACGAGAAAACACCCATCAAACCGTGGTTCAACCCCTTTCGTACTATCAAGTCGCGCCTTGTTCTCGGCCGGCCATGGTTAGAGGACCTGTACCGCCTTCCGAAGAGCCGTCTCAAGATCGAGTTTGTGCCCGCCAAAAACTCCGAACCGCCAACCGAGTTGTCACAGGAGTCCCTGTACAGTCTGTTTCGCCGATATGGGAAGATATCTGACATAACCTCTCAAGCCCCGGACTCCAAGGTCCTGCCCAAGTTTGCCTATGTTGACTTCGTCTTGGTTCGGGACGCCATTCTAGCCCGCAACTGCATCCATGGGTTTGTCCTTCAAGAAGAAGGGAGCAAGAGCCTAACCCGCCTGCGCTTGTCGTACGAACAAAGAGTAAAGGCCCATCACATCTGGAATTGGGTCACCGGCCACCCGCGGATTGTCATCCCCGTAATTGCTGCCTTTTTGGCTGCCTTTACCGTTGCCGTTTTCGACCCGATCCGCGAGTTTTTTGTTAAGGTGCGTCTGCGCCCCTCCCGACGGGGCTGATGGTCAAATCGCGAATCCCTAACTGTGCTTAGGTCCATGTTCAAAGGTCTTTTGAGTTTACTGATAGTCAACTGTACAAATGGTTGAAGCGGCAAACCTCTGACATCCTGGCCTTCCGCAAACGGGGAGACGATGACGCCGGCCTAAGTGCCTTATTTACCCACCGGAAAGACCTGATCGACTCGATACAAAATAACTTACTCGAGACCGTTGGTACATTCATCGTGGTTCAAGGCCCGCGTGGTTCTGGCGGGCGGGAACTTGTTATGGACCAAGTACTCGAGGGGCGCCGCGACGTGCTGGTGGTAGACTGCAGACAGGTGGTAGAAGCTCGCGGCGAGGCGGGAACAATAAGGAAGCTGGCTAACCAGGTTGGCTATCGTCCCGTCTTCTCCTGGGCCAACAACCTCAGCAGCATGGTCGACTTAGCCATTCAGAGCACTACAGGAGTCAAGGCCGGGTTCTCGGAGAACCTCGAATCCCAAGTCACCAAGATCCTTCAGACCACCGCCGAGGCCCTCAAGGATGTTTCGCTCGCTCGCAGGAAGCGCGATAAGGACGCGAATCTCACAGACGATGCCTATTTGGAGGCACACCCCGAGAGGCGGCCCGTCATCGTGATAGACAACTTCCTACACAAGAGCGAGGAGAAGGGCATCGTCTACGACAAAATCTCGGACTGGGCTTCGGCTCTCGTACAAGCGAACATCGCCCACGTCATCTTTCTGACTACCGATACATCATATTCCAAGCCGCTTTCGAAGGCACTTCCGGATCGTGTTTTCCACCAGATCACCCTGGGCGACCTAACCCCCGAAGTAGCAAAGCACTTCGTAGTGTCACAGCTCGAAACAGACGAAGATGCCGACGAGAAAAAGAACGGCGCGTCTCCCGCCATTAGCGAGAGGAAACTTCGGAGGGACCTCCAGGAACTAGACGAGTGTATCGATGCCTTAGGCGGCCGCCTAACTGACCTACAAGTCCTGGCCCGCAGACTTAAGGTTGGCCAGAGCCCGAAGAAGGCCGTCTCAGACATCATCGACCAGAGCGCGTCCGAGATCTTGCGCATGTTTCTCCTCACCAACAAGGGTGCCGGCTCCGGCGACAAGAAGTGGTCAACTGAGCAGGCCTGGTACCTGATCAAGCAAATCGCCTCCAAGGAAAGCCTACGCTACAACGAAGTTCTGCTCTCCGACACCTTTGCCTCGTCCACCACTGCTGACGCCAGCAACGCCGAGGCTGCCCTCGAGAGCCTCGCTAATGCCGAGCTGGTCACCATCAAGTCACACCACGGCCGCCCCGCCACCATCCGCGCCGGCAAGCCTGTCTACCAGGCAGCGTTTAACAGGCTGCTGGACGACGCCGTGGTCAATGCACGGATGGACCTAGCTGTGCTAACTGAGCTAGCCAAAATTGAGGCCAAGAAAATCGACAAGGCCGAGGGAGAGCTCAGCGTGCTTGGAAGTCTGCCTTCGCAACCATACCAGACTGCCGACCGGGTTAACTACCTCTTGGCGAAGCTGCAGGGAAGCCAGGAGAAGATCGTGGCGTATGAGAAGGAGATGGCTGGCTTGAAAAAGGTGCTGTCCGAGGAGGCTTGAGGGTTGCTCTTGGGAGTGTTTAGCGCGCGAGCCATTGCGATGGCGTTGGACACCCCTCTCAACTTGTACTTGTAGCAGTCGGGGCCTGAAGAGTTATCATTAATGTTCTGTCGTACGAGCAAACAATGATGTACTTTACGCAACGGGTAACTGTGGTATAATTTCTTGAAACAACACCCTGCCCCAATCCGCTTGCCAATGAACCAGTCACCTGTCAACCAACAAGAGTGAAGCAAACGCTCCTCCCGGCAAATTTGCCTTGTACTCCTATCCCATTACATGTCTCCATTCAACAATCCGACAGCTGCATCCACATCTCACTCGTCCTCGCTGTCCATCTCCTCCCCTTCGCTCACCTCCACCTCTTCGTCCGCGTCTTCCTCTTCCTCGGCGGCGTCTTGTTCTGGTGGCGCGTTTACCGCCATTTCTTGCCCTTGCGCGAAGAATATGCGGGCCGACTGATCGTAGTCATTGTTTATTGTGTATTCGTTGTCTAAAAAGAAGTGCGGGTTAGCAAACAGTTAACAACCAAGCAGAAAAGAAAAAGGGACGGTGGCAAACATACACCTAGGCACGATAAATATCCCACCCTTGCTGATGCGGAAACTCGTCTCCTGAACGGTTACCAACACCCGGCCAGCGTGCACAAAAAAGATCATGAAGACCTTGCGCGAGTTTTTCAATCGCTTGATGGCCCCCGGCGGCAGGTCCACCACACCAGCGCCGATGAAGCCCTCGCTGAACACCTTGGCGTAGCGGAACTCGCCGCCCACCACCTCGGTCGTCTTGATGGCCGGCCCGCTGATGGCAAGCTGCTTGTCCATGACGCTGACGAGATCGTTCGGCGCCGGCGGGCTGAACTCGTACTCGGGCTGCCAAACGACCACCTCGCCCGTGACAGTCCCCGGATCCAGCTCCCACACCTCAGCAGGGCCGTCATCTTCCCCATCATCATCGTCCTCAAACCCGCCACTCCGCCTCCGCCGCCCGCGCTTCGCGGCACCCTTCCTCCCACCACCACCACCGCCCCGACGAGACTTGGCGCGCACCTCGGGCTCGGGCTCGTCGACGCGGTGGACGGCGTTGACGCTAGGCAGGACGAAGCGGCTTCTGCGGCTGCGGCCGACGAAGGCGTCCTCGGCCTCGTCCTTGTCGAACTCGACGCGCTCGTTGCGCCAGTAGGCGAGCGGCTTGAAGGACGTGCGCCCGGACCGCGTGCGGCTCATGGACGAGCCCGGGTCGCCGGGCACCTCGCGCCGGTTGATGAGCAGGCCGCGCGACTTGGGCAGCGGCGGCCGCCGCGCGATGGCCACTTGCGAGACATCACCCGGGTCGATGGATGATTTGCGCTTCCGCCCACGCGGCTTCGGGGCTGGGGCGGGGGCCGTTTCGGGAGCCTTCTTGCCTGGCTTTTTGGCGTTGGCGGCGGGTGACGTCCGTTGGCGCTTGGGTTGCGGTTCTGGTGAGGGCTCCTCGGCTGCGGCCTCTTCGTCCAGCGAGCGGCGCTTCTTAGAGCCGCGGGCAGGGGGTGGCGGTGCTGCAGCTTGGGCCTTGCCGGCCTTGGGAGGTCGGCCGCGTTTCCCAGGTGTTGGCTTTTGTGGTTTAGGCGTCGGCTCCTGTTCCTCTTCCGAGTGCCCGCCGTCCTCTTCTGGGCCCTCCTCCTCCTCCTCCTCTTCCACTTCCTCTTCCACGACTTGTCGGGTAGGCTTTTTCTGAGGTTTCACCGCCTTTGCTGATGCGGCCACTTTTTGCTTTGGTGGCCGGCCTGGTTTCTTCTTGGCGGCAGGAGCCGGCGGATCCTCTTCCTCTTCCTCGCTTTGCGCCGGTTCCAGATCTTGCTCTTGTTCGGCAAGTTCGTAGTCTTCGCCCTCGTTCAGCATGGCCATGGATTCCTCGACAAAGTCGTTAACCTCGTCGTCTTCCGCTCCATGACCACCTTCGCTTTGCGCCTCCTCTTCCTCTTCTGAATCGTGGCGCAGTGGTTGTAGGCGATTGCCGTGAGCCTGGGGCTGTGATAGCGAGTGTGGCCCCCCGTTTGCGACACTTCCGAAGTCGAGTTTGCGCTTGGTTGCGGTTTGATCGTTCGTCGGTTGGCTGCTAGATCGGGAATCGTCATTTCTAATGACGGCACCGCGTGCTGGAGATGAGGAGTTGCGCGCGAGGAACCGGTTTCGTTGAGCGGGCGAGTTGAGCAGCGGTTTTGCTGGTGACCGGATGCGTGACAAGGACACGGGTAACCTACTCCCGTGGCCGTTGAGAAGCGCCGCCGGGCCAATTCCAGATGCTGTGACCGAACGTTAGTGACCCTTCTTTCCTTTGCTGCTTTGTTCTAAACCATACTTGTAGTGATATCCATAGCCTCCTCGCCGCTCCCATACTCGTCGGACCCTTCATCCTGCTGGTCCTCGTGGTCCGACTTGCCGGGAGACGAAAAAAGATTCTCGATCGGCTCCATGCCATGTTCGTCGCGTACTCCCGAGTCGGGAACCGTCACACCAGTTTTCCTGGCCCGATGTTAGCCAATCCGACCTTCCACCCCTGCTATGCCCCGTTATGTCCCGTTGACGTACCTCCCTACCACACCGAGTTCGTAGATATGTTCGCCCTGCGGTGCGAGCGTGCGCCGCGCTATGGATGGTCGGGGCGCCATGTTGGCGACGTCAGTGACAAGTTCAGTGCCGAGACGCGTAGGAGCTCAAGTTGGCAGCAATTCGAATTGTTTCCTGGGAGCCCGTGTAGGTGAAATACGATCGGTGGGGATTCGATTCGGGCATTCGAGGGGTCGGAGATACGCGAACAGAGTGGGAAATCGTTTAATGCGATTGTTTACTGGGTTTAGAGGCGGCGTGTGGGTGTCGCTGGAATTTGTCGGCACTGTGTGTTAATGGTTGTGGAGAATACCTCTTTGATTGGCCTACATAACTCACCTGCGACGCGCTTCGACACCGAGCACGCGTCAAGCTCGGCCCCTCCAGGTTCATGACAGGGGTATGGGCGCTGAACATGTCTGCAGCAAAACCCGTCCCAGGAACTTTCCAAGTACGTTACTCCAGAAACACATGCAACTGATAGAACCTTGAACTGCTTCGACAATCCCGATACGCCAGTGAACAAAGCATCTAAGTAATATGGACAATTCCCAACAAGCCGGGGATGTGGCCCTCGAAACCCGTCCACCATCCATCGTCCCACCCTCGATCAACGAATCCGCCCTCCTCTCCGGCGAATCCTACTCCTACTACTCCCCCGTTCCGCCGGCCCTCCTCCCACCACCCGACTCCCCGCCCTCCGCCACCGGGCCCCCATGCGCGCTCGGCGTCGACGAAGCCGGCCGCGGCCCCGTCCTCGGACCCATGGTCTACGGCGTCTTCTACCTGCCAATCCCGCTCTCAGACCCGCTGCTACGCACCACCCACCACTTCGACGACAGCAAGGTCCTAACACCGGCCGTCCGCGCATCCCTGATGGAAACTCTCTGCACACCAACCAGCGACCTGTACGAGTCATGCGGGTGGGCGGTGGACGCGCTGTCGGCGCGCGACATCGGCGCGGGGATGCTGCGACCGGGGCTGGGAGCGTACAACCTCAACGCGCAGGCGATGGACGCGACGGTGGAGCTGATCAAGGGCGTGTACGCGCGCGGGGTCAACGTGCGCGAGATCTACGTCGACACCATCGGGCAGCCGGCCGCGTACCAGGCCAAGCTGGCCCGCGTCTTCCCCGCCGCCAAGGTCACCGTGGCCAAGAAGGCCGACAGCCTGTACCCAAGCGTCAGCGCCGCCAGCGTGTGCGCCAAGGTGACGAGGGATGTTGCGCTGGAGACGCTCTGGAAGGCGAGGGGTGGTGGGGGGGAGGAAGGGGTAGAGGAGACTATGGCTTGGGGATCGGGTTACCCATCGGACGGGAGATGCGTCACTTGGCTGAAGAGTAACATGCATCCTGTCTGGGGTTGGGGGCCCGAGTGCAGGTTCAGCTGGGGGACGGCTAAAGACATGATAGAAGCGACCCCGGCGAAAGGTGGTGGCGTCAACGTGGAGTGGCCAGTCGACGAAGACGCCGACACCCAGCGGTTGATCGACTATTTTGCCTCTACGGGCCAGGAGAAGGACGGGGACGAGCTAGGGACGTGGTTTGGGACACCAACCGGGCTGGAAGCATTCTAAACGAGGAACGACTTGTACTTGTAATCATATTGGATAATCAGGACCGGCGTAGGGAGTTCGGGTAATGATAAAAGTATCCTGCACGGCAGTCGAAGACTGTCTCTTCTGCAACAAGAATAATAAACTAAATCATCTATGTAAACACCAGGATTACGCCATTCCTAACCGTATCTAAATATCGTCGTCCTCTTCGACCTCCTGAGCCTTCTTCCCGCGGCTATCCAGCCTATCCATACCGATACCGTTATCCTGGGATCTAGGCGGCATTGCGATGGCCTGTCTCATGGTCTGGTTATTCTCGAGGAAGTCGCGAAGCTTCTCCTTGCCAATCTCGACGGCTTGATTGGACGCCGCGTTGGCCATCTGCATCATCGGGCCGAGGAGGTTGAGCGTGTAAGCCACGTATGTGCCACCGCCCATGACGAGGAGGAGCATGAAAAGCATGGGATTGCGGAGGACTGGTAACGGTTAGTAAACTGCTCCTGAGTCAAGCATGACGGAAGACCTACCCATGACGATCTCATTCCACCCAAAGATCAGGAGGACGATATAAAAGTAGAGCGGCACCTGGGTAATGCCCCCGATGGCGCTCCGCTTGGCCTCCACGTACACCCCGTCGGCCATCTTTTTGAACCGGACCACGAGGTCCTGGCGCTTGCTTTCGCTCAGCACCGTCATCTCCTCCTCGAGGCTCTTGCCCTCCTCCTCATCCACACCGCCGATAGGCGCTAGGTCTTCTTCGTCCTCAGGCTCGGCACCGGCAGGCTGGGGGCCAACGAAAGTTGGCAAGTCCGGCGGAGCGTACGTCTCTGCCAACCTGAACCTCGCCAACAGCGGGATCAAGCCCAACGTGGATTCGCGGGCGCGGGTGTAGATTCCTTCGATGTCGTCGGTCGGACGCCAGATGCGGGGGACGCCCTCTTCATCGTACCGGAATTTATCCTCGAAGTTCTCGCGGAGCTTCATGAGAATGTTGCTCTCCATCATCTCCTCCTCAATCTTCTCCCTGAGCGCCACCCAGCTCTTGCGCCGGAGTCGCCAGAGGCCCACCTCAACCTCCTCGGGGCTTGCCTCGAAGCTCTTAGCTCTATCAGCAAACCGCGTTTCGGCCTCCCTGATGATGCCGCTGAAAGTATTCCAGATACGGTCCCAGAGATCCTTCTCTGTGGCTGGCTTTTCGCCGTTTTCGGGCGCTCCAGATCCGCCCCTACCAGACCCGAGCTTGTTGAATTCGACACCGATAGAATCGCCGAGACGAGACTTGACCCATCTCTCGACCCGAATGGCCAACCGTCTCATCTCCTCCTTGCGCAGGCGTGCGCTGACCTCGTCCAGCTCTTTCTCAAACAGCCGGTACTGCGGCTTGAAGTTGGTCCACGCGACGCCTTGGATCAACAGGCTTTGAGCCTCCTTCTTGAAGAATTCGAGCGTCTTCTTCTTTTGCTTGTCGACAATCTCGGCGAACTCGTATCCACCTGCCTTTTGGCCCGCCTTCACCGCATTGGTGACAGCGTCGCTGAAAGCCGCCACGCCGGACTTGTGGGCTGCCGAGAGCTGTGTCTGGTACAGCGCCTTGAGGCGCGCGTCAATCTTGCTCTCCAGTTCGCCGCGCTTCACGCTGTAGACGCCCTTATGGTATCTGCTAGCCTGCGTCTCAAACGCCTTGACACACTTCTCCCTGGTGCCGGCGCCGGTGACGCCAAGGTCGGGTAGAACGGTGGCTTTGCCGAGACGGGTGGCTTCGGCTTGCTGCTCCTCGAGGGGGACGATGACGGAATCAAATCCGACGAAAACTTCGCGCGAGATCTCGTCGCAGCGGAACTGGGCGAGGAGTTCCTGTTGGGTGGGAAGGTCGAGGTCCTTGTTGTTGACAATCTGGTCCCACACGCCTTCGGCGTAAACGGATAAGCCGTCGGCCGGGATTCTCCTGTGGTACTCGGGCAGGAAGACACCTCCGACGAATTCCTGGTCTTTGGCGGAGCGGTGGCCGGTCGTAAAGCGGGTGCTTAGCTTGTCGGCCTCCTCCAAAAACTTTTCGGGCTGGAGGATCTTGTGCGGGAGCGCGGCGAAAGCGAAGTCGAAGTAATCTTCAATCTTGGAGTCCTCAAGCCCCTGGGGCTTGGAAAGAGTCGACCAGATCTTGGTCAAGTCCTGGACCAGGGTGTCGCGTAGGTTGGCCAAGGGAGTGTTGCCAACGTGGTCGCGAATGACGAAGAAGAGGAGGGACCTTGTCTGCGACCTTGAAGTTCGTGTTAATATTTCGGATCTAGGGCAGCAAGTTGGTAAATAAATAAAAAATACTTACTGCCTGTCCTTCAAAAACAATTGCAGGTTGACCTCAAACACGGTCTTGAGCAGACCCATGTTTGCGCCCTGGTACAGGCCAATCTGATGTTCCCAGATGTTGACGATCAGAACCTCGCTCGTGGCCAGGGCAAACAACGCGCTCTTCCGCTCAAAGTCTTGGTCCTCGCCACGCTCGCGACCGTCGGTACCTTCGACATCCATGACCAAGATGTTGTCAGCCATTGTGGCGGCATCCCCGTTTGCGCCGGCGCGTTTGTTTTTCGACATCCATATTCCTTTGGTCGTCTGGCGGCGGGCCGACTCGGACATGACGCTGAACTCGGTCTTGAACAGGTGGTTAAGCAAGGTCGACTTGCCGGTCGACTGCGACCCGAAAACGGAGATCAGATGGTAATTGAAGCCAGCCTCGGCGACGCGGGTCTCGCCGAGGTAGTCATTGAGATTCGTGCTGCAAAGCGAAGTCCTGGTTAGCTGGGCTGTGTCCAATCCTTCCTTCCCGGAGCGAGCGGACAACGTGGCGGATATTTCACGAACTTGAATGCTTTGTCTTCGTCAATGACCTGGATGCCGTGCTCATACTGTTGAGCAGTCGGCCCGTTGCCGACTGCCGCAAAATGGCCGTTCATCGCGGCGGCGGTGAGCTGAGCAATGCTATGCGATGCTGAAAGGAAAAGTAAAGGGCTAGACAGTTGCAGGTGTCCTTGACTAAGTCCGGCGCGGCGAACGTGCCATGATGCAGTAGCCAAATGCAGCCAAGGGGGTCGTAATTTCGAGCTTGTGACATGCCCCTGCGGCTATGCCCCAAGAGGCGGCGTGGACACTTCTAAGCGGCCCGCTAAACCCATTTAAGGCTGCCGCAACCATCGCGCCCCAAGAACAAAGCCGGCCATTGGCTGCAACGCGATTACAAGCAGCTGCCTTTGTCGCATGACGTCTTTCACATAAAGGCGGCCACAAGTCACGTAACCAGTTGAGACTGATCTCCTGCAACACTTCGACGAAAATTGCCCCCAAGTCGGTTGCTGCCACGTGGGAGTCCGCTTCAGAAATAAACTACCGAAACCACTTACTAATTGTGAAGAAGAAACCTTAAGCGCGTTGCCGAGGGTATCTCATTCTTAGGCCGACAGTGGCCTCGGCTTTAATTGGGGGAAGCAGTCCTAAAGGCCAGGTATTCGAAAAAAAAAATAGTTTGCTTCACCAATTGGCCAATACCTACCGAGGTATTATATTGGGGCATATTTTAGTCTTATGTTATCAACAACACTGCGCTTTAGCCTCTCGGGCCACGAGCGAGCAAGGGTCCAGGGCCGACCCCCAAGTGCCGCTGGATGATATCCCATGCAGTGATAATCATTTCATGAAACCTTACCAACAAGAACCGAGAAGCCAAGTACCCCACTATAAAAAAGACATCAACATACATACAAACTCGCTTGACGAACCAAGCCAAAGCTATACATGTGCTGTAGAACCGTTCATTTCATTAGAATCCTTGGGCCTTTTGGACAAAAGCACCTCCCCTTTCCTCTGGTAGGAACAATATCAGATACAAGCAGGATAAGCCTACCAACCTAAGCTAATCTATATATCCCCATATATCCACAACGGCTGCTACATTCAACCAAACTAAAATCCTAACAACTTAATATTGCGCACCGTACCAATTGCCCGTTCACTAACACCACTTGTCTTTCCAGTTTGCGTAACAATTCCCTTGGTACCTAGGTAGGTACCTTGCCATTCACCAATGATGCATGCTCCCACTGCCCCACTTTCAACCGTTCATCTCATCACGGTGATTCTACCTCAGAATACCTGATCTGCACTCCCGTTTATTCCTGAGTCTAGCTCATATTGTTGAGCTATTCAGGTTTACTTTCTACAAATTGGACGAACCCACCCTACTAAGCATTCCTCAAGGTTAAGTGAGCTACCCTTTGGACCCTCACATGTATGTCACAGATGGCAGGATGCGACTGACGTCACTTCAACCTTTGGGTATTTCATAGGTTCACAAACCATTTCGCTCCCAAAGATGCTCCCCAACATCGAAGCGGCCATCCTAGAGGCTCTAGGCCTCGAAGCAACTAGCTCAAAGCTAGTATCTCATGGGGGTTCGGGTTTCTCTTCGACTTACAAGCTAATGGCCACCAAAGACGGCCAACAGCTCACTTTCTTCATCAAGACCGGCACTGGCCCCGACGCCGAGGTCATGTTTCGAGGTAACTTCCATCTCATCTTCCCCTTATCTTTCAATTCCTCTTCAACGAAGCCCCTCCCCCTCCAATCCACATCCACTAACCAACCCCCCCCAACTCCCCCATCCCCAGGCGAGCACGCCTCCCTCAACGCGCTCCACGCCGCCGACCCCTCCCTGCACCTCGTCCCGCGCGCCCACGCGCACGGCGCCCTGCACAGCTCACCGGGCAAATTCTTCCGAGTCACCGACTTCATCGACACGCGATCGTCGGCGCCGGGAGGCACTGGTTTCTCGCTGGCGGCCAAGCTGGCGCGGCTGCACACAACGCCGGCGCCGACACCCGAGGGCTTCGCGCGGTCCGAGTACGGGATCGCCGTGCCGACCTGCTGCGGTGGCACACGCCAGGACAATGCCTGGAACCGAGTCGTGGGCGGGAGTTCTACGCCGACCGGCGGCTGCGCGCCGTGCTGGCGGAGGGGGAGCGTAAGAATGGTCGTGATGGGGAGCTCGCTGATGCCGTGGGCAAGAGTGGCTGGTGTGGTGGTGCCGCGGTTGCTTGGTGATGGCCCATTTGAAGGGGGTGCAGTCTGTGCTGGTGCATGGGGATTTGTGGGGTGGCAATCATGGAAAGGGGGAGGATCGCGGGGAAGGGGGGGGGTTGAGGAAAGTCGTGTTTGACCCGTCCTGTGTGTATGGGCACTCCGAGTATGATCTGGGGATTATGCGTATGTTTGGAGGGTTTGAGAGAGGATTTTGGAGGGAGTACGAGAGCTTGGTTCCGAAGGCCGAGCCGAAAGAAGAGTGGGATGACCGGATTGCCTTGTATGAATTGTGGGTTTTCACGATAGCCGTCTGGCTCCTGGTGTGTGGGATATTTGTGTGTTCTGACGCCTGTGCAGATATCATCACCTCAACCACTACGCTTTATTCGGTGGGGGTTACCGGAGTGGCGCCATGTCCATTATGCAAAGGCTGATCTCGAAGTATGGGACCACCTCTAGTTAAGGCGACATGGACGGGACGGATTCAGGGTGCGGATACACGCATAAACAAAATGAACTTTTTATGGAGCGCCACATACCCCCAAATGACGAGGTATGGGCCGAGAGCTTGAGTTTAGACAGGTATTCTTTCTGATCTGGTATCTGCGAGAACCATCGCTATGTTAGGAGCTGGTGTTCTTCGGCCAGTTCTCACCGCAGTGCCATTCTTCAATGTCAGAAAGTGAAGTTGTCCGGCATCTTGCGAATAAACAGTCCATTCATGCCACGCGCCAAAACACTAACAGCAAACGATGGGAGATTGATTACATAGTTCGGTATAACTATGGTATTATTCAAGTACGTATTTGGCACTTGTCGACTCCATGTGGACATGAGGTCTTGGGCCTCGCTCGGATGACGGGGGACTCGGGCCAATGTTCTACGCCGGTTTTCTAGAACATGTTGGAATGTTTCCCAACCAGCTACTTGGGATAATTCGAAGATTCTTCATTGGCCGCTCTCAGGCGGAAGGTCTTGGTGATGGAGAAGTCATGCTCTCCGGCGTTGGAGGGATAATTCGGGCCATCTTCGCCTCGTTTATAACTTGCAACGGGTCCACTCCCGCCGCCAACATACCATCCTTACGAATCATCATGGACGGAAACCGGAGGTTGGCCTACGTATCGTTTTGTTAGTGACGCCATCGACGACGTACAGCAAAAGAGCAAGCTCACCTCGTTAACGATATGGGCGTATTTCAAACCAACCTCTTCGGCGATGAACTTGAGGCGGCCTTTAGCCCATCCGCGCTGTTCTTCCGTCGACATATCATGATTTTTGACGCACGTCAAGGTCCATATCAAAAACAAAGCCGGCAGAGCTTTGCAGGTCCCTTCTTCCCCGCAAGCGAAGGTTGACAACCCTGGCCCATTCAGCCCCTTGCCATGCATGCGCCAGCCTAAATGGTATGGCACAGAGGCGATTATGTCTGCGATAGTACTTTCGCAGACGGGTTTTGAGTTTTTGTACTCGGGAGTGGTGCGGTAGTCAGCCGGCGAGCAGACCCGAGCAGCAATCCGGATATTGAGCGAGGCGAGGAGAAGGCGCGAGACTCGCGCCATATTCCACGCCATGGCGGAGACAAAGTCGGGATAAACATCGACGCGCCCTGGGAATGCCTCTTTCTCGCCGGAGCTCCCACTCGGGTTCCCCGGGCCGTCTGCGGGTACTAAGCACACAGTCCGGAACCGGAACTCGTCGGGGATGGATACTAGCCAATCGGCGACCTCCTGATCTAAATCTTGGATACGTGTTGCTGTCTCGTGCATCTGCGCGAGGGATTCGGGTGACCTTGAAGCGTTGCCTAGGAGCCGGTTCGCCTCGGCTCTTAGTTCGCTGAACCTTAGGTTAAAACGCTGACAGTTTGCGAAGAGTGACCCGGTATCTCCGCCGGCCATCCACCAATCAGTGCCGAAGGGCAGGGGTAACCCAGAGGACAAAACACGCGAAACCTAGAGGCGTGTTAAGATGCTATGTATATATCAATATGGAAAGGGAGGACTTACCAGATGATGCCGCACAGCCGTGAATAAAAGCGCACCCAGCCGGGTCCGGCACATGTCTTCACGGCCACGGGTCTGAACGATGTGGACAGCGCCATCGATGTGTGTGCGCCACGCCAACATTCTGCTTTCCTTGATGCCTGTTATGCTCTTAAGAGGGGGGGATGTCAATTACGTTTTGATTTCCCTGCGTATTAAGGGAGTAGGAGGACTTACCTCGTACAAGCACAGCAGCAGAACCGCTGCCAGGGTTGAATCAGTGCTGGCAGCAGCAGGATGGCCGAGTGCTTTGTGCGTCTGGGCCAGAGCCATCGTGTGTTCTTTTAGGGACAATTGGGCAAGGTTGATTCCGTCGGCTCTAGCGCGATTTCCTAGCAGCGCAAATGCACAAGCGTTGAAGGCATAGCGAAGTGCGCTCTCTGGAGGTTCTGTGTCCATCAGCGGGACTAGGTATTCCATGAAGCCGTGCGGGGCGACGCCGACGGGCACAAGTATGAAATTGGAGGCGAAGTAACATGAAGCTCGGTGGGCGATAGGGATGGTCAGCGCTGATACTGGGGACGGGCTCGGGCTCTGTCGCCGTCGCCATGGTTGCGGTTCTTCCTGAATGAAAACAAACGGGCGAGGAGTCGTGGGATGCTGGTGCTGGGCATCGCCAGCCTTACGCAAGCGACGCACTGTCGATCCAGTCTGGTCACGGTGGACAATCTCGAACTCGGGCCGGTACCCACCACATTCTCTCCTCGACTTCTCACACCGCTTGCAGGTCGGCTTGCCCTCGTCGCACTAGTCGAGTGGTTAGAATGAGTCAATGACCATAAGCCTGCCTTCGCTCGGCCCCGGCTCTTCAATCAAGCGGTGGCCATGTCCGCAAAAGAAGCACAAGGGACGAAAGACAGGGACTGAACGCACCTTGATGCGGCGTGCGCGGCAGGTCCGACAGCCCCGGGAGGGCTTCCCACCGTAGACCATCTCAGGCGGGCATATGCAGCGAGAACTACAATCCTCTGCCAATGGTCCGCCAACACCAAAGGCCAGCGTTACGCAGTTCTAGTCCTCCTGCCTGAACTTGCGGGGTCGTCTCATAACCTGTTGAGCTGCGATGCGGACTTCGTCACACATTGGCGCGGGCTGAGACGTCGCGACCCTGAAATGGAACCAGCCCCACCACAGTCCAGGGGTTCATCTGGGAAGCCAATCGGCTCGCCCGCCCACTGCTCACAAGTGGCTCCGGCTTTCCAGGAAGTGGAATCAAGGGGCAGTCGATCACCGAGACCAGGGTTGGCCTGAAAGAAGATGGGACACAGGAGGATGGCTCCTCTGAATAGTTATAGTTGAAGCTGTAAACAAGAAGTTTAATAAAAAGACATTAAGGTGCTCCTCCCCACGCTGTGCATACCCCTCCTGTCAAAGACCGAAATATTCCGGGGGTGGTTGGTGGTCACGGGCGACCGGCAAAACTAGGTACCCCAAGCAGAAGTCAATGTGACCCATGAAGTTACCCTTGGCGTCCTGTCACCTCTGTGCCTTCACGGTCTTCACCAACGTCTTCATCGCTGTCGCTCTCTGGGTAGAGAATTGACCCAATGGGTATCAGAGTGGTATGGCCAGGCTTCTAGGCTGGTCTTGGAGTCAGAGCTCGAGTATCGTGACAACGCCGATCAAAAACCGGGAAGTCGAAAACACCCTTGAATTGCTCCTGAACTCGCACCAGCTGTGCCTGTGCTTGTTTGACGCGATCCGGCATCGTGGCCGCCGGGGAAGAATCAACCTTGGCACGGACATAAAGGATCCAAAAATTGCCGACAGGTTGGAGCGTCTTCGGGTTGGGAACCTGGTGCGGTGCCGTCGGGTCCGGATTCAACGATGCCACGAACATCCGAGTCAAGGAATACTCGATGCCCTCGAGCCACCAACAGTATGATTCCTCAATTAAATCCGATTGAAGCCTGAAGGGAATAACGGTTAGGCAAGGCAGGACAGGGACAAGATATCTTTTGGCCAACGAACCCGAAACCGTTGTCAGCCAGGATCGATGCGGCCCTGGGGTCATCGATGTCGACAAGCCTGCGCTGAGTGATTGAAGGGGGCCGTTGCGGACTCGGCGGGTCAGGCAAATCGACCCACCTAAGAGCACAGGGTTTACTTGTAAGGATGCCGGTTGATGCAGCTTCTCCCCTAAATCGCATACCATGTCAACAACGACGGGACACAGAAGAATACAGAGAAAACACGCAAATCTGGTAAGCTGGAAGGCTGGAAGGCTGGAAAGCTGTGACCTACTTTTCCGTGGCATTCATGATATGCTCGGCCTCCTCTGTGACGTCAGTGCGCACCTGCACGACAGATGGCTGTTTGACGAGGATCTGATGCAACTCGTGCCATTGAGCGCTCGTCGGCCTCCGCTCTTTCTGTAACTGCTTGATAGTAGAAAGACCCTGCGAGGCCGAGTTCTGAGGTTTGTAATGCCGGACGGAGATGTAGTAGTGCCGCTCGCGGGACTCGGTTACGCCGCACAGAATCGCTCGAGCCGTGGGCCCATCCTCTGCCAAAACGGTGGCAGCAAGGAAGCTTTCATGAGTCATCTGTAAATATAAATGAAAAGCTGTACGTATGAATAGTTGTGTTTCTCCCGGCAGTTGCAATATTGGTGAGTTTGGAGTTAATGTTGTTGTTTAGAATTGAACGCTGCATGCGAAACTAAGATTACCGTGTACGGTCACGTGACATGACGCCCATTGAGGACCCATTACCCTAAGTTTTGAAGGCTCAAGTCGCCACTCGCAACTGGCAAGCGGTGATCGGTAGATTGTTGGATGGTGTTCGCAGGCTTATGGAACACTTGGCAGAGGCTTTATGCATTTAATTTTCTTATTCCATTAGTTAATGATTATTAAAGCAGAAAAACCATGCTGCACGATTATCAAGCGGTACAAATACCATTCATCGACCCAAACCACTCGAGTGGTAAATTAATTAGGTACCTACCTATCTAACCCAGTTCATTTCTACATTCATCGCCTTCTCTAAGGGCCTTGGCTTTTGAACCGTTTAGGTAAGGTACTTATCAAGCAACAAATCAACTGGCGTCCAATGTCGACTTCATAAACCGACCCCGATTGATTTCCCGTGGTGTCTCAAGGTTGTATAGGAGGGGACAAGTTGAAAGACCTGACCTGCAGCAAGCCCAACCTGGTACCCCGCGTTAGGTAGGTGTCATCTCGTTGTTTCACTCCTCACCTGGTAATAGCACCTTCGGGGCTACTTCTATTGGCACCACAGCAACGAATAAAATTCGGGTTTGGACAATCGAATATCCCATCATGGCCCAGTCTACAAGGGCATTCGTTGGCCCCGTCATCCACTCTCTCTCGGCTGCTGAGCTCGAAATACTCCCGTCTGCCCTTCTCGTGATTAATGACAAGGGTGAAATTGCAGCCTTCGTCCGAAACGCCAACCCTCAGCAAACCAGAGACACGCTCATCAGCCTGAAATTCTCTCCCGACCTTGTCACGGTCCATCGCCTCGCCGCAGGCCAGATCCTCATTCCAGGTTTCGTCGACACCCACAACCATGCCCCACAATGGGCACAACGCGGTCTGGGCCAAGGCATGCACATTCTCGACTGGCTCGATGCCATCACCTTCCCTAATGAAGCCCGGTTCAATGACTCGGGCCACGCCCGACGCATCTACGCGAGCTGCGTCGATGGCTTCTTGCGCCAGGGTATCACCACTGCCTCATACTACGGCTCCATCCACGGCGAGGCCACCAAGATCCTGGCCAATCTCTGTCTGGAGAAGGGCCAACGCGCGCTGGTAGGCAAGTGCAACATGACGCGCAACGCACCAGAGTACTACCGCGATGCGTCAGTCGGGGAGAGTCTGCGGGTGACTGAGGATTGCATTGCCCACATCAGGTCGCTCGGTGCGGGTAAGCTCGTCCAGCACGTCCTCACTCCGCGCTTCGCTATTTCCTGCGACCCAGAGGTGCTGCAGGGCCTGGGAGCCATTGCCCGCAACAACCCTGACCTGCCGATCCAGACGCACTTCAACGAGGCCGAGCAGGAGATGAAAGCCACCATGGAACTCTTCCCACAGTTTACCAATGAAGCGGACTTGTACGAACACTACGGTCTGCTAGGCAACCGCTCCATACTTGCACACTGCTGCTACATGACCGAGTACGAGATGGAGCGACTCAAGGCGCTCGACTGTGGCGTTGCGCACTGCCCCATATCCAACATGACCGTGGGCGGTGGGTTCATGGCCGCTCCCATACGCGATTTCATGCGGCGGGGAATCAAGGTTGGGTTGGGGACCGACAGTGGAGGCGGTTTCTCCAGCAGCATCCTCGATGCAATGCGCCAGGCCATGATTGCCAGCCACGCACGCGAGGTCACGTCGAAGGGCCACGACAAGGGACTGTCCATTGATGAGGTGTTCTACTTGGCTACTTTGGGCGGCGCTCAAGTCTGCGGGTTGGACGAAACGGTTGGCAATTTCGAGGTGGGCAAGGCGTTCGATGCGGTTGTCGTTGGGACCCTAGGGGCCGAACAAGGTATCATGACCATGGTCGAGGAAAACGATGGCCTCAAAACTGTATTCAAAAAGTTCATTATGACGGGCGATGACAGGAATATTGTCAATGTATATGTCCAGGGCCGGGCAGTCAAAGGCAATTAACGGCTAGGCTCGAAAGTTCGGAGAACGCAACCATAGAGATAAGCACTGAAAAGCGATTGCGATCCACAACTATAACCGCATTCGATTGAGTTATGTTTTTGGCTGCTTCCTTGCGTTCAACATCTCATTATGTTCTCTTTACATTTGCAGGAGCCTCCATGGTACATAGGTACCTATTTTGGTGCATGTATGATGTTTGGACTGAAGGCTGTGTCTGGGCGTTGCTCCGCCACGAACCTCTGTTTCTCCAGCTCGGGCACATGTGACTCATAAGCACCCATGCAAGCCGCCTTGGGTTTGGTAGGCTGTGTGGTGGATCGTTGATTCCGTCATCAATTCCAATATGCCTCGCCCATGCGGAGGCACCTACGGCACAGTGTTTCACCATGGGACTATTACAAGATACGAACGAAACAAGCTTAGGAGCTGAAACTCTTAGCTGAAATGCTCTTTCAAAACTCACCACCTGGTTGATGGGCATGTCAATTGTGCAGTTATTCGTCGGACGGTATCCTCCGGCCCAGGATTCTGGGAGACTGTCCCCAGTAATCCTTAGAATTCAGTTCTAATCCAATATCAACAAAAGGAGTGACAAACAACCCGAACCGTAACATCGATAGAAATGGAACCTTCTCTAAACATCTATAGGATTCATAAACCGCAGCCCCAATGATTAAAAGACGTCCCCTAGTTGGCAGTAAAGAAAACCTGGTGTTAAAAGAACCACGACGCCCATTTTCTCCCTCCTCAATCAATACAAAGGCGGGGAAGTTCAACCTCATCAACAGCTCCATTTCCGTGCCGACAATAAAGAGTGAAATCCTCCAGATTCGGTTCACGTGTGGGTACGAGGAAAGGTATATCACTTCAAGCTAAACGGATCCTTCTCGTCTCGCTGCCGTAAAAAAAGCCTTTCCGATTGGTGTACCCAATGGCAACCCCGACACGCTGGTACGTCTCGGGATGGCCGCATTTGTCAATGGGTACCAGTAAGAGCATGGCTAGCTCGCCGAGTTCGAGACACACAATATTCTTCTCGTCGCCTACTCGGACGTAGGGCGTAAGTTCGTCTTTCGGTTTGCCATTTGCCGGAACGAGATAGTCGAGCCGTCCAACAACCTCGCCACTGTGAGCATCCTTGGATATGATGTTACCGTTACCCCTGTTGCGCGCGTAGATGCCCTGGCCCGGAAATGCGCCAAAGTTGAAGCTAGACCTTTCCCCTCGTTTCCACTCGATGTCATCCCACGAAACATCCAAGGCATCCTCAGAAATAAAACGACGGAAACGACCTCGCACTTCGACTACTTTGACGCCTCTGCCTCGCTCTTCAACGGCTCGGCCGCGGTTAATATAATCCGTGGAGCGGTCCCCAGTTTCCGGCCGTGTGAACGTTGTGCTGGTGCAGGCTGGGTCAATTTGGTCGACGGCGATGAATTCGAAGTGTTCCGACGGTTTGAATGAGGCTTTTGTATTAGTGTGCACTCGGAGCGGCAATGATGCCCAGGACCAGGATGGCGCAATGTGCTGCAGGTTATGCTGGGAATCGACAGCGGCCGCAACGGACCAGGCAAGGTGCCTGGCAAAGTTATCTTTCCAAAGACCAGCCAAATAGTCTTCAGTGACGACTGTTCCGCCGGTCCCGGCTTTCGCATTATAAAAGCGCACGGCGAGGCCGGCAATGGCAAGGAACCGGTCTCTAGGAGCGACCAGGTCGCGACGAGTGTAAGCCTCGACGATATCAAGCCACTCCTCGTGAAGCAGGTGTTCGTCCCCCGTTCGGCAAAGCTCCAAGAACCGCTGAGGACAGCTCCGGGGCGCTCCGTCGGCTGCTGGAGGGGCCCACTCAAGCTCCTCCGTCTCGACAACCTGGCACTCGGGACAGGACCAATACCATCGTTGACCTGCCCAGTACACAATTCTCGGTGAGAGCCGCTCTTCTTGTAGCGTCCAGGCTCGCATCGATACTGGCGCTTCGAAACGGACTCGGTCCAGAGGGGTTTGGGTGTTCTGGAGCCACCACATCTCGCGTAACTGACATGCCTTGCTGCGATGTGTCCATGCTAACCTATCGTGTATCAGGCGGTCTGTCGCCTTGGAGCTCGAAGACGCGACAAGTGTGAAGGCGGAATTCCCATACACCTCATGCATCAATGAGGCCTCTGTGTCCCAGTTGGTCCCCTTGGGGATGCAAACATTGTCGATCCAGATGTAGAACACCCCAAGGGACCCTGATATCATGACGGCATCTTGCATAGTTTCTGGTAGGTCCCACAGCTGGAAAGGGTTCAACCGCTCAGGGACAGGCCGCCCGTTTATCGTTTTGGTGCCTGCGCCCTTAATCCTCGCCCATTCGTCAGGAGGCATAGTCGTAGGGTCACCCCATGTATAGCTAAGCACGACGTAGTCGACGGGCTCTGGCGGGCCCTCGACCAGTTGGACAAAGTTATCAGGGAGGATTTTGAGGAGCCAGGTGGGATTGCGGCGCGACCAACGGTATCTCGAGGAGCATTCGTGGTTTAGGTGGCAATCTTCGATGACCCGGCGCAACGCATCGAGATCGGAGCGCACTCCTGAGACCCCTTTTGACGGACTGCGGTGTAGTGGCCGAGGTTCGTTGCTCAAGCGGATGGTTGCAGAGAAAAGGACGGATTTAGGAGACTTGATGGCTAGTTCTAGGGCGCTGTCGCCGGATGAACTGAGGTTTAGCACCGCGTAAATGGGCCATTGATTGTTTGGATGTGCCAGTCGGTCGGCATCTCGACGGGTGATCTGCTCCAGGAGAAGGGCCCGCCGGATAAGACGGCAGGAGTCGCAACCCGACTGGCTGGCGGAGACGTCGAGTTCGGAATAGCTGCTGTGGAAGATGCGCGCAGGCGAGGAGCCTTGGAAAGCGTTATTTCGTCTCCTTTGCACCTCGCCCCAGCGGAGAAGCTGGCAAATCTCGTGGCACCCTCTGCACTGACGCTGGGGGTCTTCATCCGATATGGCCCAGAAGAGACCAGAACTTGGGATCGATGCTCTGAGCAAATCCCACATAGAAGCCATCGCACGCCACGTTTGGCGCTTGGGCATTGAATGTGTCAACATAATTTACAAACGGCTTGAGATACAGGGGCTGCCTGAGAGGTGAAAATAAGAGGCCGGAACAAGGGTCCCCGGAGAGCAGGTATGTCGGCCCTACTTATCAAGTATGTAACATAACTTCAGGGCTTGCCGGGTTGTGATGTAGGAATCAGGCGTAGCCGGTCCCTTTGGGGGCTTGGGCTCTCCGTAGTGTCACTCGCAGAGGCGCGCGAGTCTAGGGGCTAGCGCCGCAGCTGAAAGCTAGCAAACTCGAGCCGATGGAGACACAAAGGCGCTCTGTGATACCGGAAAAGGAGTTATGTTTTGATATCCAACTCCGGCGGCGTCCCTGGAAACGATATTGAGATTCCGATCGACTCGGGAGATCGGGCAACGTAGTGACTCCATCGGTAACGCCCCTGGGCCCTGGCTATGAACCCAGATCCAAGGCACCATCGTCCGGGCCGCGGCGGCTATGCAACGGCGCGGTGCGGGACCCACCATTGGGAGTGAGGCTGTGGTGTGACGGGGCGAGCTGATCTTTTTTATTCGGATGGCAGTTGTTTGCCAGAACGCGAGGACCAAGTCGTCATTCAGGACGGGCCGGCGTTGGGCTCGGCACCGTTGAAAGGGCCGAACCATTGAAAATGGATGGATTACCTTCTCACCATCGGCTCCCGAGCATCCGAGTCCCGACGATGAATTTTGCGCAAATGTGCGTTGCATTCACGATGATTACCCGTACCTGTCTCCGCCCCCGGGACCCACAGACGGGTTGGCCGATGAAACGGGCGGCAGGAGGTGAGATTTTGAGACTGTCAGAACTCTGATGATAGAAAAGTTGCTGTTCACGAAAGTCTCGAACCCCACTGTTTCCCATTCAGACAGCCGTGTGGCTCAGGTACACACCACAACCGCCGCTTGTGCGGTGGAGATCGGGAGTCTCAGCGACCGTGCGCCGATCGCAGCTCGACTGCGGCTGCTCGACAAATTAGCCCGTATTAGCCCGTATTATGGATGACCGACCTGAAACCCCCCCCAAGGTTGAGAACACCAGCGGATCGGGCTTGGGACCAAGGATGTCACCTTCCCAGTCTCGAATTCTCAGCTGCGACTCGGGCACGGACAGTTGCACAAAACAGGCAGATTTTGAGGACGGCAGTCGGGTTCGAAAACCACACGAAAAACACACCTGGACGAGGTTGTGGTTTGTGTGGTTTGTGTGCGTGTGCAGGTGTGGCATGGTTGCGCTAACGGCGCTAAATTAGGCGCGGGCTCTCAGCCCTATGTCCACTGTCTCCCTCGCCCCCACCAGCTTTCGACCAACATTGGAAACGGTTTGCTTTTGTGCCCTGTGCCTCAAGTCACACGTTATGACCTGTTTGGGCTTTCTGCTCCCCGTCCCGCACCCGCAACCACATCCGCCAATTTCACCTTTTTCGGTTCAAAGCAGGCACCAAGGCAGAGTCATACCGGATGCTGGTGTGTAACCATAAGTTTTGTAAAAATATCACCTCTTCAAGGTTTATTGCGCCAATTGGCGCCAATTCCACAGCGACGGGCGCGAGTCAAGTGACGAGATGACCGAATCTCATCTCATTGCTCACCAGCCAATCAGCACTCGATTCGAGCGCAGGATATTCTAATTGGAGGATCCCATTAGCCGAGCACGGTCTCCAGGGGGCGATGCTGCCATGGCGCCGGATCGCGCCGGCACGGATGATGCTAGTCACAGCACGAAACGTCCTTCCTACGAGCCGGGCATGGCTGAGGTAGCATTTAGCGTGTCCTTTGGGGCCGAACCCAAACCCAACAGCAGCACCCAAGTTGTATCACGTGCCCAAGTGCGATCCGGCACGGATCCTCCAGTGTTCTTTGCCCCCAAGACGTTAGTGGGGGGCCAGCCTAAGCGAACTACGTGGGTGGCTTGTCATGCGGCGAGCGAGCAGTTATGGCAGAGCAAGTGGCGGCCAGAACACAAGGAGGGGGCTGGCGGTGGTATCGCTATGGAAAAAAAAGTGGCAGCCTAAGTTGCTGGGCCCTAGCCCTCCATGTGTATAGTGCCAAAGGATTCGCCCTGAAGAAGCCCTTTGCGACTTGGGTATTTCTTGACGCGAGTCCCGGGTGGTCATCAAGCCATGTATGTGCAGCTGCGTTATGAGATCCTGCGACAATCCGTAAATATACACTGTGCATTGGGAATACGAATTGCCCCCAAGACCGGAGCCACTGTGATATACCATTGCGCCGTGGTCTTGGATGGATCCATCCTACCCGAGAATAACTTCATATCTTTGCGCTCTGCCATCGTGAAACATTCTTCTACAAATCCTCCCGAATCAAGCCTCTCTTCTACCAATCCTCCCAAACCGACCAGGCTCACGACCGAGACCCACCGTCCACTAATTTTCTCTCACTGCCCTCGGGCCGCTCGTTTAAGAATCCTTATCCGCCTTCCCGTCTGACTTGGACTTTCTGGAAATCCATCATCCCCCACAACGGTCTAAACCCGCCATCATGTACCGGACAAAGCACTTCAGATGGAAGCTGATGCACGTTTGGGGGATCCTGGCCCACCTGGGGCTCGTCGTCGCAGTGGCCATCAACTACATCTATGATCTCGACAAAGCCACGCGATCCATAACATGGAGCCATCTGACAGCCGTCGAGACGAACTATAGGCCGCGTGAGCTTGCTCTGGTAGCCGCTTCGAGCGATGTGTTTACCTTTGACCGGTCAACACATGCGTTACTCAAGGCTTGCCTCATTATGGTAAGTTCATCCAACACCGTCCATAACCTTGATGAACCAAAAGGGTTCCTAATGTTATTCCCTCCCTCGTCACTCAGGGGTCCCTCGGGTTCACGATCAACGTCATCCTTCTTGCCTTGCTTCTTGCCGTCGAACCAAACAGGATCAGTCTGACTGAGGGCGAGCAACACTGGCGCAGACAGGTCGTCACACTTTTTGGCTGCTTGCTCAACCTGCTCTTGGCAGGGGCAGGAGGATGCCTGGCTGCCACCCTGGGAATCAAGGTGGTAGAGTCCAGGCCATTGCTTGCTCCACTGCTGTGGACATATATCCAAGCGTATGTGTGGCCCCTACTCCCTTCAACCCGCCGCCGTTTATATTTGGTCGGTTAAAGGTTCTAGAACTGACAGTCACAGACCACTGGCTTTCTCAATAGCCGTCTGCGATGCGGCCAAGAACTACATAGAAGGCAAAGACCTTCTTGACTAAACACGGTGGATGTAATGATGTCTGGACGGGGTTAATGTGATCGTAGTGCTTTTGAATGTTTCTTTACCAGGCGGCGTACGAGGGAGGAATGGGGCATTCAAGCTCTTAATGGGCCCAGGGATGGTTAGACTTTGGTCCTCGCGGGATCCGGCGTTTTCGGTTGATATGGTATACCTCGGACGGCAATTCAAACGGATGGCAATTCAAACGGCCGGTGTGCGTGTTAGTACTTTGAAACAACATAGAAATCATCTTGCCTCTTCAGGTTTGGATCCATTATCTAGCCACGTTAAAGCCGGTAAGGTCCTGCAGCCAGCAGCCGGAGGCTAGAGCGGATGATGCATGTAACCTGCATCTCATCGATGCAAGCCTCCGCAGGGCTCGCAGGGCCGGGTCAGTGGTCACCGGGCCCAGGGTCGCACCGAGGTGGAAATCTCTTTTTTCCAGGACGAGACGATGAACCCATGAGAGTTCACACACACGCACACACTTAAACAAATCGGATTCAATGTCAAGGTTTGACCAACTCTCGCTCTCATTTCCCCCTCCTCTCCTCCCCCACATATGACTCCCGGATTGACCGCAAGTTTGTGGCCAGCAAGAAGGGCAGCTGCGTGACAATCTACCAAAATTCGATAATCCGAGTTCGTATTTGGTGCGTGTCCGCAAAGACGGACCGACTGGCATCTTCCCGCCCTCTACTCCCTTTCTCTACTGTTTTTTACATGTCCTCGCAATATCCCGAGCCACCACCGCTCACCGATCAAGTTGCGGTCTGGCGACTTGGAGGTTCTATGATGCAGGGTTCATGTCGCACATTGCAGGGAAGGAACCCAAGCCGGGCGATGGATGGGACCTGCCCCAGAATCGCGTCGGTCAAGCCTGCCGTGATCAAAACACGCCAATCAGTGATCAGCCGGATGATGGCAGCCTGGCAGGGTGCCATGACGCGCCCTGCAAGGTTCTTCTTGGTTCGCATCCTGCTGTGCCGCAATCCCTCAGCTTCGCCCGAAACTGCCATCTGCAACGAGCCACCCCCGCTCCGCTTCGCTGTTCTGCGAGGGTTTCAATTGATTTGTCCTATAAGGATTTGCATCTGACGGTGCGATTCCCTAACTCTCAGGGGCTTCCAAAATGAGACAAAACGACGGGTTTTCCACCGCTCGACCATGATTGTGCCCGAGAACCGTGCAGTAGCGCCCGTCTGGTCGGGCCCGGCAAACACTGTGCTCCCCCATACTGGCGCAACGCCTCCGGGACCGACCCCGACCCCGATTCCAGTTTCGACGCCAAATGCTCAAGCCACCATGCCGGACAGCACGGGCCTGGAGGGGAAATCCCGCACGCTACAGGGCCCGTCAGCGGCTGATTGGGCAAGGCACCGCGAGACCATCGTCGGCCTCTACAGACAGTACCCGTTGAAGCGGGTGAGTGAGATCATGAGGAAACATTATGGCTTCTCGGCAAGGTATGCCCGGCTGGTCGCCCGCCGTCAGGGTCCGCCGCTTTCTTCTTGAGCCGAGTCTACACTAGAGATCCCCGCGCGAAACACCCGACGGGTGAGAGTGGGCCGAAGCACAACAGCAGACAGAACCTAGTGGTTGCCCGTCTGTGGGATGCTCGGCGCATTTCCCCGTCATCGCGACCTGCACCTGCACACTAATTACCACGCTGCACCTTACTCAGTCAACCGAGGGTCCTAGTGGGCTCGTGTCGGTCGCCAATGGACGTCTTATCCTCCTCGTTGCCGTGGCCGGCCAAGGTGGCCGGTTATTAGGCCCGGCCACCTGAAGATCTCTTCGGTGATGATCTCTTCTTATAATAAGACTTCCCGGCGGAGGATACCACCCACTTGCCAGCTTCCTCTTTCTTGAGTCCCCGTCTTCCCCCCCTCGGCCTGCGCCAGCCGTTGTCCCGCCTGTTTGGCCCCAAGCACTTCCATTCAACCTCCTTTCGTCATGACTCTAATCCGCCTCGCTGATACCTGCGACAGCAAGCGCATGTATGACAAGCGGTTCCGGGAATGGCATGTCTTCAAGAACGTGAACAGCGACGAGAGGGCGAGGGCTGCGCGCCGGGCTCCGGGCTCTGCGCCGTTGTCACCCCCGAGGCAGGAAGACACCGACAACAGCTTTAGCCAGGAAGACTTGCGCAGAACCCTACGATGCGCCAGGACGATCCAGCAGGGTGGAAGGCGTACGGCATCAACAAGCACTCACCCCACCCCTGTCGACGCCCGGGCCGCAACTCCACCACCACTGTACAGGCCGGCCCGACGGAGTATCAGCATCTCGGACTTGATCAAGCCTGAAGACGACCCACCAGGGGTCCCCGCCCCTGGCTTGCGTCGTCAGGCCGAATCCCCCCCCACGCCGTTCTCACCACCCAGTACCCCGAGTATCACCACTGGCTCAAGTCCCGCATCTCCAGCCGAGAGCTACCAGGAGCAGGATGACCGTACCGCCCTCGTCGTATCTGGCTCCCCAGGCCCCGGCATGGCCGCCTACAGAGAGCAGCTCCAGCATTTGTTCAACAGCCCTCCCCAGGCCCTTTCCCTGGACTCGCAAACGCGAACTATGAGTATCATTACATTGAAACTCCGGGAATACTACGACTGGCAGCTCAACAACATCCCAGAGGGTGCCCTCCCTGATGATTATCTGGGCCAGAGATCCCCCGACGAGTCCACTCGCTACTGGAATACTATCAAGGACGCCATCTATCTCGTCAAAATCTCTGCCGGTTTCAGTCCCAGTTCCGGTTCTATCGAAGACATGGACGATCGTCCCGACCGGCGAGCGTGGTCTGCCTTTGCCGAAGCGGGCTCTCTTGCGGCGGGGGCCATGACCACCCAACCGTTCGACTTTCTACGAAACCTTTTCGCTACGCTCTCCCCAGTCAATACTAGTGCCCGTCCAGAACTCCGAGGTATTTTGCTCCAGTTCCTCAGCAGCGAAGCCCAGACCAGCCTCTCCTCCAGCCACCCGATTACCCAAATTTGCAAGGAGCTACAGCAGGATGAAGGCTGCCAGGAAATTTCACAGCGCAGCCTGCAGTGCATGCTGGATATTTTCAACACCCGGCTTGGACGGTCGAGGGCAATCACCTTCAAACTCCTCGACTCACTCGCTACCCTTCTTCGCCGAAGTGGTGAATACCACGCGGGCCTAGAGATCATCACAGAGCTGCTCAAGTCATCCCGCCCGGTGTTCGGGCCAAATTCAGACCAAGTGCGCTCGGTCGAGAACGAACTCGCTCACTTTTATATGCTAAGCGGCCAACCCGATTTGGCGCTTGGTCATTGTATGTCCGTGATTACGAGACCACCAACCTCAGGTACAGCGGCACGGGAAGAGCCCACATTTTATCAAGACGGCATTGCTGCGCACACCATGGAAGACATTGCCGAAATACACCAGCGGCGCGGGGACCTAGAGCAATGCATCACCTGGTTGGAGCGCGCGGCATCGATAGCTCTGGTTGTTTGGGGGCCAAAAGCCATTGCTACCAGTCATCTGATTGACAAGATGACAAGCCTGCAGCGGCAGTTCGGCAAGGACCTCCTGAAGAGCGCGACGCTATGGGAAGCCGCAATTGTCGAAAAGACGGTTTGAGCGTCAGATGCTCCCCGAATCCTCCCCCTCTTCCCCCAAAAACATTTGGGGGCCAATTCAAGGTATCATTGCGTCATTTTACGTTTTATTGCGTTAGGGATTTTCAGGTCTTGTATACTTAACGGCTTCCATGTCATCTGGGCGATGTTTCCCATATTTCGGTGTAGGATGACGAAAAGTCTCCATTTTTTTGAGCCAAAAGACCTCGCTGGATGTCACCTTACTTAGGCATCGTGGCATACCGACCGGTGATTTGCGCCGGTTCTGGTGCCGGAATACCTATTTCTGATTGATTGAAAGGCCCATATCACCGTCATATTCTACGTACATGTTCAAGCGCCGCACCGCCTTTGCAATACATGATACTGACATGAGGCCTTTGTGTGACAAGGCAAGGCACTAATTATACAACTAAAGGCCGACGCCACCCCTATCCAGGCGCCTCAATATCTAGGTAAATCTCTTGGCCCCGCCACAGCGCATGCCGCGCTACCTCGCTGGGAATCAAAAACGACATTCCTGGTATCCCCTTGTATATGTTACGGGTAAGACATCAACTGCTTCGAGAACACGGACTAAGCTCATGTCGAAATCTATTTACCGTGGTACCTGGCTTAGCCTTGACCCAAACCTGCGGCGAGCAATCTATTCTAGCCCGATTACCTCCCTTTGAGACTTTCGGCTTATTACGTCCCTGTCATGCTCCCCTCGTTCTTTACGTGTCCGCGTTCTTGCTTCGTCCAGTGCCCTCGATTAGCCGAGGATGACGCTTATGTCGTCCCCCGCCCGGGCCAGACAACTCATGTATGCTCCCGGAGCCGTGGTACCAAAACAAAAGCGTTCTCTTGTGCGCGTTCGGTACACGTCTTGTGCGCATGCATGGTCACTGTGTACTCAATGTTGGTGTGGCCTCGAGTTCCGCCTTCTTCGTCGGAACCACGCAGACGTCGTGGAACGGCTAACGGCTATAGTGGGATACACATCACATCGTTGCCCGAAGACACAGCGTTATACACCCTGCGAAGCCCATGTGCCGGCGAGAAAACTGCCAATATTACTGTCCTCTTCGTAACCACCAGTCTTGTTGCGATTCAAACCACCCAAGTCCCTCTACCATATCCAGATAATCAGCAACATTTAGACTACTGCCAACAACCACCCCGAGCACCTGAATAAGCACTCCAAATATGAAAAGCAACGACGCTCTTGCTCTCATCATCCTCGCTTACGTAGCCCTCGGTTTCGCAGTATCCTTCTTCATCGTCCGTTTTGCCATCGCCATGCGCCGCCGAATACACGGCTACGCGACAAGCTCGTCGGGGTCATCAAAATCGAATTCTTCGCCGGGCTCCTCCGCGACGTACGAGAGCAGCCGGTCGAGTGCGTCGACGGTGGGGCGGGAACCGACCACGGGCCCCCTCCCTCCTGCGCCGCCGCCCGTCTCCTTTGCATTCCCGCCTCCTCCGCCAGTTGTGCCGCCCTGTCCACCCCCTGTCAGCTCGGGGGGCGTGACGGGTTATCCACCGGGCTCAGTGCCGCCGCCGCCGCCACGAGTTAACTAGAACGAAGGCGGAGGCAGTGAGAGAAAGTAGCTAGTGTTAGGATTGGCGAAATGATGGCGGGGACTGTGGTGGGGGGGGTCAATGGTGTGCCTTGAGATGAGGAGGAGATTGGAGATTTGAGAGGGAACATTGAAACAAAAACAAAAGGGGTTCCACCACAGTCACCCAAGGTGTAGTCTTTAGGGAATATCTCAGAAGCCCGAGTTGGTCATGTCAAATATTTATTCACTCATTCATCCATCCATCCATCGCAGAGCCTTTAACGAGTGTTTCCACCGAGGGTCCGAGTCCAATTGCCCACGTGCACAAATCAACCATCCTTGATTTCCGTTCTCAATAGAACTACTCGCTCAGCCGCTCCACACGGCCGGTCCTGGGGGCTTGTAGGAATCCGGCGCAATGGAATAGATGTTGACCAAGATACCCGGGTCGTTGCTCGAATAGGCACCCGGCAGTGCCACTAGAGGTCCCGGCGTGCCGTTGCCACCTCCGGTGATCTGGATCTGGGAACAGGCGAGATAGAACTGGGCCTGGTTGGGCTGCGACGCCATGTGCAGTGCGATCTGCTCGACCCGGAGAAGGTACTCGCCGCTAGGGGTGTTGGCGGGAATGGTAGCCTTGGTGGTTTCGTAGGTGTCTGCAGTAATCAGGGTCAGCAACCGCTCGTTATAAGCAGGGATAGAACTTGTGGAACGCCATACTCTGCCCCGGCCAGACCAGCTGCTTGTTGTTGTCGGTAGTGGGCATCGTGGTGGCGATCTTGAACCAGACAGCCCCTGAACCGTCGAACGTCTTGGCCGACGAGCCAGCAGGGACCTTGGCGAGATAGTATTGCGTCGGCCCGGGATGGTTGATTTGCTGCGTCGAGATATAGCTGACAGTGGCCCCAGCGGGCACCGTCATCACGTTAGAAGCCGTCTGCGATGAGTAGCAGCGGATGTCGCCGCTGGTTGGGTTCTGGACTCCTTGTTTGCTCTGCGCGTTTTTGGTCATGCGGGTGGCGGACCAGTCCTTGTCCTCAGACTTCCCATTGACCACTAGCCTCGGGAAGGTGTCTGTTTGGAGGTTATTAGCTTCACTCCTTCAACCAGAGTCAGGCAAAGGGGAAGAGAGGGGTAGGCGAGTCCCATACAGTGTGCTTGGACGGCCGTAGCCGCAAGCAGCAACCCAGTGATGAGTTGCATTTTGAGAGTTGTTGTCACGGTCGCTGTGGCCTGGGGGCTTTTTGGTTGGTTTATTCTGAGCGCGAGCGGTACAGATACATAATACGGGGTCTCAAGGGGCAGGGTCGAGACCGAGGTCTCTTATACATAACTTTTGACAGGCGGCGTCTCCATTGATCGGCAGGTCGGGCCAACGCCAGCATATCCCCTGTGTTAATCCCCAAATAGAGTATGTCTGGCGTCACTGGGCATTGAAACATTACCGGATCGGGCGCTCTGCCCTGGCTGTCGAACCGCTGAGCCAAGTGAGATTTATCCACTCCCGGGATGCAACTGCCGAATCCTGGGGTATGTCGAATCTGGGTACGGGTCACAAGAGAGCGCAGTAATTAACTTATATTAACTCTTCGGCACACGCGAGACTTTTTGAAGATGGAATGCTAGCCCTCTTGTCCGCGGAACATACGCCCCAAGTGACCCGAAGCGATTCCAAGGGAGGCATTCACGCCTTGCCATGACTCCAATGGCATCTCCCTAGGTAACCATTATTGGCCTCTTTTCACGGTTTCCATCTCACAGTCCATGTCTCCTCCGGTTACTATAGCCCCAACTTCGGTTTCACGGTTGCCTTCGGCTTTTCGTGAATTTCCATCATCTCTACATGTATTAAATACGGTTGATCCAACTTCGAGATACCTGGGGCAGGTAGATGTGTCTGGATATGAGGACTTCGAATGTTGTTGTACCCGGTAATATTCAGGGGTTTGACGTAGGCATCGTGGTATCATGGAGCCAATGACCTTCCCACGTGTGTTTGCCTGGAGCCAATGTTGTTATGTTCATGGTTTAAAGATGTCTATATACAAGTTGTCTCGCTAACCAAATTGGTCACCTGTCGAGCGAGCGTCGCCGCCCCGGATGCTTTAGAAACCAAGGCTCATTTCACACTCGGTAAGTGGACAAGGCCCATTTACCACCCACCCAACTTGTTGCTCCTATTAGGCCATTTCTTCCGCCAGCCGAGCAGCTTAGCACTTGAAGACCGGGGGGCCGGGGTTCTGGTACGAGGTCGGGATGGGCCAGTTGATGTTGATCAGGATACCGGGGTCCGAGGCCTTGTACGCGCCAGGGAAGGAGACCTTGTTGGACGGCTCAGTGCTGCCGCCACCGGTGACCTCAATCTGGGCGCAGCTGATGTAGAACTGGGCACCACCTGAGCTCTGGGCGACGTGCAGTCCGATGTGCTCAGCGCGGAGCAGGTACTTGCCGGCCTTGATGCAGCTCGGGATAGAGACGTCGAACGAGCTCTTGCCTGTAAACCGAAGACTGTTAGTGGTGCCGTGTCACACAAGTTGCAGGGATGGCAGCTTTGCAGGCCACTCGGTGGAGGAACATACCGTTGCTGGGCCAGGTGAGCTGGGAGCCGAAGTTGGGTTGCTCGTGGTACACCTTGAACCACACAGCGCCGTCGCCGGTCCACGACTTGACGTCCTGTCCATCGGGAACGCGAGCTAGGTAGAACTGCATGGGACCCGGGTGGTAGATGTTGGGGTTGGCGGAGTATTTCACGGTAGAACCGGCCGAGACGGTGTAAACATCTTGGGCACCGGCAGAGCTCGACTGGAAGCAGCGAATCTGAGCCGAGTTGACATCGCCAACGAAGCCGTTGTTCTGCCAATTGTCGGCCCTGCGGACGTGCTGCCAGTCGGAGCCGCTTCCGACCTTGGGGAGGGTGTAATGGGCGCTGGCGCCGAGGGCGGCACCCAGGAGAGCAAAGGTGGTGGTCAGCATGGTGAAGATTGCGGTAGGTCACAACGTCAGTGGCTGGTCTTCTCATCTGGGTCTGAGGGCTCTGTTTTATACTAGTACTGCTAGGCCTCCCAAGCAAGCCCCTTTGGGCCCTTCCCCCACCCCCGGCCGCCATCGTCGGTATTGCACCACATCCTCCCCAGATCGGGTTGGCTCCGTCGATGTCTCTTCTTGGCAAAGCTGGCATTCCCGGATTCTGTCCAGGGCTGCCCGACCTGGGTTCCGGTAGCCGCCTGCCGCCTTGGCCCGGCCGGCTAAAGTGCAGCTCCGACCACTTACAAGGGTTGCCGATATTGTTGACATTCTAAAACAGATCAACGGCACTTCGCTCCGCGTCCACCTATCCCACCGTCCATTGACACAGCCCTTGCGGGTGCATTGTGGAGTGCATGAATCCCGCACAAGCGACACGACGATGGTTTCCTAGAAACAAAAAGATTCGAACCGACTTGTCTGGGGCCTGGCGTCATCTCTTGGCTTTTGGGCCGAGACCTTTGTGTCCTAATGCATGTGTGGCCCAACACCTTCCGGTCAGGCTTGGAATACCTCCGCCGAGGGCTTGGGCAGACCACCGACGGCGTGGTGATGCATGGACGCTCCACAACACCAACCCCTTGCCATTCCCTGGGATGCGGAATCGCTGCCAAACGGTCCGAATACTAGACACCTCCGTACGCGCTCTTCCGTCTTTCCACGATCAGCTAGGCCGCCATGGCGCGATGTATGCACATTACTATCTATAGCATTGCTCGTGATCGGCGCAGGGGCAGGGAGCAACCAACATTCAGTATTTCTCTGCAAGTGTGTGTGTGCGTGCGTGTATGTATACATGGACTGTGCCCACCCCAAGGTTTTGAGAGCTTAGCTCTTTCACGTTCGTGACCGTGCAGCCCATGTCCCCCACGCAGGTGCCCCTGGCCATGAGCGAATGGGCATGGGGTTATCGACTCGATTTGGAACGTTACCTTGTTAGGCTCGGGGTCCCCGAGAACTGATCCTGAGGCGGTGTCAACCCGTCCGTCCACTTCATGATCTCATGTGTTGAGAAATGGCTGACGTCTCCGCTGGTATACCCAGCACTGGCAATTGGCGCGGTTCAAGTCTAGTGAGGCACTTTTTCTCCCCGATCAAGGAGGCGCTCGGCACAGCGTGGCGGACTCGGCCAATGGCCAGTGGCCTTGGTAAGCAGCCCAAGATTTGGGTGGTCTATTGATTAATTCAAACGTCCCCAGCTGATACCGAGCGGGTATGAAGAGTGTCGGTTTCCTGTTTTCAGGATTCCATCCAGGTTGGTTGCGCAATAATCCCCGTTATTAACGTAACAACAAAGTGCGCGTCACTTATGGCAGACGTTCATCTGAGGCCTGGCACTCCCTCTCCACAGCCAAAACGCTCTAAACGGGCGAGAACTCCGCGGTTATCCTTGGCTGGATGGATACACGTAGGAACGTTTTCGCGCGTTCCGAGCGCCACTTGACACTACAACACCGAGCCCCACTTGACACTACAACACCGAGCCCGAGGAAGATATGAAAAATAAATCCCTAGGCCCTCACTGAATATCCGTTTTACTCCTCTCTTCTGTCGAAGCCGTCTTCCTGCCACCCCATAAAAGACTGTTAGTCTAGTGCAGATACTGACCCCCCGGTTGCCACTACCGAACTTGCCACACACCAACCTTTCACTGCCTGTCCGGTCGTGGCCGTTCACGGCACTCTTCTACGTTTCGCAAGGAGTAGCGTTTGGGGTGTGCTACAAAGTGCCAGAGGAAAGTATAGTCGCTCAAGACCAGATAAGTAGCCCACGGGAACCTGGTACTTTAGACATAGCTATCTACAAACCCAACCTGAATAAATGTGTTTCCAACTAACGTCCTGGGCTATACGGCTGACCCTTAGTACCCGAATAAGTTCCCACTCGAATCAAGTAGGGGAAAACTACGAAGATTCCGCGGCCTTCGGTGCCGGTAACGCCAGAATCTTGTCCGCCGCATGCTCCGCCGCAATAACAATGGCAGCCGATGGGTTTCCTGTGATGTGTCCAGGGAATATGGAAGCGTCAACGACAAAAATATTGTCAGTCCCGTATACCTTGGTGTTGAGGTCCACCACCGATGTGCCGCCGGTCCGTCCGTCGTCGGTGCCGATTTTGGCCGTTCCTAAAGCCGAAACCATCAGTCTCCATCCTCCAAAAGAAAAAGGCAAGTAACCAGGAAGTCTTACCAATCCAGTGGTTCGAGCAGCGGCGGGCAGGAGTAGCCGGTATCTGCCATGGGTCACCCGTGTCAGCGTGAATTCATGCCGCCTCAAGGCCAAAGGTGGGCTTAGATTTGTGCTCACCGAGTCTACAAAATCCTCGACCGTGACGTTCGAGGGAGGGGTAATCCACGTCAAATTTGCCACTCCCTTCAGCGACTCTCGAAGGTTGGTGATCCCCTGGATGACTGCTTCCCTGTCATGTTCGTCACGGAGGTAGGGAGGCGTAGAGACGATGGTGTTCAACTGCCTTGTGATGGTCATCCGGCCTCGGGACAGAGTGCCTGTGCACAAGTACTGGGTTACCGTCATTGAAGCTACTTTTGTCAGCATGCCTTGCTGCCGGCTCGCTCGACGCCGTTTTGTGGACTCACTATTGAGTTTGCCTTCGACACGGGCCTGCCATTGGAGGTGACGAGGGATCCCATCGCTTCCTGTGATAATTTCCCAGAACTGAGTCACACGGTTAGTAGTGGGAAGAAAAAGCACCCGCTTTTCGGATAAGACATAAACTTACGATCGGTCCAATATTAGGGGCAGCTTGGGCCAGCGGACCAGTTCTGTTGGCTGCGTATTGTCAGCTTTTCTTGCTCCCTGGGCGACGACAGCTATGGTTAAAAACCTACCCAGGTAAGTCTCGGTATCGCTAATAATGGGGTCGTCCCAAGCACCATAGTAGTCGTAGAAAACCACGTCCGGGTGAGCAATCTCAATATCCGTCTATCAAAAGGAGGAACCCCGACCAGTTAGCAGTGCCCAACCCCCCCTCAGCCTCCTCTCCATACCACACATGGGAATTGAAATGGAAGAGCTTACCCCGACATGGTCGTTCAGGTTATGGCCGACCGGCAAATTGATCCACTGCTCCGAATCAATCATGGTCGGGCCGTCAATTGTCGAGTTCTTGACAACGTTCAACTGGTCCGTCGGCCCAATACCGCCTGATCACGTCTGGTCAGTCCAACAGGTTGTCCCCAAAGTGGCAGCACGTCGAGAGAGTGGGACTTACTCCTGAATAGCAGCTTTGCCGAGCCAAACGCTCCCGCGGCAATGATGACCCGACCCGTGCCGGGGGTGAGGGCGACTGTGCCAGCATGGCCAGCTCCGCTACACTGCACCTCGACACCGGTAGCATGTCCGCCTTCCCGAATCACCCGTCTCACGGTTGTGTTCATCCACAGAGTGAAGGTCTTGCGCTCAAATGCCGACACAAGATAGGTAGTCAAGGGTCCGCCTCTTTCGCCGCCGGAGTACATGAAGGTGCTGTGTCCGAAGGTGCGGTTCTTCTTATCCGGATGATCGTTTGGAATCAGATATTCCCAGCCCGCCGTCTCGAGGCTGTTGCCCAACATGTCGAAGCCCTGCGACAAGTATCGCTTGCCGTCCATCGAAGGCGCGATGGTGCCGGGGATCCGGGAGAAAACCCGCTCCGTAGCGGCCGCTACATCTTCGCTGTGCCAACCTTCGGGAAAGTTGACGTCCCAATCGTCAGGGTGCGGCTTCCACCACAACCCTGCGTTGACCGCGGTTCCGCCGCCGAGCATGCAACCCGCCATCTGATCGACGTCGGTACATATCGCGCCAGTCGGATCGGCCCAGATTTGATTACACAAGCCAGGTACATCGAAGCGAGTCAGGCTGGTATCAGCCAACCAGTCCGGTTTCATGATTCCGCCCCATCGCCCGGTGGACGGCGGCCCCTTTTCGATCAGGAGCACCTTGTGGCCGGCTTCGCTCAAGCGGTCCGCGATGGGGATGCCGCCTGCGCCGGATCCCACGACAATGTAGTCATACGTCTCGGTCGAGGAGATATTGGCACATTGCGCCTGAGCCGCTGCCGGTTGCAGCCCTAAAGGAGGTCATTAGGCAAAGTGACAGGGACCCAACCTGCGATTTCACTTACAGAACGCCAGAGCGCCCCCGGCCGCCACCAACTTAGAAACGGCGTGCATATCGACTCAAGTCTGAATACGCAGATGGATGAAATAAGACTCGGCTCGGTAAGGGCTTTGACGGATGGTCGAGTACCAGTCTCTTTCTCTCAACACCATCGGAGAGGAATCAGGTCCTCTTAAACCTCAGCACGAGTCGGCCACCCCGGAGGCCGACCGATCCAGGGGCTCACCATCGGGATTCGCCCCATAATTTCCCCATGGCTGAGTGCGGAGCTTTTCCTTGAAGCTTTCGGTCAAGATTGGGGAACTCTATTAGCCGAGAGCGCGGGATACCAGAACGTGGCAGTCAGCATGTGCGGTTCGGTCCAACGAGCATGTCCGGGGTGCATCCTTTCAATCTATTCGAGCGGGGAACCCTCCCAAGAAGCTGGGGTATATATTAACGCTGGCATCCCACCTGTATTACCAAGCTTCTTCCCTCCTTCCTCGTGATGCCAAGTTCCACGCCGCAACTCTTCCATGTCGGTCTGTCCATCTTTTTTTTTCCCCGATCTCTCCTATTGGCGAGCGGTGCCCCAGACCCAGGAACAGGACTGCATTCACTGGCCAATTGCTCCTACGATGGAACGCGGTCAAGAGGGGGTGATAGCACCTGGCAGCCATCGGCAAGGGGCCAAGTCGGGGGTGGCTACCTCTTCGAGAGTGCCCCTTTTCTTCATTTGACTTGTGAGTTTATCCCGAGGATCATAGGCTGAATTTCAGAGGAATCCGGCATATTTTATGTGATCCAGGCGCAGCCAGGGAGTCCAGAATAACAAGTCCATCAACATGCCCTACGGAGAGTTAAATCGAGTTCCGGACTGGATCTACACCTGCTGCCGTGCTCGTGGAGGGTGGAGTACGGGCTGGACGGACTATGTATCGGGTACTCTGGTTCGTCGTCTCTTCTCCGGGCTCTTCCGGCTGAAGGAGAACGTGGGAACCTATATATACCATTGCCGATTTTCACGGCAGATCCCCAGCGCCGGGATGACAAGCCCCTGTAACCCGCCTTCGGGCATGCAGCCAGTCGTGCAAGCCCGGGCTACTGTGGGGATCTGATCAGTGCGATGGTCAAGGGGACCGTTCGGGGATCCGTCTCTTCCGGGTCATGGCGTATGTGAATCATGCATATAGGTTCAGTGCCATGGAGCTGTATGAGGACCAGACCATCATGTTGACGATGTACTCATTAGATACGAAACATCTCAGACACCCCATAGCGCGTCTGCTTCTACACTGGAACTCTAGTTTGCTCAGTGAAGTAAAGTTGATTGGCTCCGTGTTGAAAACCACTAACTGATTGAACCGCAAGGTGTGAATTGAACAGGTGGTAGGTAGTAATTATGGGTCGAAGAGCGGCCAATAGTATAGAAACGGGAACGAATACCCGCATTTCCTACCAGTCGTGGAAGCTTATAGAACGGAATGAAGGTGAGGGCACCTCTAATGTGTATACTGAGGCAAGTACTTAGTTAATTACTTGCAGAGGTGGCTTATAAGTTGCCCCAATCTTCCAACGATGGGCGACTGTTGCTTACTGTCCTAGGTCAAACTAAACTTGGTTCTTAACATGACTTCAGCCCGAGGGATAGCCTGGATTAGAAACTACAGGAAAAGGTCCTTTGAGGAAACTACATGTACTATAGTAGTGAGCCTCTCGCCGAAAAAAAGCCGCACTCGAAAGGAGCGCAAAAATCAAGGGAAGAGAAGACCGAAAGAAAGAAAATAGAAAAAGGTAGTTAAAGAAAATCGAGCAAAGAAACAAAATCAAAGATATTAGTTAAACAGAGTAAAAACTAGAACCCGGTTTCTTTCGTTACTGCAAGCGAAGGTTTCGGCGGCATCTGGAAGCCCGCTGAGGCTGCTTTTACGAGGCTTGTGTCTGTCTTTACGAGCAAGGACTGGGGCAAGAGTGCGCAGATCAAGTCCGAGAGCGAGACGGACGCTGCGTCGTGACAAAGGAGGGAAATTCTGTCCCCCTTTTTTGCATAGTTATGAACGAACACCAATGAGAAACACTCAGGGTCGGAGTCAGGAAATCACCATCCCACCGTCTCGGAGGAGAGTTCCGGCTTCTCGGGGTTCCTCCCAAATGGCTTGAGCTACCGAAGTGGTTTGTTGCTCGACCAAATATTTGTGGAGGTGGTTTGTACTTGGTAAATTCCGGACATGGTTCGCTTTGCTGGTCCAAGTCCAGATACACTGAGCGAACCAATGACGTCCATGGTTCTCACGTGGGAGCGCGTGAGGAAGGCTGACCGTGGAAGATGGAAGAAACTCTCGGCTTGTGAAGGTGAATTGTGAACGTGGCCTCTTTGCGCCGTTGGATCGTGCGTGGTGGGGCGAGGCCCGTTCAGGGCCAGTAAGGCGGCTCGGGAAGGCTCTTGGCGCGGAAGAACCGCAATGCCGGTGCCCAGCAATTGCGCTCGGAAAGCTGGAGAGTGGAGCAAGCTTGGATTGTTCAACTTGTCAATTGCCTCCTGGAAAACAGATTGCGTGTTTTGGCGGCAGCCCATTTGTGGGGACATTTCCCGACCCGAACCAAAAAAACTCGCGGCGTTGCCCCTAATCAACCTTCCACGTTGGCATCCGCAAAACAGTCGCGTGCAAATTGAGAAGACACAAACCCGATTCTCCTTCGCGACGCTCGACACAATAGTCACGATGGCCGGACTCAGCCCCCAGATGTAAGGACACGCGGACTCAACTGGAGAAGACGAGTAGACAACGACGGCATGGCTAACACAGACCCGGCGCAGAACGAACCTGATCATCATCCTGGGGATGATGCAGGTCGCGAAAAGGATTCCATTCGAGGACCCGAACGTGCTCAACATCTGCCGCGCCATCTACATCGCTAGCAACTTGATCATCCTGGGAATCAACATGTACATCAAGGTCACCATTGACAAGAAGAAGGGTACGTTGATGGTTCCGGGTTCCTTCTGGAACTGCGCACAACCATTCTGTTCGAACCGACCAGCGAGGCTGACCATTCTGTCTCTTTAGATATGACCACGCTCAAGTACGTCGAGCCGGCGCCCATGGGCTCCAGCGAGGAGGGCAAACTCGTCACCACCACCGTCCACGCCTACGATGTTGGCCAGCTCAAGACTCTCCTGCGCTCGCAGGGCATGGGTGTCCTCATGATGGGCGTCATGCACATCTACTTCAAGTACACCAACCCTCTGCTCATCCAAAGCATCATCCCTCTCAAGGGCGCCCTCGAGGCGAACCTGACCAAGATTCACATCTGGGGCCAGCCGGCTTCTGGTGATCTCAAGAGGCCGTTTAAGCAAGCTGCCGGTCTGATGAGCGGGCTGCAGAGCGGTCCCGCCCAGGCAGACAAGAAGGCGGTTGAGGCGGCCGAGCGGGCTGGCCGCGGCGGCGCTAAAGAGGAGTAATCAAGGCCAGACTGGCGTCAGTCGACCTTGTCGACGACCAGCGGCACTCCTGTACAATATAACGCATGATTACGGGCATGATAGTGGTAATAATATATAGAGAGACTTGATGGGACAATCGGGATCATCCATTAAGGTACTAGACAAAACATGCATTAGCCCATCACGGTGCGAAAGCAAACCTAGCCGCGCCCTAGGATGTATTTGATGTACGGTACAGAGTGATTTAAAACCTTGAGGGTTGCCCTGCCTGTGGGACAGACTTTGTTCATGTCGGGTCTTGACCTTCTCCGACATCGTTGCCTGCCGGGTTTGGGGGGCGGGATGAACCCCTGCACCACCATCTTCCTCGGAATGTTGGCTTTCCAACAACGTCTAAATTTCTTACCAAACCATTCCTCCCCGCACTCAAACAAGTGGAGTTGCGCGCCAGTATTCTGGGATCTTTTTTCTAGGTTCATTACATAGCGGCTCGTGCATCGGCTCACAAACCTGGGAATACCGCCTCGCCATGGATCGCCCAGGCACCCCACCACAACCTCAAAGAACGTCAGCCTCGAGACGGCCACCATCCCCGCCTTCTCCCGAAGTCACACGCCGGATAGTGAGTCGTTTTCCTGCCCTCTCCGTTGACTTATACTGAACCATTTGGATTGTAGGAAGAGTCGCGACTGCGTGCCAAAGCCATTCGTGACCAGCGCGACAAAGAGCAACCATCCGCTAGCGTCCATCCCAAACCCCGACCAGCGTCCGGCTTTGTTGCAACAGATGACACGGCGGGCAAGAAGCGACCATACGCATCGATATCACGGACGGAGGTGCCAGCAACGAAGCGCGATGCGCGCACAGCGCCTTCCAAAGATGGCACCGATACAGGGGGCGCTGGTCTGCTGCCCATGTCGCGCAAGTTTAGCAAATATGTCGATTACAACTTCAGTGCCATGACCGACACCAAGGGCGGCTTTCTAAGCACGGAGGATGACCCTTGGAATAAGAGCATGTCTCTAGGTGTCTTCGCATCCGGCCCGCCGGGCGCCGAGCAGAAACCCGCGCATATGTCGGCGGCCGAGTGGGAACGGATGCAGCTGCTCAGAAAGCTGCAACGTAACAAGTCGGGGCCTTTTGAACCTTCGCTAAGCGTCCTCGCCGACGAGAAGACCAAAAAACGGTGCCGAGAATGCCGCACTGTAGAGATCGACTTTGTCTGGGAGGAGGTTTTTGGTTGCGCGGTGTGCAACACTTGCAAGGAGAAATACCCAGAGAAGTACAGCTTGCTCACCAAGACGGAGTGCAAGGAGGATTATTTGTTGACGGAGCGTAAGTGAGCCTAGCTGTGGGAGGCATGAAACGCACACAGCACTAATCGGTCTCCTACAGCCGAACTTAAAGACGACGAACTCCTCCCACACCTATCGAAACCAAATCCACACAAGGCCCACTGGCATGACATGATGCTGTTCCTCCGGTACCAGGTCGAGGACTACGCATTCAAGCAGAAATGGGGCTCGGTCGAGGCGCTAGATGCCGAGTTCGAGAAGCGTGAGGCAGATAAGAAGAGACGCAAGGAGGCGAAGTTTAAAGAGAAGCTCCTGGACCTGAAGCGAAAAACCAGGACAGATGCGTTTCGGCGAAACAATGCAAAAGCTGGGGCCAGCGCTGGAGGAGGTGGAATAGGAAAGGCGACCAAATTTGGGGATGCTATTGGCGGCGGGGGGAAACATGTACACGAATGGGGCCGAACCGTCGAGAACGAGGATGGGATGACGGTGAAGACATGCGTGATTTGTAACATGGAAGTCGAAGAGCTGGAACTATGAAGGGACCGCGCCGCCTGAAACACGGCGTTTTGAGGGAGAAAATGTCCCTATAAATCTCGTTATTTCGTACCACCTGAATCTTAGCAAGCGTAGGTACATTGAAAGCTTAAGATAGAAGAAGGCAACAGGCCCTGGAACGTGTCGAGATTCCATGACAATACTTCGTACGAATACACATACGGATACAGCGTCCCTTTTACTGTGTGGGAGGTGGGACAGTAATGATATAGGAAACTAACCGCACATCCTTCCTTGGAACTCTCTCAAAGCTTTCTTGCGCCCTTCACAAGGTGACGTGATTCCTTCTTTCAGATGCACTCGCGCTTGCAACCAATCCCCTCACATCTTGAAGATTGATTACAAGAAGGGGTAAAAATCCGATAACGGAAATTTCAGGTCGGGATGCCTTGCAGCCTCATGGAGTACTACGAAATGTAATTCGCCAGCCGTGCCAGTAATCTGTGGGCCCCAGCAGCTCCAGGCTTGCGGGCCTGCCACTTTTGGCCAGCATCACCAAGCACAGGCGAGCATTGCCGCCCTGCTGCAGACTGATTTGGCAGACCCGAAAATTTATTCCTACGCGCGCGCATGACCCCTTACAACACCCCGATCCTCGAGTCCATCGTCCCACAACATCGGCGCGCTGTTTTTCTTGAACGCACCAGCTAGGTTTGCTCCAGCCGCAGAAATATTCGTTCATTCCCCTGAGCGACGACACTCGAAGCTTTCGCCAGAGCTCTACCCAACCCCCCACGATACTGCTGTCCCGCGTCGGCCCGTCCATGGCCACAGTGCCCAACTTGGAGGCTTGCGACGTTTAGACTCGCCCCCAGTGACCGCCATGGGCACGAACGGAGGGAGCGGGCTGGGCGAGACGGGCGGCATGATGGGGAACAACACCAACCAACCTCCAACCACCGAGTACACCCTTCAAGGTTGGTACAGAGCTCAGAACCAGAGAGAGGACGTCAACAGCTAATCTTGGGTACGCAGGTGTCATGCGCTTTCTTCAAACAGAATGGCACCGCCACGAACGCGATCGCAATGCCTGGGAAATTGAGAAGCAAGAAATGAAGAGCAGGATAGCCAGCCTCGAGGGCCAGTCACGGAGAGCCGACGCGACGCAAAAGGCGTTAAAAAGATATGTCACAATTCTCGAAAAGAAGGTCAAGGACCAGTCTGCCCAGTTGAAATCCGATAAGCCGACCGAAGCGGAGCCCAAACTGGATCGTGCTTCGCTGCTACAGGAGAAACTACGGCGTAAGTCCTCTTTGGAACCTCCCTCTAGGTATTGATTCGCAGTCGCAAACGCTAATGTGCGCCCGGGGACGCAGCGTCGCTAGAGAAAACCAGCGCCCCTTCAATGGAGGGTGGCTCGCTCGAAGCTGGTCTCGCTGACGAAGAGGCCTCGCGCAACGAGCTGAAATCCTTCCTCGACCAGTGTCAAGCCGAATTCACCTACCTGATGATCGCCCCTGCGAACCCGATAGCACCGAGAGAATCCCCGCCCCTCCCGATAATCGAAGATCTACGAGAGGGGGACGCCTTCGGCCAGCAGCTCTTGGAGCAATCCTACCAGCAGGGCTTGCGGCAGCAGCAGCAACAACAACAACAGCAGCAGAGCAATGCCCGCGAGTACATCGCGGCTCAATCGCAGTCGCGCTCAGCCCCAACCACAAACAACCAGGCGCCCGCACCTCCAGCGTCCGGAAACTTCCCGGCCAAGCCGCTTGATGCCCAGTCTGCACCGATGGTCCGCAACTCGAACACCGAGCATACCTCCGCGGGGTACGGAAACTCTGTCGAATGGCCAGCTTCAGGGCCCACGCCTCTGAGGTCGGTGACAGAGCAAGGAACCGAGCTCGTTAACCAGCCCCAGCATATAAGCGAAACGGAAGATAAGGGAGATGGAACCGAAAAACGTGCCGTGGATGAGGCAGACAGCTGGGATTTTAATGATGCCAACTTCCCAGACACCGCTGCGCCTAATCAGTCCCAGCAGGCCTCAACCACCCGCCCGGATACCGATGTGTTTCCAACGGCGGAGAACATTCCGCGATCGCCAAATCGTGCGCCACTCGCTCACCGGAGGAAGAGCTCAAATTCAATGGCCCGCAGGCGGAGCGCAGATCACGAACTCTCGCTCCACGCGTTGGGGCCAAAGACTGAAAGCTCCAACTTCAAACTCAAATTCGGTCTGCGTGGTCATCTCGACACGGTCCGAACTGTGATCTTCTCCGGGGGCGGCAGCCCGGGCGAACCCGAAATATGCACTGCCGGGGACGACGGGACGATTAAACGGTTCCACATACCCGATCGGCATCCTGGGAACACGGGCGCTAGCGGCTCCGATCTTGACGTCGTTGCTGACTTTACACATCGTGGCCACGCCGGAGCAGTCCTCTCGCTGACATCTTGGTCGCCATCCCCGAATTTCTCAACAGGCGGCCGCGCGCAGGGCGACGGCTGGATCTTCTCCGGCGGGCAAGATGCCACGATCCGAATCTGGGAGCGCGGGAGGGTAGATCCCAAGGCGACCTTGGACGGCCACACCGACGCTGTCTGGGGCCTCTGCGTTCTCCCGGCGAACTTGGGGGCCATCTTTGGCCAATCGAACGCATACGGGACCCCCGACCGCATCTTGCTAGTGTCCGGGGCGGCGGATGGCTGCGTAAAGGTGTGGGCAGTCAGCTCCCCGCCACAACTTACCTCACCGCAACCTACCGGTGGACGCCGCGCACAAGGTGGCCGTGTTAGGGGCAACTCAATGAGCTCTGGTTCGGCGTTTCCAAATTCGCCGCAACCCACGACGGCCTCAAATTCACCGTGCCATCATACCCTAATCCACACCATCTCGCGCCAGAACTCGAAAGCGAGTCCGACATGCATCACGCCGCTGTCCCTGAACGGTGAAACCTTTGTGGTCAGTTACTCGGATGCCGCCATCATCGTGTACGACACACGCTCCGGCGAAGAGATTGGCACCATGGCGAGTCTCGAAACATACGATGGCACAGTGTCAACCAGCGTGAACGCAGTCGTTGCGACGACCGCTGGGTTAGATCACCAGCCACATCAAGGCCTGAGCGAGGAGGACACAGCTGGCGGCGGGCCTACTGGCGGCGGTCGAGCCATGGCTGGATCTGGGGTTGAAGGTGTCATCATCTCGGGTCACGAAGACTGTTACGTACGGTTCTTTGATGCCAACAGCGGTAAGTTGCCCCGGCGAGATCCCGGCCCGCCTCGCATCGTGACTAAACTAACCACACGGGTAGGCCAATGCACGTATAACATGATCGCTCACCCAGCCTCTATCTCCAGCCTCTCCCTTAGCCCCGACGGTCGGGAACTAGTCAGCGCGGGTCACGATGCTTCCCTACGGTTCTGGTCGTTAGAGAAGCGTTCTTGCACCCAAGAGATCACCAACCATCGCGTCATGCGCGGCGAGGGCGTTTGCACCGTTGTGTGGAGTCAGGATGGCAGGTGGGTTGTGAGCGGTGGCGGCGACGGAGTGGTCAAGGTCTTTGCGCGATAGTATCCACAAGCACACCACTACAAAGAGGACAAACCGGTTACCGTGCTGGTTTCGCGGACGTCACGCGCTAGGGAGAATCGCTTATGGGGTGGGGACTGGGATGCGGCCGTGTCGCGTATCCGCTTGCCGAGGACGAATCAAGGAGTTGGGGGCTGATACCGCTTGGGGGGGTTTTGATCCCGCACGGGAGCTCGGATCGGCTGCGCGGCTGCGCTAAAGGATGATCAACGTGGGGATACCGTTTGTCGCCCTGGCCATCCCCGCGCATTAGGGTTTTCGGGAGATGGGCCCGACGAAAGGTCGAGCAGGGGGGCCCGAACGACGACATGATCGACAGGACTTCAGTGTAACGGAATGTACGATTGGCAGATTATTGTGTATAAACCTAGAAGCTGGCCATCCTAGGTTATGTCTTGTGTTAGCTTCGGTTTGTGTATCAAAGCGGAGGACACATACTAATTCGTCTTTAGTTTTTATATTAATGAAGACCTAGTACCCGGCCCTGAATCTGACCATTTCGCGGCAACGAAGACGGTAGGACATGCCCTGCCCACTGAATACACCCCAGCAGGTGTCTTGGGTGAATAAAAATTGCACCTATCTTGTTATACGGATGACCTAGAAGTGTCACGAATACTAATACCAATGTCGGTTTGCTGATAACGCTGATCGGGGCTCTACACCATCTCTTGGAGGTCACACGACCCGGCCGGTTCGACGTCCCGGCCGCCCCCCTTCCACCAATATCAAAACAACACGGCGCGAACGGACCTAGAACAATGGCCATTGTTTCGCTCGTTGCGGAGATAACTGCGCTTATCCGCCATCTCGACCGGACAAGGCGAGGACGATTCCACCTACGACATTGCCAGTATCGAGGTTCTGGAGCGGGAGAGAGGTTGCAAATGCCGCAAAGCGCGCCTTGGCTCTTTATGCAAGACACAACCAAACCACCAACCGCTAAACACGGCATGACCAGTGCCGCTGGGGACCAGGAAATGAAGATATTGACTGTGGTATTCCCTCAACGGCAGCTATGATCAGCAACCCGGGGTAAGTATCGCTTCATGTGATAGGCTGATGCTGGTCAGATGGGTGGGATTTGGCTAAACTGCCGAAGCCGTGTTACGGGAGTTGCAGACTTGCAATAAACCGTACCGGCGTCTTATTCGCCTTCCATCATTGCACGGAGCACCTCATTTCCATCACCGACGCTGCGATATCGATTCGGCGATCTGGATGCTCACGTCACGCGGCAACATATGGGCTGAATCCAGAGACAACGCCGGGGCCCGTCGCCGTAGGCGGCAACTGAGAAACACACTCACAGCAGACACTGCAACCTTTTGCCGATGCGGATACAACGTCAGGCGATCTCACATGGCCCGGATCTCGTTCTCATCATACCCCTTGCCTCGTCGGCCAGTTGACGGTACCTAGGGGTTACCGCTTCAGGGTTAGAGGACCTTAGGAACTGGACATAACCGCCTTTCGGCTCGGGTCGCTGGCCCATGGTTCGAGATATGGCCCGCCTTCTGTGCTCTTAGGATCGACTATCGCCATCTCAGTGCATAGTGCCCAGCAAGCGGGGGCAGGACAGGAGAGTAGATAAGCCGGTCCTTGCCCAGCAACTCTTCCCCCGCTGACCACGGAGGCCAGAGACACCCGCCTCTTGTTTCTGTCGCGTAACCCATCCTGCCGAGTAGCAAACACGAAGCCCCACCTACACCGTACCCGGAGACAGGTCCCTCCAAACCTTCGTTCCCTTGTCCCAGCTTGACCCAACACCGCCAGGATGGTGACAGTCACAAACCTCGTCCTGGCCAGCGTCCTCGCCGGACTCGGCCTTGGCTCGGCGCTGCCCCCGAGAATTAACACTACCAATATCGGCCATGGAAGCGGCAGAGCTACTCTCAACCAAGTACGCCGCCCGAACTACCGCTTTAACGGCGCCCGACAAGTGTACAAGACCTACCTAAAATACGGCGTCCCAGCCCCGGAAGAGCTCATCCAGGCTGTGGCCCACACAGATGCCCTTAACTTGGCCGCGGCGAAGCGCGACACTGGCAGCGCCGCAGCAACGCCGATCGACCCGAGATTCGACATCGCATACGTAACCCCGGTCACCATTGGCACCCCTCCCCAGACGCTCCAGCTCGACCTCGATACCGGCTCATCCGACCTTTGGGTTTTTTCGAGCCACACACCAGCGTCCCAGGTCCGTGGTCAGCGGATCTACGCACCGGACAAGTCCACAACGTCCAAACTGCTCGACGGCCACACATGGAGCATCACCTACGGGGATGGGTCCGGGTCCCGCGGCAACGTGTACACCGACAAGTTCACCATTGGCGGCGTTACGGTGGAATCCCAGGCGATTGAGACCGCCCAGCAAGTGTCGTCGAGCTTCACCACCGAGGACGCCATTGACGGGCTGGTGGGACTTGGATTCAGTACTCTGAACACAGTTAGCCCCAATGGCCAGTTAACCTTCTTCGACAACGCCAAGCCGAACCTGGATAGCCCTGTGTTCACGGCTGACCTAAAATACATGAAACGTAGGTGATAACGCACTGGTCTGGCTCATCGACTGGCGCTCAGTACTAACGCACTCTCCCTCACCAGCTGGCACGTACGACTTCGGCTTTATCGACAAGACCAAGTACACGGGCGAGATCACCTACGTGCCTGTCGAGACAGACCCCGGTTACTGGACCTTCACATCCTCCGGGTACGGCGTGGGGTCGGGCACCTTCAGCTCATCCCCAATCACGGGTATCGCCGACACGGGTACCTCCCTCGTATACCTGCCGACCGCGATTGTCACGGCCTACTATCGCCAGGTGCAAGGGGCGACCAACAGTCGGAGCTACGGCGGATACGTGTTCCCTTGCAACTCGACGCTCCCAGCCTTCGTCTTCGGCGTCGGCGAGGCCAAGTTCACCATCCCTCCGTCGTACATGAACTACGCGGCGGTGACCGACGGTTCGCCCACATGCTTCGGCGGGCTCCAGAGCAGTAGTGGGATCGGAGTCAACATCTGGGGCGATGTGGCCCTCAAGGCCGCATTTGTCGTGTTCAACGGCGAGGAGCCGCCGACCATTGGATGGGCGAACAAGTCGTTGGAAGAGTGACGTGCCTGGTGGCTGAGAACACATCGCTCCTGGTGGAGGGTAGAGTGTATGTGTTGCTCCCCTTTGGGGTTCAATGTCGATAAGGTGACGAGGCGTGTGGGTACCGAGGTACGGCGGCCGGAGACGCAACCGTTACTTGTGCAGTGTGTGTGATTTCGGAGATTATCTCTAACAATTTGTCTCGTTGAGTATCTATCCGTATAGCAGCTAATGACACTTTTCTTGCTCTCGGTATCGTGTCGTGATTTTGCTGTGTTGAGAAGGAACCATTCGCGGGTCGGTGGTTCCATCTATCAAGATAAAACAAACCAGCCGCAAAGCAAATAAATGTACCCAAAAAAGAAAGAAAGAAAGAAACACACATAAACCTGCATGAACCTGTACCCTGCTGTGGTGGGCAGTTGGGCACCTCGGCACGCAACGTTTGCTGAGGTTTGATACCTTACCTGGCGCGGGGTGTCAACACCATCCCTGCCTAGCGGTGTCTGGGGGTAACATCGGCGAGTTCGCCACCCCTTGTGCTCAAAACCTAAAGGGGACGACTGGTCGAGCCAACCACACAAGTTCTTCGGATTAGTTACACAGTAAGTGGCCTGCCAAAGTTCCAGAAGACAACCAACAGGAGCAGATCACTCATCAACAAACCTGAATTGCACGTGGCAAGAACAGCGCCATGATAAGAATGCGGGGCCTGAAATCTGACAGTGGGGAATCCCCGGGTTTCCCTCCTTTTTTGGAACCGCAACAGACATCCTGACGGACGCTTGGATGCTCTCAGAAGGCGGGCGCGTGCTTTGCCCGAGCTGGGGCCGACGCTTGGACCAATACGGACAAAAAGCGAATCCGTGTAAGTTACCCAAAGGGGAAGGCGCCAAGATGAACGAAGGTATCGGCCAAGGTCGCGCCCCGACTTGGCGCAGACAGACAAGCCTTTTCCCGTCCATCTCAGGGCGTCAAGCCGTCAAGTTGATCAAACGTCTGTTACTTGGCAAGGCTGAGATGTCTCAACAACAAGTGAACAAAGCTCACATATGTTCCGGAAGCTCGTGGCGAATGTGTCGAGGACGCAAGCCGATCTCCCACAAACGAAAGCTCCACGAGCGGGCTGTTACGACCTTCCTACTTGGGCATCCGTCCGATTTGCCCACATTTGCCATCCGGCTCGTCGGTATTTCGAATGCACGCAGAAAGTGCGAGTTGGGGGCCTCAACCATTCACCGAAGGTCGATTGCCCGGCGGGGTAAACGCGGCTGCAATAACTACTCGGTAGGCGATGTGATGCATTGTATACGAGAATCCTCTGGCTGGGACAGAGATCGCTGCGGTACTTGGGTACCTAGTTGGTGTCCCTCGGGATGTACAACAGAGTGTGCCTCAATACGCTGTGTGCGGGGAGTTCGTCCCTTATCGAAAGTTCCTCGGGTGTTCGCAGGAGCGCTCACGTTATCGCGTCAATGGTACCTTACCTATCGCCGCTTCCTGGAGTGGATAGTTCATCCCGAAGCAGGCAAGATGCCTGACCGGCTTGCCAGTTGAGTGTCAAGAAACGTCTCATCGCCCCTGGCTCACTGGATCGAAAACGATGATCCGGTCCAATCGAGATAGGCGATAGGCACCGCGGAACGGAGCCGCGGAACAGTCGGCATCACTCGCATTGCGGCGAGTAAAAGTATGCCCAAGCAACAAATGAAGAGAGCGGGAGCATGGCTTGCATGGCGAGGATGGGGGAGAAGGATAGTTGCAGTTGGCCCCACCAACTTCGAATTGAGCTGACAAAATGGACATTCCTTACTCGCGCACCAAAATGATTTCTGTTACACGATCGCACTGTGGGAGGCTTGCCAGGGTACCTAGGAGGGAAGGCACCATCGCCCATGACGGCCACTAGGACAGGATAGTAAGGTACGAGAGCCTTGAGAAGGAGGGAGGGCCCGGGGCCGTAACCAGGTTGGCTGCAGTCCCCGTCCCTGGAAGCGCATGCGAGGAATACACTCCACAAAACGCCATTCTCCGGACAAAATGGATCATATCGAGCGACGGGGGGCACCTGCACACATCGCTCTCGCATTAACAACCCGCATTAAACCCTCCCTCCCCCCATAAAACCACGGACCCGAACAGTGAGTTTTGCTCTTCAGCCGGTCGCTCGTCTTTCTCTTTCCCGGTCTGCGCACAACTCCGAACGGTGCTTCGAGTTTACACACCGTCACCAACATCGCCGACGCGAATTTAACTAATCGGGTTACCTAACAAATGATGGGTAAGTGCCCATGACGGCCGGGTGCGACTTTGAGAATGTATCACTTACACAAGATGCTTCGATAGCGGAGAAACCGCGCTCGTCTGGCGCGGACTCGATCGCCTCTCCCGTTACCATGGGCGACTTGGAGAAGCATCCGCACACCCCTCCGGGCGATAGCCATGCGCCATATCTCGACCCTTCCGTCATGGAGGAAGACTACGAGGGCAAGCCAACAGAGGAGGAGTTGAGTGTTTTGCGTCGTGTGCCTGGTTCGATCCCAGTTATCGCCTACCTCATCTGCGTAGTCGAGTTCTGCGAGCGAGCCTCGTACTACGGAGTGCAACCCTTGATTAGCAACTATGTCAACCGACCATTCCCTACCGATGGAAATGGCTGGGGCGCCCCGCGCGCCGGCAGCCAGGATACCGCTGGCGCTCTCGGTATGGGAACTGTCGTCGCCAATGCTGTGACGCAGTCCTTCAGCATGCTTGCTTACGCCTTGCCTCTACTGTTCGGTTGGATGGCCGACGCGAAGACGGGCCGCTTTAAGCTCATTTGCTGGGGTGTTGGCGTGTTCGGTGTTGCCCACGTTCTCATGGTCGCCGCCGGCTCCAAGGATCTTTTGGCCAACGGAACTGCCAAAGCTCCATACTTCCTCTCAGTCTACATCCTCTCCATAGGTGCCGGTGAGTATCCCCGCCCTCCAGTGCCGTGTTCCATCCGCACATCGAGGTCCCGTTCTGATTAGTTCACTAGCTATGTTCAAGCCGAACGTCTCACCCCTCCTGCTCGACCAGGTCACAACCACCGTGCCCAAGGTGATCACGCTCAAAACAGGCGAGCGGGTTATTGAAGACCCCGAGTCCACCACGGAACGCGTGATGCTGTGGTTCTACCTCATGATCAACATTGGTGGTTTCATGGGTGTGGCTACGGCGTACTCGGAGAAATATGTCGGCGTAAGTGCTTCTCGCTGCATACTGATGTTATCGTACCGCGCACTAGGCACTAACGGCGCATAGTGGTGGCTCGCCTTCGTGATCCCCCTCATCCTCTACCTCCCCCTTCCGCTGCTGCTCTGGTTCCTGCACAAGCGCATTGTCCTCCACCCCCCTGGCGGCAGTGATCTTCCCAACGTTTTTAGAATACTCGGCATTTGCTTCCGCCGTGGAGGTGTCAAGAGGATTGGCCGCCATGGCTTCTGGGATCTCGCTAAGCCCTCGAACATTGCGGCCGCAGGTCTTGCCGGCACTTACTCAACACCGTGGAACGACCAATTTGTCGAGGACGTCCGCCGAACCTTCCAAGCAACGGGCATTTTCTGCTTCTTCCCGATCCAGTATCTCAACGACAATGGTATCGGTGCCGCAGCCAGCTTCCTGTCCACGATGCTTGAGACCAACGGTGTCCCCAACGATGTCATTTCCAACTTCAACTCACTCAGCATCATCGCATTCGCGCCTGTTCTGAACTACGGCCTGTACCCGACCCTACGAAAGTTCAATGTCCACTACGGTCCCATCGCGCGCATCACCACCGGCCTAACCATGTCTACACTTGGAGGCGTCGGTTACACCCTTCTGAATTATTATGCGTACAAGGAGTCACCGTGTGGAGAGTACGGTTCAACCGACTGCAAGGTGGGCACTGGCGTTGCCCCCATCAGCATTTGGTGGATGGCTCTTCCTTACGCCATCGGTGGCATCTCGGAGCTCTTCGTCAACGTCCCCGCATACGGCTTGGCTTACTCCCGTGCACCCGTCAACATGCGTGGTCTTGTATCGGCCCTCAACTTGTTCAACACGGCCGTTGCCTACATTATCGGCCTGGCCTGTTCGTCTGTCATCACAGACCCGCATTTGACATGGGACTTTGGTGGCACCGCCATCGCAGGCGGCATCATGACCATCATTTTCTACTTCACCTTCCGGCACATTGACGATGAGGAGTATGTCCTAAGCACGAACAAGCCGGACACGGATTACCACCTAGAATTGGAAGGCACCCGTAATGTTGTTGGCGAGAACCAGTTCAACAAGAGCATCAACCGGCCGGCGCCGATCGCGGAGAACGAGGAAATGATGATGTCGCCGAAACAGTAAGGGGCCACAAAAGGATGGGATGATCACGTATGGAGTTCGGCGTTTCTAGCTTAGCAACTGTTGGATACAAGGACCATTACTCGTAAGCGGTGAGGTGGTCGCGTGTGTCAATTGTAACCAGATAGTTCTTTTGCCGATCCAACAAAGCAAATGGCTCTCTGGCCTGCGTTTCCTGCTCATTCTTGTGCCCGGCACCACCGCTCACTTGCTCACACGTGAAGAATTGGGGATGTTCGAATGGGTGGTAATCTTTGATGCCGAATATCTCCGACTGAACCTACCGAAGGGACACCGGACCAGCCCCCAATCGGCTTGCCCGGATGTCGTAACCGGGGTATCGTGTCGAGAGGCCCTTGTCCTCCGGATAGCACTTTGGTTGGCGAGTGATTGAGGAGGGACTCGCGCAACTGGCGGCCCTCAAACGACAAATTTTTCTCGAGCGACCAGCAATCCTCATAGGCTGTTCCTGTGAGCGAAGTTTCCTTCGATGACAATGTCCCTAAATCCGCGAAGGTGGTGGGTGTCTGCAGCCTCGTCCTGCCATGTCTCTCACGGCCCATGTCTCAGATGGGAGTAGATAGGTAGATGACACACACATGTGAGGGCGTGGAACCACAGACATGCTACTTCAAATGGGGCAACGAATGAGCGCAGAAGCTGTGACAATCAAATGTTTTAAATTGTAACCGAAACAGAGAGTTGAAATTTTCTTCTTCACGTCCCGAGAGCCAGCCCAAGATCGCAACGAAGAAAAAAAAGAGAAAGCGGCCGGTCAGACTTCCATCGATACCCACCCCGCCTGAGCGCCCGAAGGCAAGTCCTCAAGAAAGCCGGGGTACAGATCATCGCCACTCTCTATACAGTCGCAGCACGAAGCAACAACCGCCGCCTTTGCAGGCAGAACGAGAGTAAAAAAAGGATCTCACTGTAGGGTGCCGAGGATATCGTTCATCAACCCGGGTGGGATCTGTGGCTCCTTTAGGGAACACAAAAGAGGACGAATACTATAGAAATGATTCTCTGAAGTATTGTCGACATGAAGAAAAAAAGGAAAAGAAAATCGAAATGAAGGGAGGAGGGCGCTCAATATATAGACATCGATTAGGGGTCTGTGCACCACGCCATTCTGCAGGGCCCCACCCCACTCCGACCCATCTTGGATCAAATTTGGCAGAAAACGTGGGGCAAAACATTCTGCCGCGCAAGACCGCCAAAATTTCTTGCGAGGGCCAGCGTTTACCCTTAGGCAAACAACACACAAAGATGAAGGAATGGATGTGCGATAACGGTATTTCCTACGGAAATTCTATCAGTTGTAGGAAATGTTCCCATGGATATTCAACATCATTTCAGAGACAACCATGCCTCGCGAACTATGCCGACGACGCATTACTGGAGCGAGCCGCATAACTCGTCCCTCGCGACGGACCAGTTAGGGGCTCTCTGGTTAGTTAAACCAAGCTCTAAATATCCTCATGTAGGTTGATCCTGGGAAATTCATCTAGATATTTATATTTGGGGCCCTGGATCCCGACCGCTCGTCCGGATGAACGTGAAGCACTCCCCTCACCCCTCCATTAAGATCTATAGCAGAGTTTTGCGCTCCAGGGGCCAAGAGAAACTTGACCCATGTAGCGCATCTATATCACTCAGAATACAGATTCTCTTGCTCAATCCACCCATCTCACTTCCGAGGTAACCATCAGATCGAAGCTTGGCGGAGTCCGAATCCTTTAACCGCGGCCCGCGCGTGCGTACTACTAATAACATCCGCCCCGAGCTTGCGTCCCTTCGACCATCTGTATCCTACTACCCCAATCCGTGCTACTCGCTTATACTAACTTAGCCCCCCCGCCTGTAACAAACCCTCGAGATACGCCGTCTGTTCATCAGCCCCGCCCCATTCATCGCCCGTCCTCATTGTCACCCGCAGCTTAGCACGAGTGAAGAACGGGTCAA